GCATGGTATGAGGAATGCAATCATATGCTTTCGCTATATCAAGGAAGCAAGTAATCAGTGGTCGCTTCTCCCTCCGTGCAATCTCGATGCATTGCGTCAACGTAAAAAGATTATCTTCCAAGCGTCGCCCACGTCTAAAACCGTTCTGCAACTCAGTCAGTATGCCGCTCTCCTCGGCCCACTGTGTTATACGCCCATTAATTATGGTCGCGAACACCCTGTAGGCAACCGGCGTGACCGTGAGTGGTCGGTAGTCGTGTAACAACTGCTTGTTGCCGCCTGTCTTTGGAATGAAGGAAACTCTACCACGTCTCCAGTCGCTGGGAATCGGGTCATCGCCGCAGCAGATTTGACTAAACAGGTGTGCCAGGTGCTCTCGTGCGTCGGGTCCTAAACCTTTGAGCACCTTGGCGGAGATTCCATCCAGCCCCTGTGCTGTGCTGCCGTTTAGCCGCGCCAGTGCACGTTCTACCTGAACACACCCCACGACTGTTGCATTTTGGTCGACTGTGGTACTCTGCGGGGCATCTTCTAAATGCGGGATTTCATCCCTCATGCCTTCATGATCGCAGTTCATTTGTTCCGTCCCAAAGAGAGTGTAGAGATATTCACCCAGAAGTTCTTTTATGTTCTTTACCTCACTTCCATTGTCCGGATCCACCAGTTGGGGAGAGCTGTCTTTCCCATCTAGACTACTAATGTAGCGCCAGAACTTCTCTCCGGCTTTTTTTCCGCCCTTTCGTATGTCTGCCATCTCCTTGCAGTCATGTGCTTGTTTTTTCTTTTCAACAATAGCTTGTGTTAGTGCCTTGCGTCTTTGGTACTCCTCCCAGAGTTGCAACGTCTCTGGACCTTTTCCAAACGACTTTAGTGCTTGGCGATGTTCTCGGTTCGCGTCTTGTCGGTACTGAATCGATCTCCCGATTTCAGCGTCCCACCATGGGACAAGCCGTCTTTTTCCTTGGGTGCTCCTTGCCACCGAACGCTTGGCAACTGCCTGCCTAAGTTCCGTGGCGTATTCTTCATACGTTGCGGCCTTCATGCGTTGCTCACTTTCTTCGAAGTCTTGACATACAGCCTCGATATCCCCCTCGCGCAGCCGAAACGCCAATGCGCGCTTTGGGCGACTGCGATGCCGTTGGATTGCTCCGAAATGTAGTATTATGGTACTATGATCGCTGCCAACGCTCCGTTCACCATTGTCGTCCACAACTATTTTTTGAAGGCGGTTTGACAGCCTCTTGGAGGCGAGGGCGTAATCAATGCAGGTTTTTTTGTCCCGCACCATCCATGTATACTTTCCTTCACACTCTTCTCTCAGGTTTAATATCTCCAAGTCCAAGTCTTCCGCCAGTTGTCTCAACATGTGTCCATTCTTGTCTTCGCGGCTGTCCAGCTCAACCAGGTGACCATTAAAGTCCCCCATCAGTAGCACGGAATGGCTTCGTTCCAAACTTTGGACGTCGTGTCGAACGCAGTCTAGAATGGCCTTGTTTTCATCTTGCCTGTTATTTCCCACCGAAAGATAAATGGCACATACAGCTGTCGGTGCGTTCCCGACTTGTCCTTCCACCCATATGTGCTCTCGGCACCTTTCAAATTTCCTGACCCATGCTTGCCCTTTCTGAGGCCATAGTAAGCCCACACCCCCTCCCCGTCGGTTGCCTTCCACCCTGTTACACCCAGCCCAGCACCATGAAGGGTCCACTGGGGGCTCTTCAGCGTCACGCAAGTGAGTCTCAGCAACCCCAAATAAAGAGAATTGTTGTTCACTGAGCAATATATATAACTCATTCCACTTCCGTTGACGTCTTGCACCATTCAAATTTAAAAAACCAACGATAACACTTCCTTTTTGTCTCGTTCGACCAGGAGGCAGCGGTAGTTCGGAAGTCGTCGTTTGCTTCTTGTCCATACCCCCTAACACTGCATTCCCGCCAATTGTTGGCGGACTAGGCGATTCACCATTTGCGCAACCTCCAGCGGCGTCATGCCTGCCTGGTGCTGGACATAGCCAGGGAATAGGGGTGACTCCTGATATGTAGGTAGACCCATTCTCAGTGTTGACATTGGATAACTCTCTCTGTCTTGCATGGTCACCCTCGGCCCTGTCATCCCGCCGCTCTGGTGTACAGGAATAAGGGGCACCCCTATCTCGGGAAAAGTAGGGACCTGGGACAGTTGTTCGCTTTGGGGTTGCAGCATATACTCCGGCTGGTTGCTCAGCGGAGGTTGGTGTCCTTTCACCTGAGTCTTCAGTCGTAGATCCTTGACGTGAGGCACTCCGATATGGGGGGGTCCAACAGTCATCCCTGGGATGTCGTAAGTAACGCACTTTTTTTGCGACATTTCTGTGCGTCCCATTTGTGGGTAGCTCCCATATCGCCACGGATCGCTCTGATACTGGCTTCCGACCTTGTCCCTATGCTTAGAGTGCCTTCATACACACGCGCGCTTTTGCTTGAGTGGTGACATCTCAGCCATTTTTCCGCCCAATTCTCTTTTTATGCATTTTGAAGTGCGCGCAATCCGGTGTCACTCAGCTCGAGCGCGTAGCTTTGGCTGATGCATAGACGCCATCTTACCGCCCAAGTCACGCACCGAGTGCGCGAGAGCGTCACGCGCTGGTACATTCCGGACAACAATGGATGTCTTCACCCTGAGACAGACAGACATGAGGCGTTGGCCATTGAGGAGGGGGAGGGAGAATGCGTCAGTGTTGCCTCCATTGCGCTCTTGCCCAAAGAAAAAATGTATCTGAAGAGAGCGGCACCTCGGATGAACCAAGTTGGGACCCTGTGACTCCAAGATCCGACCGAGAAAAACGAGGGTGACACCACCGGAAATATAAAAGACAAAAAGAAAGACATTTTTCAAGATCCAAAAGTCGAAGAAGACAAAAACTCCACCGATCGTGAGAGAAAAAAAAAAAAAAAAAAAAAAGCAGTTTTTGTCTAAGCTCCGACTGAAGTAGTAGAAGCTACCCTTTTGGGATGGGGAAAGTCGAAGAGGTGGAGAACACCACGGTCCGTGAGAAGAAAAAGGAAGTTTAAGTATAAGCCTTGAAAGAAGAAGAAGAAGCTACCCTTTTAAGGATTGGGTTGAGGAAAAGGAAGTGTATATAAAACAAAGGGTTGATAGTCCAGCAGTGTGTTTCTTTCTCTCTTCGTCGCTTTCCTAACGTTCAGCTGGTAATCAGTAAGCATCTAGGCACCCTACCTATGCTGAGAGCCAAGCGCCATCTATCGTGTGGTAAACGAAGCAACTACTGCGCGTGCGCAGTAGGGCAGGGCCGACTTAGAACGGTTATTTCCTTTGGTTTCCTTCCTCTCAAAACTCTGACTGACTGAACGTTTATTTTTTTATGTGTTCATCTCGCGCGTGCCGACTTCAAGCAGCAAGAAAAAAAATGTACTTAAAAAAGACCACGACGAACAAGAACGCTGGATCCACAAACACCCGAGAAGAGCGACAACAGCCGCGAATCCCGCTCCGACGAAGCTCTCACAATATAGGCCTAGCAGGCACTCCGACTCGGCGCAGCGTTGCTTCGTCGCAAAACCGTCTGCCTGCCTACGACCGGCTGGCGTGCTGAATGGAATATGCCCGTGCTACCCTTGTGGACCCTTCCCGTATTATAGTTTGATCGCTGACCTCAATTTTAGATTAAGAGGTGAGGTCAATCTCTTCCCCTTGTTTTCCGAGGCAGTGTTGACGAACACTCGTCGAAAAGAGACCCTCGTCGATTCTCTCTTCTTGTTTTGTGTGATATAGAGCTGAAATAAACGCTGTATGGATTACCTTCGTAACACGGTATGTACTCTTTGTTATTGGTATGCCATTTTTATTCTGACAGACTCCACGTCACTGTCGAGCTGTAACAGTTCGTGGGAGGTATACGTGCAATACCGGTCCAACCTTTCTTTGCCGAGTGTCGCGTCAGTATCGAGTTGCAAGCGTAAAAGATCGGTCCCGAAGCGCTTACCAACAGCGCGAATACAGCACTTCCATCAAACGCGCGCGTCCGCTCCGAGTGTGAACAGGTATTTACGTGGCTCTTGCTGACACTCGTAGTTCAAACGTATCTTTTTTAACGTCGGCTCGCTCCTGCATCTCCGAGACCGCGAAAAACGCCGCGGCAATTTGTTTCCATCTACGTCGCTTTGCAAACGACTGACACTGGCCGCCTTTTACCAACAATGACAGTTGGGTTGACTTCTGAAGTCTTCACCGGAAGACTCGCTGCACTTCCCAACAGGCATACCGGTGTATGGGACTAGTCCCATGCTGTCGCTGTAGCGCAACGTATCTCATTGAATTTCGCTCGGCTGCGATGCGGCGATGAGAGGCGCCGATTCAGAAAATACGTCGGTGACATCGGCGCAGTAAAACCTACCGGCGCACCCCAACTCGTCGCCGCTAACGCTCCCATCTCCTACCGCCGAGAGAACTTCCGGTTCCGGAAGCAGCGTACGTCACGGCTTCTTTTGCGGTCAAGAAAAAGTCGATATTTCGTTAATTTTTTGTGCAGAAGTTAATAAACCGAGACGAAAACGGATGCCTGTTCGGCATTCAGTGAACATTGACGGTTTAATGTAAAAGTTATCTGGAAAAAGTAAAAAAGTCATTTCATGGTCCCTTTAAGAGAATGTCAAGTTGAAAGAATAAATAAAAGAGTAGCCCGCTCCCCGGAATCGAACCTGCAGCTTCTGCGCGACAGCCAAGCACGGTAACCATTTGGCTACACGCGCGCTCACTTTTCGACTGTGGAGTATTCACTGGCGGCCATATCCGTGTGTGCTGCTGCTGAGCGCGTGCTGACGGCAAGCTTCCGCAGTCCTTTTGGAGCTTGCATTTAGCACCATCAAGAGTGCCGGTCTTAGCAGGCTATTAACGTGAGCTCGTTCTGAGCATGCGCTCTAAACATCGCCCTCAAATATGGCGTCCAGTGAATACCTCCTATACTTCTGGCGCCCCTGGACCCTTATGCATTGCACACGATGCGTTACGTTCAGCTCAGATGCAAACCAGGCTACCAGGCTACTGCTGCCACGGCTTTGTCTACACGGTGAAAATCTTCAGAAGCGTTGAAAAGTGGGATTACGGTGTAATTTTCTAGCAGCCGTCTGCTGCAGGTTCAGAATAACAGGAAATGCCATCCGCACAAAAGCTCCGCTTTCCGTGATTGGCTGTTTCCTCCTTTCCACTCGCCTCCTCTCCAGCGTTCGCTCTGATAAAGTGGAAAGAGTGGACAGCTTTGACAGTCTTTGTGGGAGGGCCTTGCAGTGAAGTGCTAAGGAGGAGGGGGCTACGAAAGACTTAAGGGTCCCGGGTCTTTGCAGATTAAGAAAAGCAGGACAAGACCCCAGTGGCGTATACGCCACTGGGGTCTTGTCTCGCTTTTCTTAATCTGCAAAGACTATAGTTTTCAATTTAGTGGGCCATGCATTAGCTGAACGCGGTCTCATGGTATCTACTGACAATCTCAAATTATAGTAGAAATACCTTTGCGATTTCGCCGAATCAAACTGAGAGTGTGTAATTGGGACAAATACTCCGTCACGAGGCGGCCATCGTTCTGAAGGTTTGCGCCATCCGTGACCTTAGTAGAGCGCAGGCACGTAGCCAGGATTTTGTGTCCGGGGGGGGGGGGGGGGGGGGGGGGGCGCCCATGGCAAAATGCTGTATGAGGGGGAGGGTGAAGAGGAGGTCCCAGCAAAATGGGGGGGGGGGGGGGGGGCCTTATTCCCCCCCTCCCCCCCTGGCTACGGGCCTGGTAGAGCGATTCTACGGCCATTTTAAACCGACCCGCCATTTGATGCCCGCGCTCCAAGAACGTCCAAAAAAGCTGGGTCAACCCTTTCCGACCTTACACAAGGAAGCCCCGCCACGCTCGCTGCGACCCCCTTTTTGGCCGCCCCTTCGCATTCGACAATATATAAATACATCTTTCTCTGCCAAGGACATCACCCGCCGACCACCGAAATCATTGCGGTTTCTCTCCTTTTCTGTGTGTGTGGACTCGCTCAGGCCTCGAACCTCTCCCCCACTAGCCGCTGGGTAACCCAGTGCTCCGTAACGTTCACATTTCCTCGTTGAGGTCAGTGACCCTAGATCGTCTCTGGACGTGTCCGTCGCCCAGTTAGAGCCGGACACGAAGCGGCAACATGTTGCAAACACTTGTCGTCTAAATCCCACTTGTGGTCCCACGCGGCGACCGCAACCGGCGACCTCCAGCATCATGAAGTGGCGAAGCTCCTTAACCACCCTCGCACTCCTCCACTTCCGCCAGCTCGACCGTGCAGGAACCACGACTTATTTTTGTTTCGTTTTCTGAAGAAGCCAAAGTGAAACAAAACCAGGTTCCCTCAACCGAAACCGGAATTCGTCCCGGCCCCAAAAGCGGCACGAAGCTTGCGAAGCGAGAGAGCGCCAAGAAAACCAAAAACAAACACCAATCTATGCGGGACGATGAATTAAAGACGAGTAACTATAAAGCAACTACGCGTCCTAATGTGCATCTGTTGTTCACGATCTGTTGACTTACAATACTCTAATGCCTGCGTTCGTGAGATAGTCACAGCAGGCGTGCGCGGATCAAGTAATGATTGCTCACTGACACAGTGACACATCTGACACATCTTCAGTGTACTGAGCGGCCTCTAGGCGTTAACACGACATGCTAGAACGTCACTCTCCATATTAATTCGTCTTGGCAGGCAGCTCGTTTAGGCCTCTTCTTCCTTGCTCCGACATGTATAATAGAGCAGACAGGAACGATAAACGCACCTTTCTTGTCGCCGACTGGCAATGCCGGAAAAATCCAAAGATGTCCCGATGCTTGGTGCAAAGTTCACGGAACTGTTGGGTTCTACTAGTCCAAGTTCAAGAAAATTTTCTGCCCAAAATTGTCACTTTTGGAGCTCATGAGTGGCTCGCGCTGCCAGAGTCTCGGCCGAAACTAGAACGGCGCAGAGCTTTGAACTTGCTCGGTGGCTTTCCCGTTAGGTTTTTCCCTCGCTCCCATCCCCGACGAATTCTTCTTTCTGTAGGAGAGAGAAGGCGCGCAAAACCCAGTTGCGTTTCTTCTTTTTATTTTTATTTTATTTATAGTAGCAGGGTGCCTGGATTCACTCCCTCCCACACGCCTCGGAGGGAAAGGGAATCACAAAGGCCCGCTCGTTAACGCACCAAGAGGTGCGAGCTACCATCGTATATCATTTGCTTGCTCGCACGAAGCGTTTGCTTTAACCTTCTTTTCATCTTAAAATAATAATAATAATAATAATAATAATAATAATAATAATAATAAACCTTTATTCAACACTGGAGGGTTGCGGCACCACGGAAAGGTCATAGGCATGTACCTGAGGCCCGTGGTTCCACGAAGGTGTCGACGAAACTCTGTCATTTATAACATTCTTAATTATGCCGGGAATGAAACTAACTTATAAGTAAACTGATAACCATTAGTGAAAGATACAGCCTTTCTGCTGATGGGTCATGGCAGGGATCGAGCTGAGTTACCGCGTGAATGTCAACATTAGCGGTTAAGACAGTGTTGGGTAAAGCATCTCTAAAATGTATTAGTAATTAGGTACAAAATAAATGAGAGGTTATGTACTTCAAGTAAAGTAGTAAGTACACCAGGTGCGATGTACTTAATATAAAGTACTATAAATGCAATGTACTTTCGAAGTAAAGTACAAGTAATTTTTAACACAAATCTGCCCTTTAATTTCCCTAAACAGCATTTTTTTCTTATTTTTTACTGTATGCATTGTTTGAGGGGCACCCGGGGGTGCGTCAGTTATTTTCGGAAATGGCGGCGAATATTGGATGCATTGAGTTATTATAACACATTATAATAACTCTATGATTGGATGACACCAAGTGACTTCTGAGTTGACAAAGCATTATTTTGTGATACAAATTTAACAAGACCAAATTTGAGGATTGTACTTTGAAGTTGGGAATTCTACTTTCCTCAAAAAGTAAAAAAAAGAAAAAAAGAAAAACTTTTATGAACGTACAAGTACATACTCAGAGGCAATGTACTTCAGGTAAAGACCCACCTTGAAGTAGTACTTTGAGTACAATGTACTTAAAGTACGTCCCAACGCTGGGTTAAAGCCATAGCAAGTCTTTGTAAACGAGTTCCCCTGATGACACATGAACCTGTTCCAAGTTTTGGATTAATAAATAGTGCACAATTTGAGCGGAGACTTCAGACGAGCGCTGTATCAACTACGGCCAGTGCGACGTCACGCTGGGCTGCCTTGTAAGTTGCCCTTACGTTTCCAAACTCGAATGTATTGTGGTCTATAGGCCTGTTTCTCTCGGCCAGGGGGCGCTGTAGCGTTCTCGAGACGCGACCACAAACGAGGCGCTTCCGCTAGCATCCGCGAGACGCGACCATTGAATGCTGACGTAAAGTGGCGCCCCAGCGTCCCATCACCACGGGGATAAACTAGCGTCTGAGAACTTCCCTCGGCGTCTGCTCAAGGTTCACGCGCACTAACACAGCGTTTGAAAGGACGCAACGATACGGACAGTGGAAACGCGACCTAAAAATATCCGATGCTGCTCGCCAGAGGCGTTGTTCAAAAACTTGAGAGCTACACTTTTATTGGCGGAAATGTGCTTTTGTTTCAAGCTTTAGTTTCCAAGAAAAGTGACTCTGCAAATCCAATTTGGTAGGCCTTATTTCTAGGGGTGTCGCGAACCGGCCGCGGTTCGAGTTCGACCAGGTTCGACTTTTTCGAACTTTTAGTGGAAACTTGGACGAACCTTGTATTGAGGTTCGACTCACGTGCGCATGCGCGACAGGCTGGCCAGTTGGCTTCGGATTGGATGGTAATGGCTAAGAAATGAATTAAGTGCAGCGCTGATTGGCTATTTCAGTCAATACAGTACTAAAAATTAAGTTATTAACTTCTTCAGTGAGGAGAATTAGTTTCTTTTAATTGCAGCTGTTCACAAAATAAAATAACCCTTTGCATAAAAAGAAATTTCTCCAAACCTAGAGATGCTTGTATTAAGGTCTGGCCACACTGTACTCAAAGTCGAACCGGTCGAATCTGCTGAAAGGTTCGAAGGTTCGTCGAACCGGTTCGACTGGGTCGAACCCCGAAAGTTCGACCAAAAAATCTGGTTCGACAAAAGTTCGCGACACCCCTACTTATTTCCTTGGAAAGCGTGTCGCATCCAAAGCAGATCAGTTGACGAGTGCTACACAGTGGACAGATGGCGAAAGTTATTGCCTACTTAAACAAACAAAAAACAACACATTTATTTGTCCACCCTCAAATGAATTCAATCAGTTCAGTAAAGCTACAGTGGAGAAAGCTATGATGATAATAAAGCGTACATATTTATTGAATATTAGAGAAATACTAAATGCCATTCGATTATAAATCTCGAGCACAAACCGCACAAACATACTATTTTCTTAATTAAAAAAAAAAGTTTCACAGATCTACTAAATTAGATGGTAGCTAGTGCCACCTGGACTCTGTCAAGCGAACCGAATTTAAAAAGAAGTTCTATTATTTTTCGTTTTGCATATTAACGTTATTATTACTTATTTTTAGAAATACCACGATGCAACTTATGACATTGTTTACGTGCAGTGTTTACTTCTTCATCAGCCGAAAGCGTTGGCCGAAAGCGATCTCCCTCCACTAATCTCTACCCGGTGCACTGCCCTCGAGGCCAGCTGAAGCGCCGCCGTCCAAACATTGCAGAGAAAATCAACGGCAACAACTTTATCACTTGACGCAGTTCACATCGTCGTTCCCGGGGTTATGTGGCAGCGTCAACATCGCCGCAGCTGTTATTTCTGTCCTACGTAAGCGCCGGCGCTACCGCAGGCCAGAAGCGCAGTCGTACTTGCGTGCATTCGGACGGAATTGCACACAGAAAACGCTCCGACTGCCTTGTTTATGAGGCACAAGAGGGACCATGTCAAAGCTCTACAACCCAGTCACTGCCTGTCTCAAGAAGGTATCGGTCTTCTCATGGTTTCAATTAATTTCATTTTATTTCGGCACCTCTCCGCTGTACTCCCCGTCATACACCTGTCGTAAAATGCAACTTCTTTTTATGCAGCCAATGCGTGAAGATACGTCGACCGGGGACAGCGACAAAAAGAATGATGAAAGTAAGCACGAAGTGTCGATTTCGGCGACTATTAGTAAGTCGGGATGGCATTCGCCTTGTGGCAGCTGCAGACGCTTTGTGGTGCTGCGTAGTTTGTACGCTTTAAAGCTTTTCCCACTATTTTCAATCGTGCATACAGTTGAGGATGAAATGAGCTGGAACGCATGACATTTGCATTTGCGCGTTGTCAGCTCTTGAGGACTGGGTGTTCACACGTGCGAAGGTAGTACATTTAACCCCTTCCCTCGAAATATCAGCACCTAATTTTAAGTTGTTCCAACTCCAAATTACACACAAACTGATCACTCTTCACACTATCCTTGATCCATGCATTAGCCATTACAGAAGACAATGCTAAGAGTTGTTAGTTAAATGTTTTGCACAATTTTCATGCAGACAAGTCTCCAGCATCAAGTCCAACCAGCGGAGAGGCTCCCACAGGTTGGATGAGAAGCATAACGTCGGGATTATACAATGCCAGTGTCGGAAGTGTCAAATGGGTTGCAACGACCACCTACAACGTTGGATCTGGTGTTGTCAGCACAGGATCCAGCCTGGCCCAAAAGGCAGTCCGCAAAGAAAGCAAAAGCAAGAACGAGTGATCTCTACACAGTTGTATCCTCACACAACAAAACAAAAATAATCAGGGGCAGGTTTGCAAGTACACATTGCAGCTGCGGAGCAACACACGAGACTATGCGGCGAGCAGCAAGTCAATGTTCCATCCAGTACCGACATTCCCATCCTTTCCTTTTCAAGGTTGCCAAAATAGCAAGCTGTGGATCAATGTCTCATTCGGGCTAGGATACATTTCCGTCTTTTGTTTCCAGTTTTTCAACTGGCCGAGAGATGCACGTGGATTTTTCGTGGCGGTACTAATGTTTGGAATAGTCGTGCAGTGCTGTGAAGTCTTTCAGTATATGTACAAATGCTTGTGAATTGCAGTGCTGAACTGCAGAAAGTGCCTTTTTCAGACAGTTTTCTGTATTTCTACATGGTAAGTGAATTGTCATCTTCAGGTTCTTTGTCAGGTAAGGGGGCGGCTGGAATGCTAGTTGCACACCTCTGGAGATATGTTGTTGGCAGGGTTGTTATATGGATTAATGCTGTTTCAAACAGATCCCCAACAATGTCAGAAACCTGTGCAATTGAATGATTAAAACCGGCCAGATACATTGTTGCATGGAAAGTCCTTTCATTTAACTAAAATCCTCTGCCACGTTGCAGCTTTGTGGGTACTAGCCAGAGTTTTGAGGAATGTGGCCGGTTTCAGACTACTTGGGTCCATTGGATGTTTCTAATACAAGGGAATGCCACTTACCTTTGTCCAGCACCAAGCTCACCACTTTCAAGTACCCAAAAAAAAAAAAAAAAAAAAGCAGTCATTGGCAGCATGTGCTTTTTGCTTGGAGGCACTGCTACGTTTGACAATGAGCAAGATGCCACAACTAGCCTTTTGTGCTTTGCTGTTTGATACGAGTAGGGTGTACCATGCCCCTTCCAGGCCCTGAAAATTTATCTAGTCTCCTGCTTCTCATGTTCACTATTTTTCCATTTTTTCGGTCCATTTACATACGAAACAGCCCAGGCTAAGGTTCTAGTCAGTACAAGGAAATAAACTGCAAATCCCAATTTCGTCTACAGGTCTACTTGCATGAGAGTATGTGTGCTGCAGGAAAATCCGAGGAAGTCAATTAAATCAATGCGCCAATTATGTGTCCAACTGAAAACCAGCGAAACCAGGCGCAGTGTTGTGCAAAACAATTTTAATCAGAATTTGCGCAATTAAGGACATGTACAAAATGAAAGTCTTGCAAACTTAACGTCAGATGGGCAGCAATTTCACCAGACGGAACGGTTAGAGGAACGAGTGAACTTTACAACCAACACCCTTCTTCCACCGACAGTATTGTACGCACAATTTCCGAAAATAAAACCGGCATCTGTCCTTTGACAGACGTCCAATGCTGTATGTACCTCCGTCCTATTTACACTATTTACAACTCGTGAGGGGTGATTATACACATATATATATATATAAATAAAACCGAACTGAAGGATGAGTCCAGAATGTTCTAAAACTGGGAGAAGGGTGGCACGGAACGAGTCCCCCACACTTTATGAAAGCGGGGGTGGGACAGTGAAGGCTCTGCAAAGTTACTTGCAGCCAGTTTAGAGCTTCAGGTGCTAAGGCACTGCGTCGCCCTGTTCCCATACAGTGCTGCCACAGCTACGACGATGGTGCTCGCAAGCCTGCCTCGGACGAGGTGCGAAAGCTGCTGGGGCGGTCCAATCGTCGGAAATAAGTATGGGCAGGCCTAGAAAGGGGAATCCGAAATGGTCCTTCGGCACAAGTTCCCGCGTCAAAGTTTGCATCGGCTAAAGACTGCGACCGCGACGTGTGAACCCGGAAAGACGCGCCCCAAACAGGATTCATAGAAAGAGAATGTATGAATTTTAAAAGATTAAAAGGACGACGGGGAAAAATGTTTCCCCCATGTTAAAGAGAAGCGCCGTAATTAAAAACATTGCTTCCAATTTAGGGACAGCTGTGTAAATTCATAGAAAGAGAATGTATGAATTTTAAAAGATAAAAAGGATGACGGGGAACAACGTTTCCCCCATGTTCGAGAGAAGTGCCTAAATTAAAAACGTTGCTTCCAATTTAGGGACAGCTGTGTAAATTCTTAAAAGCAATGAAGGACGGAAATTAGTAGTTATAAAAAAAATAAAGGGACAGCTAGAAGGTTATAAAAAGTAATGATGAAAGGGGGGGGGGGGGGACCGCGCCACACTTCCTCCTAAGGCGAGCGAATTCAGGCAATGGCGACGTTCTCGTCGTTGCCTCCGTCGTCGGAATCTTCTGCGAGCGCGGCCATTGCGGCTGCCTTGGCGCGCATCCGTGCCCTCGCATGGCTGCCAGGCGGCGGCCTCTCGCCGCCGATCCGAGCTTCCCTGCTGCCGTCCCGGCATGGCTCCAGCACCAGTGGGTTCTCCCGCAGCACGTCCCCGGGGTCCTCGATCCGCACCCTCGGCACCACCTGCTTGGCCTGCAAAGAGACGCGTGGGGTGACCCTGCGGTGGCCATGGTGTGTGGAACGAGTGCCTAACCTTTGTTTCACCTTAAGTAAGAGCATGGTCAAAGACTGCAGGATGTGCAAACGCATACACATACTAAATGCGCAGGGTCACGGTCGCTACGTTTGATTGGAATAGCTCGTGGGTTCTCAAACTGGGCTCCCCAAGGTCCCTTAAGGGTCCCCCAGGCCACCTTTAACAGTTCCCTAGGCTTGCACATCTTGCTTGTTCCAGCCCCCAAGTATAACATCCTCCAGTTTAAGCACTAGTATTTTAGAGCGGAGCTCTTAGGCACCTGTTTGCATTTATAATGATGTAACCGTGAGAAACGTGAAAGTCCCAGCAACACAGCTCCTAGACAGCCACCCCACAGAGAAGCCCTCTTCCTGGCGCTCTGGCCCGCACATCAGGAACAAGTGCGCTTGGCCGCTGCTCTGAATGTCGGGCGCTGCGGCCGTTTCTGCTTTTCTCGGTGCCGAGGAGCATGGCAGCATGGCAGCATGGCCTCGACCACAACCTCGACACTAGCAAAGCGTGGCCGTCCACACCAGTACATTGCAAACAAACTAAGGGAGCGGAAGATTAACATTCATGCTTTTGCATTCACAAATCATAAGAAGCGCTTAGGCGTCCTCGGAATTTTAAGAGGTTGACGAGAACAAGGCAGGGAAGAGCTTCAGATGTACCGCGTCCAGCACAAGCTTTCCACCTTCGACGGCTCTCCAGCGCCTTGTGCACCTGGAGCGCGCGCAGTGAAAGCGCGACAGAAGGCATGAAACGCGTGCCAGAGGTTGGGAATTCGAAAGACATGCCCCGCCATTCTAGTTTCGTCCGCGAATATTGGAAGCGTGCGACGAGACTGAGGTTTCACGGCGCGGCTCGTAGCAGAAGCATTTCGCGTACGTCGCACGTAGCAGTCAACCTTTGTTTCCAGGCAAAGTCCGCCTGCCCAAGCACAGCACCATCCGAAACGTTTGAGGCCACGATCAGCACTACACTGACATTAAGACGACGTCCCCTCACGCGCCGGTGAAAACGGCCGCAATCATCTCGATTCCAGTTTGTTTACTCGATCCGCACCGGTAAGCGAGGAGCAATCCAATAATAAAGAGGAGAGGAAAGTGCTTCTGTAAATTTGATCGCTTAGTGAATATTGTCCCGTAGCGATTTCTGGACCGTCGAGCGCACTTCGTAGGGGTGTATTCCGGCACAGATAAACGAGAAACATGGCAGTGTGTTGCAGTCTCTGGCGCTTACAATTGTGGGGGCATACCGTACATTGCCGCACATAGGTCGACCTAGCGCCACTAAGTAAGCTACGCTTCAGAGTAACGACACCTGCCCATCTTGTGACTTCAAATCATGGTTGCCAGTTATCTGAAGTTTTATCCGAAATTGCAGGAAACGCTTTTTGGTCCTCCACAAATGTTTGAGCAGTTTGCGACAAGGCAAGGCAATATTACATGAGCTTCTTAACACCAAATCTAATGCTGAGGAAGTCGCACTTAAATCGCGACGATCGGCAATTGCATCCGCTCTAGACAAGCACCAAGATGGCGATGCCCACAAAAATATCAGGGAACATAGTGCCGATACTCTAAGCGTAGCTGATTTAGTGGCTCTAGGTCAATTTTTTTAGAGATGGGTATCTCAAATTAGAAAATCTCAAGAATAGGTATCTAAACGAAAAATATATATATTATATAGGGTGTCCCAAGTCATCAGGCTCGATATAAAATGGACCGTAAAAATCGACGCCTGCACGTAGAAATTTAAACTTTATCAAAAGTGTATTTCACAGGTCGTTTTTTTTTTCTCCAAGATTACAAAGCGTAGCTCCGTTTCTGTAAAAAATAGGGCCAAAAAACTTGCCCGGGTCTACGGCAGGCGGCTACGCAGACGATTAAGTCGAGAAGCGGGGCGTGTGATGCTCGTATCGACAGCTGGCGCTACCTCCATATTGACACTGCTCGCGACCACCGTGGTTTATTAAAATGAACAAAAGCTTTTTGTAATGTGCCTCTGGTTAAATAATAAATGCAGATAATAAAAGTAAAAAAAAGAGTTTGCATAACGACGGCGCTTTCGCTGCCAACGTATTTCGTCCGAGTGTCGTCTGCTTTCTTTCGCTGGTCGGCTACACCTTCAGACGTAGCTCCCGACGCCATCTATCAGTACGAGTGCGTAACGCGTCCCGGAACTCAACTTGGTCGTCTGCGTCGCTGCCCGCCGTTAACCCTGACAAGTTTTTTGGCCCCATGTCTTACAGAAAGGGAGCTATGCTTTGTAATTTTGCAAGAAAAAACTAACCTGTGGAATGTACCTTTGATGATAAGTTTAGATTGCTACGTGCAGGCATAGATTTTTACGGTCCATTTTAGATTGAGCCTGATGACTTAGGATACCCTACATATTACATATATTTTTATTGGTTAGATTTTGGGGGGTTTTTAGGCCTGCATTCGGAGTCGACCTATACGGGGCGCAATGCACAGCAATTGATTTCGAGCTTTAAACGAAACTCTTGTGGGTTGAACGACGCGAGAACACATACGCAGCAACATTGGACATGGATACGTTTTCGAATGTCAAGGTGCCAAACCTTTACTCCAGATCGAGATCAAGGAACACTGCCAAGGCGCGAGTGGGGCCACTCCAGGCCTGAGCAGGCAGATGCAATGCGGATGCCGTCGCTTGTGTAGCTGCCGAGGCGGATCGGCGCGCCCCCCTTTACATTTCACACCCTACCCAATAGGACGCCTCCGGAATACCGTAACAACGAGATGTCACTCTGCAGCTTCCTGAAAATTCCCTTTGAACATTATTTTCGCTTTTAGGAGCCCGTTTATACAGTTGACTTCCAAAGCCAGAGTTTAAAGGGGAGGCGTCACCACATTCGAAAGCTCCGAGAAGGGGGGTGGGTGGGTGGGAAGGGGGGGGGGGGGGGGGGGGGACTCACGGCCTTCCGCTTTCTGCTCTCGCCGGAGGGGGCCTGGCCCGGGGCCTGGCTGGTGGCTTGGCTGGAGCCAAAATCATCCAGTTCCTCGAAGTGCTGCCTCCGGGAGAGCAGCGTCAACTGCAGCGTGTCCATGCCGGCATCGAGGACGCCGTCTGTGGTCAGTGCCACATTGCGGTTGTTTGCCTGCAATGGCCGCAGCAACAGAGATTGGCTTGTGCGTTCGTCCTCTTTTCTGCAGCCGTTTAGGGTGCGGCCTTCCGTGGTCTTGCCTAGCAAGTTATTTTAGACTGAGTGACACGCAGGCACATTAGCGAGCCAGCTGGTTACCTAGAGGACCGGCTATCGAGATACTTGAAGATGTTTTATTACTCTTGTAAGATTATTGATCCCCTATTTTATGTTAAATAGCGCAACTTAAGGATCTCGCTAAATCCCCAACTTCACGATTTCCGTAGAACTTCCGTCTCAGTAAATATACATCAACAGGCTCGGAAAGCCCACCAAACGAAGCGACCGGAAGTCTCTCGGGAGCCAAGGGGCGGCTTGCGTTTGTAAGCAGGAAAAGGGTCTACAGCCGGGTAAAAGAGCCGAATAGCCGTAAGATACTAAATGCACGGCCGCACAAATGGCAGGAAACACGGTTAAATCACCGCCGTCATTTATTTTTCCTCGAGGACCCGCATGGGTCAAAGGAAAGGTGTAGCAGGACAGAAGGAAAGGCGGCCAAAAAAAGGGGAAGGCGATAAACGCCAACAAACAAATGCAGACAGAGCGAGGGAGGCAGAGAGCACTTTTACCAGCTGCAAGGAGGCCACGAAGTAGCGTGGCACCTCCCAGACCGGTCCCCCTTGGACCACGGACCGGAAGGCCATGCTTTGCTTGCTGGGACCGTCGCCGAAGCGATCCAGCAGACGACCGCAGTAGGTGCGGATGTCGTAGGGCTCCCGCTGCTGCAAAGACACAAAAACATATCTAGTGAAGAATCGTTCGGGTCCACGGCACGAAACAGGTACGAGCTGCAATGCCAGCCACAAACCGAAATGGGAGATATGGACGAGGCAATATCGAGGGTCAGAGTAAAGTAGCAGAAAGATTCGGGGGCAATTTTTTTCGAGATCCAGCGTAAGAATTCGCCATTAGATACAACACCCGGCGGGCTACTTGGCCGGGGAGAGCTGGCGTGCAAGGCAGTTGGGCGACCGGCACACCGACAATCTACGTCGTAAATTCTAGCGCTGGGTTCCTAGGAATCGAGGCGCCCCCAGAGTCCCTTCCTGGACTCCCCAAGCGCCAAAATTTTTTCGATCCTCCATGCTCCACAGTACAATCACTTTCCAGTTTTGGCACTACCTCGGCAGATCCTTCGGGCACTACGCAGCTCTATCGTAACGACGCCAAAACCGAGAGGAGTTTGCTGGCTGCATTCGAGGCAGACGGTCGTAAAGCAGGAAGAAAAACGTGCGAGAAGGACGCCTTAACAAAAATGTGAGGTGCAGACTAAAACCCAGAACAATGTCGCATACTGCCAGTACAACTGGTGAGCTGCACGCCCCACATCATGGTGCGCGGCTTTCCAAGGCATGGGAAAGGGCGACGCTTCGCAATATGCCGAGCGAGGGCTTGTCTTTGACACCGGTGCTGGCAACCCGGGTATGGAGGGAACTCGGGACTGTTGTAGATTTTGTAGTCGTCGACGACGAGAACATGCACACTCTGCACGTCCCGTCAATGAAAACAATATTGGGATGCATATACACGAAAGATGCCCGACGAAGCCTCTTTCCTAGCCCGTGTGCTCCCTTCGATCTTTCCTCTCCCCTCACCTAGGGCTTACCTCCTCCTCCTCCTCCAAGGTCGGCCGGATCTTGTTCTCCCACTCGGCCACCCTCTTCTGTAGATCCGTCAGCTGAAAGCTGTTCATGGGCTCCTGCAAGACGCAAGCAGAACAGGCCGTCAAGCTCACCCGTGCCTTTACATTGCGTGCATAGAGGGATCGCGGAATCTCCTACCTGGCACTCCCGTAGGTAACTGTGGACGAGCGTGCCGTAAGAGTCCTTGTCGGAACCCTCTTCGGAGGCAGCTGCGGTAGCACCTGAGAAAGTGAAAGATGCATTAAAATGCCTCCGCTCAATATCTCTAGAGCCACTTTGTTTTTGTCGGAGCAGAGCAGCAATGAATTTCACGCTACAACGGCATCAGCACGTGCCGTCGGCACGTAGTGCCACCGACGCATGCGGAAAGAGATGGGAGGTAAGACAGGACGGACGATGACGGCGTAGAAGCTGTGAATAATGGTTTTGTTGAAAGAGACTAATACACTCGAGGATAGTTTGTGCAGTTGCGACTGCCTACAATTTTAGAGGCTTAAAACCGTTTTTTAAGCCTCTTGGGACCGCTTACGACTAGACGGCCAGTTGCAGGCAGCCACGAGAGGCTCAGTCATAAGCAGTCTCATTCGTGTGAATCAACCTTCACCGTGTGTATGAGTGCGAGTTAATTAGACAGAATCACGAACAAAACAAAAGTAATGAGCTGTTCGACTACACGTTTATTAAACTTGTCGCCACCCGAAATCGGGGAATTGAATGTCCGATGGAAGTACAAAACCTTGTCATGTCCGATGGAAGTACAAAACCTTGTCTTGAGCATTGCTACATGTTTGGAACTGAATCAGTACTGCAATGAGCTTGAAGTTCAGTGGAATCGTGACATAAGCAATACACGAGTACAATACGCATTCTCCTCTCCAATCCTCGAGTTGTACAGCATCTGCGGGAATCTGAAGCTGCCAGATCAACGTACGTTGGAGATTACGTGCTTCTTGGAATGTACAGAACAGTTGAGCAACCCAGAGCTTATTTAGGTCTCACTTATTTCTTTCCACAGTCAAGGTGCAAATCCCAGTGATGGAAGCGGCACCAAATCTTCTTTAGCAGGTAAAATTTTGGTTTGGAGCAACCACCGACGCTTTTTGGAGCATATGCCAACATCTGTTAGCCCGCCACCTTAAAATGTGATTGCACTGCTCATGGGTCCATATCTGATAAAGATTGAAGCTTCCACTTTGATACTGAAGCATATTACTCACTATCTTTTGTAGTAAAAATAGATAGGACCCAAAAATAACACAACCCCCCTCTAGAAATGAGGCTCAGGTCAAAGTAGGTTCAATTTACAATGGGTATTTACAAAATGGTTGTAAAATGAAGCATAGCTCAACGCTTCGGTTTATATAAAGCATCTCTCCCTCCCTCTTTTACACTCTGTAGTTAATTTTGCTTGCAAATATAACTCCCGTGAAATTCCCGCAAAAATCAACACACCTGTTGAGATGCCTATTAAGGGGGGACACGGGCTAGAGGTTGAACTTCTGAACTACTCAAGTGATGGGGATGAAATTTGCAGGGGAGATTTAACTTCAGATGTAGGTGCACTGTGCAAACTTTCAGCCTCTCTAGCACAACTTTACATAACTGCATAAGAAGATGTGTCACTCTTCGTTAAGAAATCTATGATATGCAAATGAAGCTATTAAGCATCATTTTAACTGCTTGAATATAAAGTTTGGAATGTAGGACTTCGGGCTATCTCGTTTTTATAACTCAAGTATAAATATTTCAGGAAGAGTGATTACCTCAAAATATAAGATGCATATCTGTCCTATATCAATTTTTAAAAACATTGTTTCTTCTCAATGAGGTTTTTAACTTAAAACAAAATAAAGTAGATAGCCCGATTCTCCAGTAAATTTCAGTTTAGAAACATCTTGATTGTGATATCAGAAAAATTTTAACTTCGATCAAAAGATTCCTTTGTATGAAATTTGCAGCAAAAAGTGGAACTGAGAAAAATGCATTCAGACATTGAACTCCTTTACTTTGTTACTGCCTCACAATGTGTTGAAAATATTTTATATCAACATAACTATTCGGCGCATTGCTATAAAATTTAGTGTAAGGGTGTATAATTAGTTTCTAAAACCAAAAACATAAAAATTTAAAAACATAATTTTTTCGAAAAATTTGAAAACTTAGGCCCATGTCCCCCCTTAATAAACATGTTCCCCCCCTCCCCCTACCCAGGCACGAAGCCAGGGTGGGAGTGCCAATGGGCAAAATGTCGCACCTGGTTCGGGCTCGGCAAGCCCGTCTGGACCCAAGTCCGGCCAGTCTATCCCCTTTTCTTCGTCAGGTTCGGGTTCGCCTTCACAAACGAAACAAACATCAAAAGAGATGAAGATGAGCGACTCGGCCCATTGGCGAGGCAAGGTCTTCAGGTGAGCTCATCCCCATACTTCTAAAGCTACCCTTGGGACCTGGTAGAGGTAAAAGCTTAACTTCAACGATAGCATCGCAACGAAACGAAACAAAGTATTGATTAAATTTGTGTCGAAGATGTGGGTGCTTGTCTGGTCGAAACGGTAAATAGTAAGACGCCGCCCCAACAAGAACAAGCGCTCTCTGGCCGCAGTCGGAGATGTAATGCGACACCATTTGGGATCCCTTGGCTGCCAAACTTTGGACGTCCCTTTCCTCTTTACACATGCTCTTCTCCTCCCCGGGTTTCGACCAAATCATGGTGTCCCTTCGTGCCACATCGCATGACGTTGTCTCATACGGCGCCAGTGTCATTTGCAGTGTGAGCGACATCAAATGAGCGTGACATGACATCACGCATGGTGACATCACGACACCGACGTCGCAATGCAACGCCGTAGGATGTCAGTGTCACACGAATTTGCACGCTACATACATCTATCAAGCAGGGAAGGATGGTCGCACACCATCTCACAGTTTCACGACCCTAAAAATGCTACCGTCTTTAAACAAAATTGCATCAAGAGAAATTACAGCATAGAAATGAAATTACATTTGGAAGTTCACACATCAGTCCCACTGAGGACAAACAGCATGCCACAAGAAAAGATTAAAGTAGAACAGTTTTTTTATTTATATTAACTTATAAATAAACACAGGCTAAAGGGGTCATCTTCCCACACAACTGCAGCCTCAGCTAAATGGCAGCAGTGTTTCGAGGTTGGGGCTCTAGAGGCCTGTTTACAGGTACACCGCAGATGCCGACACAATGCTACAAACTGCGCTCGTTTGCATTGTACCGGCGTTTTAATGCATGCGACTTAGCCTTTTGCCACGCCGATTCGGCTCAATGCAGCGCCAACTCGGCACTGAGCCAGCCCTACAGTGGCTCCGACGAAGTGCTGACCGCGTTATCTCGGCGCTCGGACACACATACAAACTGGCCCAAAAGGGGGACACCTCCAAAAACTTACAGGGATCGTCAGCCGCACAGCCGTCGTCATCCTCCTCTGGTGGCACGGTCTCCTCGAAGCCCTCCTTCTCCTAAAGAAACACGTTTCAGTAAGATGCCACTCCACTCCACCAAAGCCACCATAGGCCACGTGCGTCAAGAACAAGGCCGCCGAGGGCGGAACGGATGCCATACCACATTTCACAAGTCCAACCGCATCCGACGCAACAATCCGACGAAGCCAATCGAGCGGTGCCAAAAGCGCGTCGTCATGGTGCTCGTCGTCTTTGCGATTCACGGCAAATGCAGAGTGATCCCGGTGTTTTTTTTTTCTGTGCGTAATGGGTTTAGTTGGCGATGGCAAATGCACAAAAACGAGCACCGTGACGACACACTTTCGCCGCCGCTCGGTTGGCTCTATCGGATTGTAGCAACAGCTGCGGTCTGACTTGATATGAAACGACGAGTATGGTGGCCGCACCTTTTACACCGAGCGGTAGCTTGCGCCACCTGGCCTAGAAACTTTTCAGCCCCTCCTTTTCAAATTTTGTGCGGAACTCCTGTCCCCCGTTCGACAGTACGATCCGTTGATTATGTGCGCAATCTCGCGCCTCCCAGGACCTCTTTTAGCAGTCTTCCAACCTCCTCTTTACGATTATAATTCCCTTATCACAGATGGACGGTCGGACGCTCATGGCTGCTAACATTGTGGCGGGCGGTAGATCGTGCCATCAAGCCTAGAAACCGAGAGTATGACTCATCCCCTTGCCCTTCGAAGCCGATTTGCTCCCCCGAGCTCGTCCGCCGAGGAATTGGCGTTGCCAGCAGTTACTGTTGAGACCGGTTATAACGAAGTCAGCGGGAATCAGAAATCACTTCACTATATCCGCTATTTCGTTATAACCGACTTCGGTTAACGAAGTACAAAAGGAAATGGGAAATTGTGATCGCTTCGCTGTAGCCGCTATTTTGTTATAACCGACTTCGTTATAAACGGTCTTGACTGTACCAGCAATGCGGCGTTGCCAACACTGATCTCTACTGCAGGAGGCTGGATCGCAAATTGCGGATTGGCTTGCCAGGGTTGAGCGGCACCACCGGCAGCCGTCGCTCTACACCGGCTAATGCATGGGACTATGGGAGAAGCGGAAAAAAGTGTCATTTCATATCTTCGTAGGTTGCACTCAACAAAGAAACTTATCGGATTTTCCAGGAACAACAGTTGTGAGATGCTGTTATTCCTGAACTGTGAGAAAATATCAGAAGTGTTAGAATACCAATAGTGTTTTTAAATAAATGCTCTGTGATTGAGGGTTGAGGGTCGTGACTTTGGCGTAAACGGATATGGTTCAATGTGACAAGAATTGCCGAGAGTCAACGTGGAGTCGTTTGTGATCTTGAAGTCATTGGAGCTTAGCAGACAAGTTAGGCCTTTACTGGGGGCATTTGCATTGTTTTAAGCGCTTATAAAGAGCACTTCTGGTGCAAACTCTTGCTTAAAACTGCAGCGAGGGCTTCTAGGAAGAAATAAAACTGAGCGTGTCGTTCACTTCTCAAACGCTTCATTTATTCAGCGACCGAAGCAAGCGATGCCGGCACAGTCAGTGGTGCTCTGGCACGTTTTATTTCTTTAACAGGCGCTCGAACGCTTGACAAAATTGTATCTAACCTCCAAACACTCGACTAAACGATCGCGGCACACCATAAAATACTCGCCTTCAAGCAACGCGTGCTAACTTCAACACTCCTACTTTAGTGCATTTCTCTCGTAGAATGGCGTGTATTGCCCGCTGTCAAGCAATGGCCGCCGGTGGTGCCGCCAACGGGTTCCCGATCCGCGAACCTGCCTACTACTGTAGAGATCGGTAGTAGTCAAAGGAACCCGCGGAGCACTACCGCACCAGTCAACACAGTAACGGAAGTCGCCGACAGGATAAGAATGGCAAGGCGTCTCGGACGCCCGACGTCTTTTGACGCGACTACTACAGGCCCCACTCACCGCGGCATCCATGCTCTTCATGGCCTCTAGTGCCTTCTTGTATAGCCGCTCTCCGCCCGGCATGATCTCCCCCTTCTTCTGCAGCTCCAGCTCCTTCCGATACGCTGAAGAGGGCAGTCGGTTAGTGATGCGTCGAATGACGGCGGAATGGGAGGGACCGCGACCTCCCCATCACTTTCGCATTGGACTCGCGCACGTAACTGCGCAGCATTCTGTCAGGGGCACCACTCGAACGGTAAGACGGGAGAATTGCTCGGCTCGTGCGATGTGTCACTGAGTCATCTCTTATATGTAGGGTTTTGCCTTTCCGGATAAAGCGAACAAATGTAGAGTGGTCCTGAGGAAAGGCCACTCCAGTTTCCTTTCAAATGTCTAAAGGGGGTTTATGGTTTATCACTCCCTTCACCACTCAAACCCACGCAGCCACAGCATGAATTGGTGGAATGGGACATGAAGAAAACGTGGCCACCAGAGATTATGTCCAGAAGCTAGGCAATTTTAAAATAATTAGGAACATGGCAAAATTACTCTAAATTTCGATGCATCGAAAATTTCACAAAAAAAAAACTAACAAATCGTAAATTAAAAAAAAAAAAAAAGAAAAGAAGAAATGCTTGCAATTTTAGTAGGGGTGTGTGAATACTCGAGCATACAAATTCGAATCGAATAGAAAGTTCCCGAATAATTTGATTCGCGAATCGAATTCCTAGTATTCAGTCACTCGAATATTCAATATATTCGGCCGAAGACTCGCGGTCGGAGCGGAGCTGACAAAAAAACCCGTTATTTCTCCTGATGTAAGCGCCGTGATGTTAGAAAGACCATGCGAGAAACACCCTCTTGGTCCTACCTTTGCACAAAAATCTAACGGACAGGTTAGAAAAAAGAAAAGTAACGAACGTCACAAACTTTATAGCACGCAGATTTACTCACGTTCGTGACACATTCTACCCTTGAATCACAACCGAAACATCCCATTAGCACCGCTTCCAGAGAGGAATTCTTGGGAGACTGGAATCCCGCACCATGCCTGATTCTTTTCACGAGTAAAGCACCTTGTTTCAAATTGAAGCGCCGATGTAGAACGCACTTGCCACCTCACAGAAATCGGCGACTGCACGATCACAGAAAGAAAACCACGTTAACCATGCCGATGGAACCAGCCGAGTTGTCGTCGTCCTTTTGGAACAGCAAGCCGCGAATTCTGATTTGGAACGAAATTGAACGGAAAAATAGTGTGCCTAGATTTGAGAGGGTTTCCAACTGTTCAATAGCCACGTTTGAATTACGAACTGTGAGAAGGTGACGAAAAGACGAAAGCGTCGATTGGGATTGGGCAGGCAGGGCAGGCGTCGTCGCTCTTCTGTTTGCTCGCCTTCTTTCCACGCGACAACACAATGCATGCGCACTTACAAGTACAACCAATCTGCGCTGGAGCCGTCTCCATAGTTTCAGTTTCACTTGCTCCCTATTAAATCAGGGCTCTCTAAAAATGGATAGATAGACGGAAAAATGGATGCATAGCGGCAGTTGGACTGTGATTGCGCCACCTAACCATTTTTTTTTTCTTACTTCAGATTATATTGTTTAAGCCTGTTTGCTCATTTTTAACACCTATTGTTTATGTGAAATAAAATCCCGGGTGCGCTTTTTCTTCCTTAAAATGCCCCTTTTCTGATATACAAATATATACATAAAAAAAAAGTTGCGATGTTAGGTTGTATTTTTAACGAGAAAAAAATCATGCGTGGCTGTAACTTTGATTTTTTTGTGACGTTTAAAGTAGATAGATTATGTTTGCGCCATAAAATTGGATCTTTAGTACCAAAGGACCAATAGACCCTTTCCGAAATTCAGTGCCATCTGGTGGCTGAAATGGCGGTTTAACTTTTGCCATACAACGGCGGCATTGAACTTGTAGCCTGCAGTATTTTATCGGGCCCCGTCACTTTTGCATGTCAACGGCAGACGAGAATAAACTTTTGCTATACAGGTTTTTCTGGATCATCTCGTCCAATGTCGATTCCCACAACGATGCAACCAGTCAGAACGAAGCGCCAACCCAGATAGACACCTTGATAAAGTTCTATAAGCCAAGGGGTTTCGAAGTCGATTTTGTGCCACTAACAGGTTCACTGGGCTTGAATTAGAGAAATGAACACTTACGCAGCGTTTGCGTTCAATTCCGGTTTCGCAACGTGCTAACGTCTAGAATGTATAGGCCTTGAATCCTCAGCTTAGGAGTATCTTCAACATGTTCCTTCATCAGTAAATAGAAAGCCGCCATTGATATGGCACATGCCATTTTTCAGATGGTGATGATAGTGATCAAAGTGGCCAGACTGAATTTCGGAAAGGGTCTATAGCAACTGCTTTTTTTTCACCAGAACTTCCTTACGTTCTAGCTTTTGTTCCGTACAAGATGCATATTCTGCACCAGGCGCATACTCTGCACATATAATCTCATTCGCAGCACATTTTGAAAAATTCCTACAAATAAAATCACTATTCGAATTCGATTCAATATTCGGCTTTTTTTTCTTAATTCAATTCGGTATTCGATTCGAAAACTACTATTCCGTATTCGCACACCCCTAAACTTTAGTTATAGATCTTTTTCGATCGCCAAGTAGAGACATCTAGTATGGGCGACGAAAAAATATTAAAACATTTCAACCTGCAAATGGTAAGAAAAATACCGAGCAAGCGCCCACTCAAAATTTAGCGAAAAAAATGGAGGATGGGGCGCTTGTCCGGTCATCAATTTTACGTATCAATGTACTGTGCATATTTTCTCAGATCTTACCAATTTGGGTATGGGCGCTTAGTGTGGTATGGGCGGATGCGCGGTATTCTATGGTATATCCTAGATGCATTCTATCGGCGTGGCACCAACAAAGCAGTGTTTTCGCCCATACTGGAAGTGACGATATTTCAAGATGGCGGCGCCCTTGTGAAAATGGTCTATACGTTAACTTTAATCAGAAGCTTGTCCATGTCACTGCAGGAGCTAAAGGTTGCAAGTTCGAACCAATCGTGCCAATATTTTGTCCTAAATATTCGATTGGCTCTCGCCAACCAAAAGATTAACAAAAGCCAATCTTTTGGTGTTCGCTCGAAACACGCCTGTTGACGCACATACAAATGTGCCCGGGAAACCGTGCGGGCACGTCACAGGGCTGACTCCGCGAAAAGCGCGCGCACCACGCAGGCAAGCAAGTCGCACCTTCGGGGAAGGGCCCTTCGATGGCCCAGCGGACGTAGATGGGCGGAACATCGTCAGATTCCTTGAGCGGCCGTTTTCTTGCCCTCCGCATGATCTTGATCGGTTTGTTGAGCGCGGAGGTGTCCTCCATCGGGTCGTAGAACTTGTGCACCAAAATGATGTCCTGGCGATGGGAAGGAAAAAAAACGGTCCTAAGACTCCGTTTCACTCTCAGTCTGACCACAGCCGGCGCTATGGAGGAGCCGGTCAAGCAGCGCCGAAAGTGCATAGTCATGGCACTCGTCTTTGTGGGTTTGCAAAATCCGCATAACATATGTTTCCAAACAAGTTTCTTTCTTTTTTTTTTTTTAACTTTTGCACGGACTATTTTTACAAGGGCGGAAACCACAAAAGTTTCTAGGCCAGCAACTAGACAATCCAAGAACTGCGCCACCGCACTGTCAGCTTAGGGGTGAACGGAATATAGACCAACATGGCTGCCCACAAACAAGTTGGTAATCGAACGCAACAGGTGTGGGCACGGCACACTTGCAGAAACAAAAGCTTGTGCGAGGAGAGGCATCGGAGCATGCCGCAAGGACAGCAGCGCCAACGCGATGGCGCAGCGTCGTTGAATAGATGGCCACCCTTCGCATGACACGGGTGACGACGACAACGAACAAAGTGGCCAGACCAAACGTCCCCTCGCACCTCTTTCTTGACCCGGTTCTCCTCCTTGATGCGCCGGCCGACGCTGGAGTTGCGCGGAAGCGGCACGGGAGTCGGCTCCGACTCGGGCTCAACGTCCGGCTTGGCCCTACACTCCTCGAATGCGCCAACGTCCTCGTGAAGCGCGCCCAGGCCACTGATGTCCAATTCCGGAAGCTGACCACCTGCGAGGAAGGTTCCAGAATTGTCCCCTCTCCTTCGTGCGACGACAAAGACTTAATCTACGCATAGCAGTAGAATGGAGTGGGCTGCCTCATCGAAAAACGAGGATCGTTAAGAAAATTCTCCTAATGTCTAGAATTGGGGTTCTCGATTGTCGAGACCTCGAGGAATCGCAGTCTCTCGCGACTAGCCGCCGGAGAACCCTTCCTGTCTCGGCACGGATTAAATAAAGCGGCAAGAGAGTCCACGAATCTCGTAAACAATTAACGTGCTATAGTCAATGACCGGATGACAACAGCAGAAAGGAGTTCCAGTTGCGCCGCCTCAGGAGCAAACATTGTACTTTCGACGACTCGAAGGCATCTAGTGGGCATGAAAGGGCAGCGAAAGGCCACGAATGCACACTAGGGCACAGAATCTGACTAATGAGCTGGGCACGTGCCACGTGCAACTGACACCGTCACGGTGACAACACGTCGTAGCAGTGTTATTGCGACGTAATCGTCACTTTTTTGCGACGGCAAGATGAAATCGCCACGATGCAGTCGTGATGATGTTCCTTGACGCAGCAACGAGATTGTGACACCGTGCAACGTTATAAAGTCATTGATATCTCAGTCCTTCGTGACTGTTCTCTGCGACAATCTTCCGCTAAAACTCGTCCTGCATTTAAAAAAAAAAAAAAGGAAAATGGCAAAAAAGGAGGCAGGGAGGAAGAGAGGCTTACTCAAATGTGAGTCGTCGGAGATGCTGGGACAGCCGCCGTCAAAGTCCGCCGGATCTGCCATGGACACCTCGTCAGAGTCGTCGAGCCTCCGCTGCGTTTCGAGGCTGGTGCGGTGACACCGGCACCGATCGGGGCCGCACGAGCACCCCGGCAGCTCGTGCAACATGTAGTCCGACTGGTGGCCCACCACGTCCCCCTTTACGCTGCAAGGATGGAAGGCGGTGAGAACCGCGCCAAACCTCGCAGAGCCGGACCTCTTCCAATTACAGAAGATGTTCAAAGGTAAGCTGACCCCTCAAGACTTTTACGGCGACGGCTGTTATGGGCTCTCCCCGCCACTGGAAACGACGCCCGCTATCGTAGTTCTCATCAAAGGGCATAGGACGTACGGATACGGATGTGGTGGCTTAACCCTTTGTATCGGGCGATCACAGTTTTAACAAAACTGGATCTACCCAGATGGCATCCGGCGTCAATGTTGCCGACCACTTGAAATTGATCGCCCGCCGCTGCACTGCTCTTGGGATTTGATCTTTGGCCTGCCGCGTGAGCTATGCCACGGCTTTGACAACCCGTTTTATGTACGGTATTGGTTGAACACATGTGTGCGTACGAGTCTCTTGTAGTGACCACCAGATAGCCACAATCGCTGCGACGTCACGTCAAAAGGTTGCGTTTCTCAATTTATTTTGAGTTTAATACAAACTAATCGTCGAAATCAAAAGCTTCAGCTAGATTGCACAAGCCGTTGCCCAATAACAGAAAGAAATATTTGTGAAATGTATGACATAGTTTATTTACCCTCAAAAATGTTTATCGTGGACTGTTTAGACAGCACGTGACAACCCAAAACAAAATTAAGTTTGCTCATCGGGCCAAGCAGTTGTCTAATGGGAACTATTAAGCAGGGGGGACACACGAGTGATAAAAACGAGCACCTCACGGCAGTTTTATAGCAACTTGCTTGTGCAAGTTGCACTAGAAATTTCTGCGTGGTGCTCATTTTTATAGCTCATAAGTCGCCTGCTTGAGCCACGTTGAGTGTGCTTCTCAACGAGCACCGGTGCACTGCCGAGAACCAACACTAGCAAAAGCAAGCGCCACGGGTGTTGCTTCTCTGCAGTGCACCGGGGCTCTGAAAGGAGCGCACTCAACCCGGCCACGGGAACAAAAAGTAGGAATTACACAAAAACGCTGTTCGAAATAAAGGACAGCTGAAGCGGCTTTGTATTTGAGAAAACACTTAGATTGTCCTCATTTGATCTCCAGAATCTCAAAAATCTATATTATTTAATTTTGTGCATAGAGGCTCCAGAAAATCATTTTCAAAGTACCAATGAAGGCCCTCCTTTCCGGAGCGTGACAGCACAAAAGGAGTTTTCGAAATCTCCACTCTCGCACATCTTTAGCACCTATCAAAGCTATGCACACGCACTCTTGCTAAAGTATAAAAAGGACAGAAAAAAACGTAACGACTGGTGTCCTGCAGGGTGGGGGAATAAATACATATACGTATATATACATACATACATATGCACATATATATATCCACACGAGAGACTTGTGCTCAGCGGCCGAAAGAGCCTTTTTCGACGTAACGACTGGGCAGAGGTTTTTCACGTTTTCTCGCATTCTTAGATCTTCAAGGAAAAAAAAAGTAATTTTCAGATTCACAGGATAAAACTACGCTACTACAATCAACTTCCATTTCAATTATTGAAAGCATTTCAGCTTCCCTTTAAGAGAGTATATGGCCTCAAAATGCAATTTTTTCAGAAAAAACTTTTTTTTTAAATGATATATTTATTAATTTCTAAAGAATGGTTTTAGAAACTTTCATATATAAACATTCAGGATTTATCTTACAATAAGTTATTTGCCATGTTGGGAGCCCTCAGACTCGGCAGTTTTTTGCACTTGTTATTTAATGCTGCTTCATACGCATTTAACATAGCCAGAACATCTCACCCGCATTGGAAGTGCCACTTACTCTAGATTTAGCCCATAGAAGCTTTCCAAGTTTAAAAGTATCAATGACCAGGAGAACCCCATACATCCAAACAAAAAAAATTCCAGAAAATTTGGTATAAGTGCTCTTATTGGTTGAGACCCGAAACAGGGTTTACGATTGGCCCTGCCCGGTGAAGTGATATTGTGCCATCTTCAGTAACACCCTTTCACAGTATCTTCCCACTTCAGATCCTATTCCTGCTTTGCTGCTCTTCCTTAATATGATTTGTCTCTTAGTTCTTGCCAGTTTATCTGTCAAGGAATGCCTGCGACAAAAGTCAGCTTGCCTACAAACGACACAAACTAATAGCTGTTGCCTGGTGAATAACAAAGTCTGAAAGGGGAAGGGCTAACAATGCTCCAGGTGAATTTCCCCTACCTCCGATTCACAGAAAAGAAGGAAACCTAATGTTGAAACTTCAAATGCATCTTTCTCAGTTTCACTTTTTGGCAGGGAATGTGGTATGAGGAAATGTATCATTTGACATTTTGAAAGTGTAAAGACTTCATTCGGTGATGTCCTGGACTGAAATTTCCCGAAGAACAAGTTAAGATACTCATAATTTGAAAAAAAAAAATGCAGAAATTATTGTTATTGTTTTTCTCTAGAATTTTATTTTCTACAATTAATTTTTACCTTAACTTGCACTGTGGGTGTTCTATTTCGCATTAAGCCAAACATTTTGTGGATTACGATTATTACTTTTCTTAAATACATTTCCTAATGAAGTAACTTTTTTCTGGAGCTTGTTACATAGAGTGGTGTAGAATTGGCCTACAAGACTTTAGATGTCATCAATCCTAATGAGGTTCATTTCACCCTGAAAGTTTCAATCAATTTGAGACAACGGTTCAAAAGTTGACCCTCCCAGGCCATGTCCGCCCTTAAAGGGATGGTAAACCGAAATTTGGATTTAAAAAAAAAAACAAAAAAAAACGATGCAAGAGATGCAGGCGGGATGCTACAACCCCTACAACACAACTTGTAAGGCAATATCTTGAAGGGACGGCCGTATTTTTGGAAAAAGAGGTAGAGGTTGAACCAGGCCGATGAGGCGCGTGACGTAGAGATATCTCCATTTCCTCCTCTCTTTGCTTCGCTCCCTCAAGGCAGCGAGGCAGAGGAGACGCGAGGCCGTTCCCTCTCCTTCTCGGAGAAACATGACGTAAACATTTCTGTCAAATGCGCCTCCTTTTTTTGAAAAATACGGTCATCAGTTCAAGATATTGCTGCATCAGTGATGCTTTGGTGTTTGTAGCACCCCGTTGTACGCTTTTGCCGCGTGTTTTGTGAAATCCAGATTTCGGATCAACATCCCCTTTAAGCGGCTCATAAATACATTAGAGAGATGCTGAATCGAAATTGATTTCACAAAACAAGGCCACATAAGCATTGAACGGGACGATACAAACTCCAAAACATCACTTGTACATTGAAATCAGCGAATGGCCGTATTTTTAGAAAGGAAACGCAATGAGGCGAGAAATGCGACGTCACGATTCTCCTGGAATGATTGAGAACGAGGGGAAGCGGCCTCGCTTCTCACCTTCTCGCTTCGGTTCACCTGCTCGAGGGGACAAAGAGGAGAGGGAATGAGAATTGCGACGCGACATGTCTCGTCGGCCGTGTTCAATCGCGCACTTCTTTTCAGAAAACACGGCCATCCGCTAGAGATATTGCGATACTTGTGATGGCCTGGAGTTCTGCAGCGTCCCACCTGTCGCTTCAGCCTTGTTTTGAGAGTTCAAAATTTCTGTTCAGCACCCCCTTCATGAACATAGGGTCCCAAACTTTTTAAATTTTATATTTCGTACCTCTGGTTAATTCAAGAAGAGTTTTAACTATTGCGAGACTAGTGTTAAAAGGTTCAGCCGTAGACGGGCCTGCGCTTTCCAAAGCTGTCCCAAGCAGCAGACATACTAAACTTAGACGAGAGTATGACGCAAAGTGGCGGTTGAGAGACTCCAAAAACGCACTGGCGGCAATGCCAACTAGTCTCGCCAAGATCTTTTGCCGTCAAGACCCGACAATCACCGGCACTCATGTGCGGTGGCAATTATAGACTCTTGCAAGTTCCGATGTAAATGCTTGCACGTCCTGGGAGGCGCTACAGTTTCTTGTCTTTGGGGAATTATAAACGTTGGATTCACACCCTATTTCGCTTTGCCGGAGCTACTCATGCGACCCTATAAATTGGACGCTTCACGCGCGGAATAGGCATGCGACGTTCGCTTCACGTGTCGGCTTCTCTTGCGATAGTGGCAATTGGAGCGCCGACTCTTCTGACGTGCTTCCCAAAATTGAATTTGAAGGATGAGAGCCCATCAGCTGACGGATAGGCTCTGCAAAGTACTGCCTCCGGTTTAGAGTCCAAGACTGTCGGAAAGTCGTGGAAGCAGATGTGCCAAAATTAATGCTAAAGGGAAGAAAAGTGACAACATTTTTCTCTCAATATTCGCAACTTCGCAAATGACAGGATCAACCGCATCTTCCGCACTTGCTCAGTGATTGCGTTGGACGTCACGGGTAGGGACCGATGGCACACTTTAGCAGTGTACGTTCAAAGCCTGACTTCCAACCCCGGAACCAGATTTTGGCCTACGGAAACCTCTTTGTTGCCCTCGCAGTTTAAGATCCCGCGCCACTGCTGACTCCGCTGGAGCATCACCCGCTCCGAGGGGTCGAACTTGCATCAAACAGCACAGTTGTTAGTTGCTTTCGAGTGAAGAATGGCCAAAACTGAGCACCGAACACCTAAACTGCCCGGATCACGCGTGTCAATACAAAAAAACGTTAGCGGTCCAGCATGATCTCGTCACTCGATCAAACGATGTGCTACCGTGAATCGCGCGAAAAACTGCGAAGAGAAGCCGCGGGGTGAGTGAGCCGTGAGGCTGTTTCAGCGGCCTCCGGAGTGGCTCTTACAAGAAGTGCCGAGACCCCCCCGGGAGTCGGGCACACCGCGCGCTGTTCACGGCTGTATATTCGAGTTAATTTGCGAATCGCTATCAGTAATACTCGTTCGCGCAAATAAAAAATAATTTATTTGTAAAATGAGCACACAGAATAGTGCAATCCTAGAGGTACAGCCGGCTGAGCTCGTAACAAGTTGAGGTGTTCATGATATTGCGATTGTTTCGTTTTTGCCAGTGGTGGAATGCTTTGGTTTGATTATAAGTTGACCCCCCACTTCAAATTCTCAAAAAATGAAAAAAGGGTCGACCTACATTCATGTAAATACGGTAGTTTCATTACACAGAGAGCATCATGAAGCAAGACTTGTGCAAAGTTGTGACTCACGCACCGACTCTTTCGAGAAAACGCCCATTTATAAGAGGGGGAGGGGAGGAGGGCACGATTTAGAGACTGGAAAATATGGTACAGTAATAATTGTACTTGTCTCGCAAGTTTGTTTAGACAGCCCCCCACCAGGCGTCCGTCATCTCCATCATAGAAGAAAAATGTTCTGAAAAATGGCCAGTGCAGTACCACCGCTAGCCTGTGTCCTTCAACGTTCGTCACGCAGCGACGACACACAGCTGCACGCTAATAAGGCGCTCGTCTAGATCGAAACGTGCAGGGGCGGGTATCGAACCTAGGATCCCCGGGCTCTGTGGCGAGAGCTTTTGCTCTATGCGCTTCAAGCCGCCACGCGCCAACGCGCTCGGCCGCCGAACGCCGGTCGCCCCCCCATGGCGCAACGCGAGTGCGCCAGCAAGGAGCAAGAGGCTCACTCAAGGAGGCGGGTCTGCTTGTCTTCCTCAAACAGGACAAGCTGAAGAGGCAGCCGCCTCTGGCGCTTGAGGCGGGTCTTGCGGCCGGCCCTGCCTGTCCGTCCGCCTACCGCGTCGTCCAGGTTTTCCCCCAGGCCCATGTCCTCTTGGAGGGAGAACTGCAAGAGGATGATGCACCGAGTGAAGAGTCGGGCAATACTGGAGTGGCCAGGACTGAGCATTTTGGTGCCCAGAGCCCGTCTAACGCGTCCTCGAAGGTTGCCCCTCGATCTCCGCTATATGGACACTAATCAGATGCGAGTGCAGCGTCGACGTCCGGCCGGGCCTCGTGTCCGGTTGATGCGTCGGGCCCAACTAGAAAATTGACGGCATCCAAGCATGACGACAGTGCGCGAGGGCAGAGAGCGCTGCTCACAAGACTCGATTATTCTAGGTCAAACCCGCCAGAGTTGCCGGAAACATGCTCTCACAGTTTCGGCCCTCTTTTTCCCTCGCTGCCTGATGCCGCCGAGACAACCCGTTTGTGCCGCGCAACGCTTGTATGTATGCAGGCAGCTCGCAAGTGGTGCCGTCTTGGCGCTTCGAGCCACGCGGGCACCGTTTGCGAGTTACGGTTGCGAGTTACGGTTGCGAGGTACGGTTGCGAGGTACGGCCGTCCGAGCGAAGAACACTGCCGCGTTAGATGATTGCGGCATCATGTTGCTCGGTTGTGAACTGCCATAGCGAGTGGGAGAAAAACCGCTTTTTGCACCTTCGGTCAGGCACACTGGCAAAAATGCTGGCGACAACCAGCAAGCATTGATTCTACGCACTAATGTGGCTGAAGGGTCGTTACACTAAAGTGCACCCTTTGTGGTAGCTCTAGAACCAGCGGGCTAGCTTTTGGTCAAAGAACACTGGAGCAGCACCCCCGTGACGTCACGGGGGAGCTGCGGTTGCTTCGTTGTACCGTGTACCTCAGGGCCACAGTGACATTGCATCGCGGCCGTACGGCTGATGATCAGTGTTGCCATCTATCTAGCAGACAGTTTCAGTTTTGCCGTAAACGACCGAAACCAAACTTTGAGCCACGATGATTATAAAACTACACACGACATTGAGAAAGAAATTGTACCACGCAATTCAGGGACACTGCCCAAGCTAAAAACGGACGCAATCCCAAATTAAAAAATGTTGACCTGAGTTGCCCTTCTAACTGTTTAGTTGCACGACTTGAATTCCACGCCGGAGCGAGACAGCAGCCCCTGCGCAAACAAACTAATCCAGGCTTCCATGCCGCTGCACTATGGATCGCCACACAGTAATAAACACAGTGATTAATATGATTAGCGCAGTGCAGCTTCCTGTAAGCTGCCAGAGATGTAGTCGCTCTGACACCCGACAACAATGCAAGTTGTGCGTAATGAAGGTATATGATAGGCATGTGCGAATAGTGGTTTTTGAGTTTGAAGTGAATTCATAGGGAATGGTGGTTTGGGTCAAAGACTTTCTAATTGAATATTGAATAGCTTCTCAAAGCATTTCACTACTGCACCATGCCTAACCGAAAAGCCCCTTGAACTTGAATAAGTTGTTCCTAAGCTTCCACTTGTCCATTTCTAAGCTTATTTTAATCTAGCTATATTTATGGACTCTGACCCAGAAAATCCACTGTCTATATGGGAACGGCAATTAAACTATGCATTAGTCATAAAATTCAACCTAGAGAGATGCCCAGCTATTCCTAATCGAGGGGATTTATAAATCACCTCACTATATGCAAGTATACTTCATAAAATGTAAAAGTTTAGAAAAAAACAAACAAAAAAACAATCGTGAATTATGAACGTAGGTCGTCAGAACATCTCTGCCTAACAGCTCTGGCATAACAGCCCCAGCGTAATTTTGAAAATTTTTCTGAAGTGTAGATATCAACATTCCCAATCTTTCCGTTCCTTTTCACACACACCAGGCGCATGCATGTACCATCCCGCTTTGAAGGTGGGCTTTCCTCTTAAGAACGTGACCACAATATTTGTACTTTTCGAAGTGTTCATCGCGACAAGCAAGCCACGTTGAGCGCGCTTGTTAGCGAGCACTGGTGCACTGCAAAGAAGTAACACCCACGGAAGTGAACCCCGTGGGTGTTGCTTTTTTGCAGTGCAATGGTGCTAGGTGAGAAGCATGCTCAACAGGCTAACCCGTTGCGGTCAACACTTCGAAAAATATGAATATCAAAGTTCATCCTGAAGCGAACATCGAATAGCATATTACTCGAAATATTATTCGAAAATTCAAATATTCAAACACTAAAAGTAAGGCTGCCAGGCGCGCGGTTACCCCGACAGCTAACAAGAGCTCAACTAGTGTGTAATGCCCAGGTATATGTATAAAAATAATAAAAACATTTCATGTTACATTTGTAGGATTAACCATGCAGCACTCATTGCCAGATGCAGCCTTAAAATTTCTCTTATGCACTTTAAGCAAGCATGAAACAAGAAAGTGGAACGCTTTTAAGAAACGGTAGCTGTCGTGACAAAACCATCAAAACCCGACTTACGCCATAGTCTGCTTTTCGACGATGGGAAGCACCAGCACCTGTCTTGGCCACACCTTGAGCATCTTCGCCAGTTTCGCCAGTATTGCTGAAGGTGAAAAAACATGCCTAAACCACGTGCCTAAACCATGCTACGAAGTAAGACTGTCAGATGGATTCGAGGCCCCGAGACAGGATTCTGCTGTACATGTGAAAATGCTGCATGAGCACACTGTATTTTTGATCGCACTGAAAGCATAGTAGTGAAAGCAAGCCAAAACATACTCGCACCGCTCATAGCTCGAGCAGACTTCTTATTCACTCGCACAGGCAAGTATTCTTTCAAGCCAAGCTACTGGCACTACCGCCTTGGCTTCCCTCTTGCAGTAAAGAAAAACACATATATACTGAACGGAACAGTGCACAAAAAGACGAGGACAGAGAAAAGGAATGTGCACGACACACAGCGCCTGTGTGTCGTTGTTTTGCATGCCATCATGTTTCCCATGTCGTCATACCAACTCGCCCAGCTTATCACACACTGCAAAAACTTGTACAGTCGCTGTGGGAGTTAATAGCTCCACGTGAGCGCGCGTTTCTTTCCGAGGTGCATTTGACTGGTGGCTTGCGATAGCACTAGAGATGACGTTCGGGCGAGTCCATGCGGAGTGGACAGGGGAAGCCACTCAATTCAAGGAAACCGTTGTTATCATCTGCCTGCGGGTGAGCGTAGTTCGGATGAAAATGGGAGTTGATTCTGCAGAAGTCAAGGTCCCCGAGCACGCATGGGATGGCTGCTTGAAAGAACGAAACACGTCACATTTTCAACACCATTCGAACTACGCTCAACCGCAGGCAGATGATGACAACGGTTCCCCTGAATTAAGACGGCTTCCCCTGTCCACTCTGCATGGACTCGCCCTAATGTCATGTCTAGTTCTATCGCAAGCCACAAGTCAAGCTTGCCCCTCGGAAAAAATGCGCGCTCACGTTAACTTAACTCCCGCGGTGACTGTACAGACCACTGTGATAAGTTGGGCTAGCTGGAGTAGCAATGTAGAAGGGTAAAAACAGTGTGAAAAATGACATGGACAGAGAAGGTGTACACACACAGAGCGCTGCACGGAAGACATGGACAGAGGTGTACACAGAGCGCTGTGTGCACTCTGTTAGTGTTTTTACCCTTTCACAGTGTACAGAGCACAACTTTTAGCATCTATTTTGGGTTTGAAACAAGCTCCTATATGGCGCATCGTGCAAGTATGTACAAAACAATTATCATTTGCACAACCTCACAAAGGAAAAGGTGGACAGATATAAGCCACATGCAACAAGTGCACAATCTTTGTGGGAACTTGTGCACTGCATACGACATTGTGTAAAAAAAGAGCAACAGAACTGGCAACGTGCCACACGGAAGGAAATCAAATTTTAAGGCGACTGTGAAATAAGACAGAGAGAATCTAACCCATTCCTTCCCTTTCATGCAAAATACTCCCACGTCGAGACCAAAAGCTACCCCATGCTTTATAAATAGTTCATTCAGAGCACTACAATCGGTATCAAATATTTTGTGCTATGCTGTCAAGGCTAGTGTAGTTTCAAATGCTGAAGCCCAGCATTGCTGTGCAAGCACGTGCATGCAATATCCTCCTGCGTTCGCACGTCAAGCTGCTTCAATAATGCTAACCACAGCAGAAGCTAAGCTAGCTTTGTTTTTTCCATGATGCATCAATGCTCTGTTTCCACCACGCGTTTCCTCCATGCACCAACACTCCGTCACCAGAGTCAAGAATAATTGAGAAATACTTGCGATGGCTTTTTAGAGCTGCAGGGATGAAAAACATTTGTTGATAAAAAGCAAAAGCAGAACTCGTGCCGAATGCCCAGAACTGAATTGTAATCTCGTTTGCAGCAACAGGCTGGCTGTACGAATTTTTTTGGAAGGGCATGCCAAGTTACGTCGTACAAGAGTGCTCAAAACTGAATCTAGTCTCGAGCACAGAGAAGCAAATGAAAACAATGTGAATAAACTCACCCTCTGTGAGTCATTTCGCTGGCCAGCTTCTGAACGAGGGAGTAAAGGTACTCCACCTGGGAGCAGAAAGAAGATGAACAGCATGCAAAGGGTTAGACCACGCAAACCAACTACAGATCAAAGAAACTAGAAAGGCCAATGTACCTTCTTGCCATACACAGAGGCACTTCCTTGGATAAGAAAAGCAGCCTCCGTGAAGTTCACTGTAGACTCTCCATTCTGATAGCCGACCGGCGTTTGCGAAAGCTGGAAGAGAAGAGAGAAATCAGAAGCAATGAACATGCATGTTTCAAAGCAGTGCCTTTATTCATGGCCACTTATCACCACATAACAGGAACACTTAATGTCTATTCACACAGTGCAGCTTTTTGGCGAGTCTAGTGTCGCGAAACTAGGTTTTGGGAAGCAGATGCGCTGTTTGAACGAGACAGGCAAACAAATGGACGTATCTCCACGTGGTGAATGGTGTTGATTGGGGCGAAGCTCTGGTGGTGCTGATGATACCGATTTTATTGTTCATAGGTAGTGCTGATGGTGCCGATTTTTTTATTGCTCATAGGTAGTGCTGATTTCCGGGTAGCGTTTCGACTTGATTATTACTGCTTTTTAGTCTGCGAAATGCTCAGCCAGTGGTTCTTCTAGCGGATCAGCTTGGATCCGCTAGAAGCCGTGGGAACGCATCTCCACCGCTTAAGTCAACGGTCCATGTCAGAAAGAGAATGTGTGGTATGGATCGTGGTTATATACGCAGTTGAGCATTTGACCGCAGCGTTCTCTCGTAGTAGCGTAGTGGTTAAGACGTCTGTCTTGTAAGCAAGCGGTCCCGAGTTCGAACCCCCAAACGGGCATACTTTTTTTTTATGAAAGTGGGCAGGATCCCGGAGGCAGCGCAATCAATGTGAGCATGGACGCCGGACAAGGCTAGACCCTAAGGAGCTAGCTTCGCCCCTAAAAAGGATGCAAGCACTCCTCGTTTATGGAGCAAGATTTTGCTGAAAGTTCACCGAGGGCTGTCAATCATCAGAATGAGGAGATACACAGAACACTGCCAATGGCCGATCAACATCGCAGCAATGTTCCATCATTGATGTGGAGCAAGCTTTTGGAGGAGCTTGACCAAAAATAAAAAAAGAAAACGACCATGGAAGTGATGGCCGATTCACACAACAAGCCAAATGGCAATTTCCGTTCGCGGACCATGCACCACAAGACCATCACGTCACCGATTCTTGCGATCCACACCTTGTCCGCGGACACGCAGAGCAAAATGGTCGAGCATCTCTCACTTGCAAATTTTTGGCAGGCGATCGACTTGAAAAACGACTGGCAACTGCACAACTTTCTCTGGCAACTGCACAACTTTCTCTTATTTTGGACGACTAAAACAAAGGTTGCGTATTATTGTGTTTTGAACATTCGCTACTTCATTTTGTTGCGCGATTCTTAGTTCCACACATGAAAGAAGCTGCAGAAACTTTTCCCGGCCGACACGATGCAGGTTCCTGTACTCCTCCTGGTCAGTATCAAAAAGCTTCTGTCATAACTCGTCTAGCACGCCGCATTCTTCCTTGCACGCCCAATCTACCCTTACCCCAACAAGACCTTTCTTGTGGCTGTGGCGTACTGAAGTGCTGTGTGCAAGCACGAAGTGTGTGAAGGTATCTCCTAATGCACCTCCGTGAGCCCAGGACTTCGTCACCTCCACGCTGGACTCCTCGAGTAGGACCATGCTTGTGTCACTATCATGCCTTGAGTTAGTAAAGCTAATGGCACTTAGTGCTAAGCCCATCGCAGTGTTCGGTCTCACTCCGCATGTAACGGAAGCACGCGATTCTTTTTTGCGGTACAAACATAGATTTCACAATTGGACAATGGTGCCACAGTCCGATCGTGCGATTTTGGAGTTTCACAGTACTGTGGGGTCACGAACAGGTTCGGTCCGTCCTCGCTGTCGTCTGCTCGTGGTCTCCTTCGTGTGGATGCGCTCGGGAGACAGAAAAACCGCGGACATGTCGCCATTTGATCAATCCGTCCATGAATCAGTCCGTCGTGCGAATTGGCCACGAGCGACGAGCAAGCAGCCGATTCACACACATACATACAGGCAGTACGGGTTGGCGGCACGGAGAAGATTCTTTAACAGTCGTGACGAGCGCAAGCACTGCATATAAACATGACGACTGGAGATAACCGATCTTTTGGCAGTGCAAAAATTTCTAATACTTTGTGACCACCCGCCTGTTCTTCAACGTTCATGGTCTTCCCTTGGTTTGGCAGACCTAGTAAACAGAGACGAATTCGCCGAAGTTTATCGAGCAACATCAATAAAGCGGACCCCCTTTTCACACTGCGCATACTTCTTATCATTTGCTGCAAAACTCTCGATAGTCTTGGTGCAGATGGGAAGGTTTGGCAAAAGTCTTGAGACTCAGTGAGTTGCAGTTTTTGCACGTTGAACTCCATGTGTAAACTAGACGACCGAGCAAATACTCGGTTTTGCTAAACCGTTGCACATTGAGAAAACACACCGTGTAAAAAGCCTTCTTCCTGTTATAGACCTGTAGCTTTCAAAATTTGTGCAGCCCCTCTGGTGAGCACAGTCAAACACATCAGGGTGCGTTCCAGTCACGCGTTGTCACATTCATTCATGGTCCTTACCAACCATAGTTCCATACCAACCAAGTGAAAGCCGTTTACAACTTCCTGTAACGCCGAATTGGAGCGCAGCTCTTGAGGAGGAGTGGAGGGTATATTCCTCCTCCTCCCTCGTGATCATGCCTGCTAGTCCTCCTCCCCTCCTGCTCCCCCTCCCTCTCCTTTACCACCTCCTCGTCCTTCAAGCTCCTCCCCTCCCCTCGCCTCCGCCTCCTCGTCTCTCCTCCCCCCCTCCTCCAGCTTCGTACTGCTTTCCTCCTCGCCGCTGAAGTCATGTGACCCCCTCCCCCCGACGTCACGTGACCCCCCCGAACCAGACAATGAGGGGAGGAGGAGGAGGGGGAGGAGAGGGAGGAGGAGGAGGGCAGAGGTCCGGGGGGTCACGTGACCTCGAGGGGACGGGATCACATGACCTTGGGCGGGCCGTCACGTGACTTCGGCGGGGGGAGGGGAGTCACCCCCCGGGGTCACGTGACCTGGGCGGGGGAGGAGGAGGAGCGGGGGGAGGAGGAGGGGGAGGGGCGACGCCGCACAGGCTGGAAACGGGTCATGTGACCCCCTCCCCCCGAGGTCACGTGACCCGCCCGGACCATACTACACAATGAGGGGAGGAGGAGAAGGAGGGGGAGGAAGAGGAGGAGGAGGGGAGGAGGAGGAGAGAAGGGGCGCGGTTACGCCGACGCCGACGGCGACGCCGCTCAGGCTGGAAACGGGCCCCTAAGAGCTGCGCTCTAAAAAAAAGCCGATATTTTGAATGCACAACATTTATAGGACTAACTCTTAGGGAGTTTGTGGTCGCAGATGGAGCCTCGATGTCAGTCACGCGACGTCATCCAAAGGCTCTCGTGAAAAGACATTTTACAGTACGATGTTGGCACTGTGACGCTGTTGGCAGTCACTTAAGGTGCACTTTTTTTTTTTTTTTTTTTTTGGGAAGATGTTACGAGTAGCTTAACTACGTTGCCCGTTACTTGAAATAAGTCATGCAAGTATGTTACTGTTTTGAAAATGTCACGAGTATGTTATCAAGTTACTGAAAAAAGTAATGTTACCGGTAACGACGTCACTTTTGACGCGTTACCGCCAACACTGCCTGTGTAAAAGGAATGCACTCCAAATGTATGCAGTCTCGATCCTTCACCTTTATTAGCTCGCCAGGGACATAACTTTCGCTGTTTGCCAAGGTACGCTAAAATGAAGCAGACACATTTAATTTTGTTTTCGAAATCAAAGTCAAAATTCATGCCAGGTTTCGTTTTTTTTTTTTTTTTTTTTTTTTTTCTTTTTTTAATTTACGTATATTTAGTGGTGGAACTGACAAGTGGCGATTTGGAGCAGCTCCTCTACCAGGGAACAACAGTTTTTGGAGCAGAGATTGCCACTCTTGGAGCAGACAATTTTCAGCTTCCATGTTAGAAAATTTAATGTGATCTCTTTTGAAAGTTAGCCCACAGAAATAAACTGCAGTTGTTGGAGTGTTGGGAGAATATTTGAAGTGCCATACCTATGGGGGCCTGGCCACTACAGATATTTATTTATTTATTGAACATTCATATGCGGGTAATTTTGGGATGTCTATACTAACCTATTAGGAGTACCGATGGCATCTTCGGTCTGTGTTTAACGTAAAAACATGTTTTTGGCTACTTTGTAGGGTTTGTGTCATGGCGACGTAACTGTCATGAGTTCGACATCAAACGGACACTTTTGTGTTGAATCTGTCTCACGCTGATCTCTGCTTAATAGTAACTAGGCATGTGCAAATATTTGATTTTTGGTTTGAAACAAATTCAAAGTGTATATTGGCTTTGGCAGAATATTTTTTATTTGAATATTGTATAGTCGTTGTGTCTTTCTCCTCGCCTTTCACTACTGTTACACCACGCTTAAACGAAAATTCAGCTGAACTCGCATAGTTTGTTTCCTAGTTTCTAATTTACCACTTATGAGCTCTGTTAACATTAATCTAGCTACTGCAGCCTCAGAAAGTCCAATACCTACATTGAGATAGCAATTAAACGACAGATTTAACATAAAATTAAACCTATAAAGGGTCGCAGCCATACCTAATTAAGGGTGTTTATAACTTTTTGCTATATGCAAATATTTTCTACAATTCTGAACTAAAAATAAACAAAACAAGCACAAAGAATTAACACAGGTTAACACAATAGTCAGTTATAATTTTAAGTTTTTACTGCAATGTAAATAGCAACAATCACAAAGTTTCCTTTTTTTTTTGTACACCAGGTGTGCTTGTGCACCTGGTGCACAGGTGTGCGTATGCTTGGAATGTGTGTATTTCGCCTAAGCATGCGGCTGCGCTACGGCCAAGCGAGTCGCGAGATCACACTGTTAGCTCCACAAATATTGCTTTTCTACGGTGCACCGGTGCTTGAGGAGAAGCGCACTGAAGGGGGCTAACCCGCCACGATCAAGACTTTGAAAAGTATGAACATCGCAGTTAATTTTGACGCGAAAATCCAGTAGCGTACAAGAGTATTCGTGCCACCTTTTTTTTCGCACATAATGCTTAAACATAAAAAAAAAAGCTTGTTTCTTTTGTTAACACGTGCCACACTTTCAGTTTTCTTTTCAAGAACAGCTCCCTTCTGGCGAAGACGTGGCGCAGATTATGCACAAATACAGCCTTTGTAGCAGCATGCGATTCATTCTGGCACAGCAGTTCCACCACTGCATTTATACACAGCTTATTCTTACATCAACAGGAGAGGACCACACATTATGAAAGTTATCCCACTTCCAGTTCTTGCTGAGAAACACATAGTATAACTACTTTTTTTTTTATCCCTACTAAACAAAGATTATTACTTTGTGGAATGGCCAGGCAAACCTCCAGTCATCTCACCAGTACCAACGATATAATTACAAACCAAAATTTAATTTAATTGCAATGAAAAAAATTTTATGGTCAAAACTCTAAAATAAGAAAGAAAAAGCACCGACAGGTCAAGCAACCATGGGTATCACAAATGTACCCAAATCCTAGGGAAGCCACAGCTAGACTAGGGAACGGCTTCACACAACTGGGGCCGCTCGGCCGTTGTATATAGGTCGCGCTCTACAAACCATCCATACCGTGGCCCAAGGCCCATGAACTAATTTAATAAAAAAAAATATACTTCAAAATTTAATGTGCTGGGCTAGAAACCTTTTTATGACATGCTCAGCTTGATAAAACCACTGTTTACATAAAGTAAGCAAGTTGTGGGAAGGATTTAAAAGTTGTCCCGAGCGACCCCTCTGTTGTAAAAACGAGCCGGAAGAATCGGCACGTCCACATAGAGGTCAAACTTTCACCGAGTGTCCACCGAGTGGGTCAGTTTTACTGTGTACGATTGAGTTAGCGACACTATTTACTTGTGGTTCAAACTCCCGATAGGCGCATTGAGTAAACAGAGTGAGTGGTCTGCTTTGCTGCACCTATCAAGAGATGGCGCCCCGAGTAAACAACGTCGCTAACTTCACTGATTGCAAACGTGCCCAGGCTTGACAAGTGTTTTGTTCCATTTTTTAGAGGCAGAGAACTGCGCCTTGAAATTAAGGGCGGTGAAACTGACCTGCTCACTGTGGATTCAGTGGAAGTTTAAACCTCATATTTGCAGGCGGTGATTTTTATGGCTCGTTTAACGGCAGAAGCTCCGCTTGGGCCACCCCATACAACTGGTTTAGTCCAGGTGTCCTCAAATGCTTCAATCCCCAGGAACACACATTTCTCATGACCGAGAGCCAAGGAACCACTCCCTGAATTAATGCAGTGCAGGAACCCACAAACACAGTAAACAGTAATGCCCATACTGGGAAGCGCCTGGCACATAGTGATGCATTGACGGTTGGCTCGGATCTTTTAAGTGGTTAAACTGAAAGAACCCATTACTTCAAGACACAAACGATTGAGGAAATTCAAGAGCTTGAGGAATCTTCGAGTGCAACCTCTATCATCCCGGGAACAGAGTTTGAGAACACATGGTTTAATCAAACAAGACCTAACACATCATAAAGCTCCAGTCCCATGAAGACTGCAAATTGTCCCGACCCCCTTGTAGAAGACTTCCAGGGGACGCTAACCAGCTCACCTCTTCGAGGTACTGGTCCAGGTAGGCAGAGATGTCCACCTCCCAGTTTTTCGTGAGGTCCCTGATCGGAGTGAGCAGGTTGGCATAACGCTGCTCAATCTCCAGATCCTGCGCGCGGTGCCGTTGTGACGACCCCCCAATGTCTGCGTCCACAGAAGCTGCAAAAAGAGAAAAAGATTTTGGTTTCGTCAATACGACAAATTTGTTTGTTGGCTTACGAATCGTACCTCTGCCGGCTCGGACGGAGGCTGCCGACATCTCGCGGCGATTGTGGCAACCCTGGCTGATGAAGAGTCTCCGCACCGAAAGTTTGTGGGTCACTCTTCCAGCATTCCAGACAAACTATGCCTGAAAAGAGAGAAAAAAAAAAAAAAAAAAAAAAGGAGCTGTTAAGAATTACACAATTGGGGGTCGAGAGCAGTGACGCAAAACCTCTGTTTGGAGAGGGGTACAAAACAAGCAAGCAGTGAGAACAAGAGCGAGCACAGAGCGCGAAAAACTTGCACAAAAAAAAAAAAAAAAAAACTAAAAGGAAAAAAAAAAAACGGCAGTCATATTTTGAAGTTTACATGGTTTCACTTATGCAGGGGAGCCTAACACCGCGCTGAATCTAACTAAAGTAATGCCTTCAAGAGTAACTCTTCAAAAACCCCAGCGAGGAACATGCTTTGGGAGCGGGCGGAAACCCGGTTCTTTTACAAATGGTGGTTAGGCGCCAACGATTTTCACACGACGTCCGACTTACCTGACCGTATTTCAAATTAAAACAGACCCAAACTCTGGAGGAAAAAAAATGCTGACACGTGTATGGTAAGCAGATTGCTGAAGCCTAGGCGCCGAAAGCTTAAGGATCGAAACAAGGTCGGAATAAAAAAAAAGGCGAACCAAAACCGCCAGCCACTCATCGCACTCCAAGGCCCTCTACTCCGAAGACACGGGGACGGGCATCTAATGCGGCAGTGCTAACGCCACGACATATCCTGGGTGTGTTAGAGCGCAGCAAGAAAACGCTAAATCAACTTCGAGTACCACTTTACGGCAAACAGGCACTGGCTTGTCCGGGCGTCTAATGTGAGGCCATTTTGAAAACTCAACCCCCACAGAAAACTTCGTGTTGTTTAATTTCGAGTTACAGCAACCCTTTTCCAACCCACTAAAGATTACATGGGTCACCGAAGATTACAAATGGCTACAACAATGGTTGAATGGCATAAAATCGACGATATTACAACTTCTTAAGCACATTTACCTGAACAGAACTCCCCGGAGCCAACCGTCCAAACACAGTTTGCACCAGTTTCCAACGGTTGCGAGCGATTTTCAGCGACCGTCGAAATCGACATCGATGTGTACATTTTTGTATGTTTGTATTTTGTGTAGACCGCAGCCTTTGTCGTTATTCTCCAAATTATTGCGAGTTTAGTGGGCCTCCAATAGTTCCCAAGACTACTCATTTATTTTTAGAACATATTTACTGGACAAAATAGGTGCTATTCTTGTCGCCTTGTATATTTTTTAACATTTTACTGCCAACGTTATCTCCGCAGTGCCGGTCGCTCGCTCGCTCGATTCCTGTAGATCGAATGTTTTCCTTTCGTAGGTCTTCAGACGTTTTTCAGCTGATCACGGGAACGTTCCTCGGCTTCTCTTTTTCTTGCTTCTTCCTTACCTGTAAACTCTGGTAGATAGGCTCACCATGGGGGAGATCAGAGTAACTCGCGATTTTTTTCTCTGGTCGATGTCTGTGATATACCTGAGTGCGTTTGCTTCGTTGTATCACCAAATGCCTGGTAAGATATCTGCTATCATTTCGTTCGTCGTTCAAGAACTCACTACCTGTTTTTTTTTTTTTATTAATAACTTTCTGGAAGTGATAATGAAAACCTGCTCTATCTCAAATCCTTCATGCCGGCCACCGTTATACGCGCCCAGTTACAAGAGTTTCGGTTTATCGATTGCCGACAAAAATGACGCCCCCACACCATTTTCCCCTTTTCGTTTACCATAACATGCATGACGTTTGATGGACCAAAGCTTGCGCGAATATTCCAATGCACCGCTTACGCAGGTCTCTATGGCGACCGAGGCATCCTTCCAGTCAGAAGTGTTGTGCCAGTTGGTATGTACTCTGATCCCTAATATATATATATATTGTTTGTTATTACACTTTATTAATATAGGGTGGCTAAAGTCGCCAGGCTCGATCTAAAATGGACCGTAAAAATCGACGCCTGCCCGTAGCCCCTCAAACTTTTCGTCAAAGGTGTATTTCATAGGTCGGTTTTTTCTTGTAGAATTACAAAGCGTAGTTCTCTTTCTGTAAAAAATAAGGCCAAGAAACTTGCCTGGGTCAACGGCGGGAGGCGACGCAGACGACCAAGTCAAGGTGCGGGGTGTGTTTGACACTCCTATTGATAGATGGCGCTACCTCCTTGTTTCCGTCAGAGTTCTGGTTTCGGTTTGCTTTCAATGAAATATCGAAAGTGCCCGCGTCGACCGTGGTTTATTGACACCAACATAATCGGTTTTGTAATCTACCTTTGGCGTGAAAATAAATGCAGACAATGATAGAAAAACTTCAAGTAACAAAAAGAAAAGAAAACGCGGTTGCATAACGACAACGCTGACGGCGCTCTTGCTGCCGGCGGATTTTGTCTGCGTGTCGTCTGCTTTCTTTCGCTGGTCGGTTGCATCCTTGGACGCTGCTTCCGAGACCTTTTCTGTCGTGGTTGGGGAGAAAACAGCCACAATGCGTCACCTGACCGTCGAAGAGAGGGCAAAAGTAGTCCTTTGGTTTACAGAAACCAGGAGTATGAGGAAAGTGAGATCGAAGTTTCGAGCCACTTTTCGCAGGCGTCCGCCCACCCGTCGGACTGTCCTGCGCTGGGTGCACCGATTCAACACGGAAAACACTGTGCAGACCAGGCTGCGAGTACTTGAAGAGAGGTCGCCACAGCAGAACAAACGACACGCTGTGCTTGCGGCATTTGCATTGAACCCACGCCTGTCCGTGCGGCAAGTCGCAAGACAACTTGGCATCAGTAAAAGTTTCGTCTGGATGGTGATCCGCCGACAAATGTATCCGTACAAGCCACAGGTTCTGTTCGAGCTGCAGCCAGATGACTGAACGGCGAAAGCAGTTCTGCGTGGACGAACTTGGGCGCATCTCCACAAACAGGAACCACCTTCCGTTTCTGCTTTTCACGGACGAAGCTATTTTTCATCTGGATGGGCACGTGAACAAGCAAAACACCCGCTGCTGGTCCGAGACGAACCCCCACTGGATCATTGAAGAGGCTATCCAGTCACCAAAGGTCGTAGTATGGTGTGGACTTTGGAGGGAAGGCGTGGTCGGTCCATTCTTTTTTGAGGGCACGGTCACCGGCGACGCCTACCTTCGCATGCTCGAACAGGACGTCTTGCCGGAGCTGGAAGCTTCGCACATGCAAAGGGAGGTGTGAATCTTCCAGCAAGACGGAGCACCACCGCATTACGCCACCGCAGTGAGAGACTGGCTTGACAGAACCTTTCCCGGCAACTGGATGGGTCGAGGGTCACCGACAATGCCCTGGCCCCCACGGTCCCCTGACCTGACAATTTGTGATTTTTTTGTTTGGGGTTTTGTGAAAGCCCAGGTCTACGCAGTTCGCGTACGCTCGATGACGGAACTAAAAGAGCGGATTATATCCGCCTTCGATGCGATCACGGACAACATGCGGGAGGCAGCCTTCAGGGATTATGAGCGAAGACTGCACAAGTGCCTCCAAGTTCGAGGTGGACATGTGGACTGAAGACAACGAGAACTGAAGATCACATATCTATTCATTTTGCACATATGACCAGCGGCTTTGACAACCGCGAAAACCGCGGGCTCCTACTGACAGGCTCTTTTCAGAGCCATTAATTGCTGTTTATCTGGAGCTTGCTTTGGCAGCCTCCCGTGTCTCAAAAGTGCATGCGGTGTAAATAGCATCCAAAGTGACGCATGGTGGCTGTCTCTCCACCAACCGCGGCAAAACAAAACAAAAAAATGGTCTCGGAAGCAGCGTCCGAGGATGCAACCGACCAGCGAAAGAAAGCCGTCGACACGCAGACGAAATCCGCCGGCAGCAAGAGCGCCGTCAGCGTTGTCGTTATGCAACCGCGTTTTCTTTTATTTTTGTTACTTGAAGTTTTTCTATCATTGTCTGCATTTATTTTCACGCCAAAGGTAGATTACAAAACCGATTATGTTGGTGTCAATAAACCACGGTCGACGCGGGCACTTTCGATATTTCATTGAAAGCAAACCGAAACCAGAACTCTGACGGAAACAAGGAGGTAGCGCCATCTATCAATAGGAGTGTCAAACACACCCCGCACCTTGACTTGGTCGTCTGCGTCGCCTACCGCCGTTGACCCAGGCAAGTTTCTTGGCCTTATTTTTTACAGAAAGAGAACTACGCTTTGTAATTCTACAAGAAAAAACCGACCTATGAAATACACCTTTGACGAAAAGTTTGAGGGGCTACGGGCAGGCGTCGATTTTTACGGTCCATTTTAGATCGAGCCTGGCGACTTTAGCCACCCTATATATATATATATATATATATATATATATATATATATATATATATATATATATATATATATATATATATATATATATATATTGTTAAGTCATTTGTTTAAAACTTCCGACGTTTCCATCGACACAGACACGAACCCACGCGCCGCGCAGCAGAAAGCGCACCAGCTTCCGACTCTTCTGTGGCTGGCTCCAAACTTTGGACTCAAGGTGTCGACCATGATGGAATTCCTGGGCTTGCTGGGAATCCTCATGTCCTTCATTGCCACCATCTGGTCGCGGTTCCGCGATTGCATCAACTTCGCCCTTCTCTGGATCCTCTACTTTTCCCTGTACCAGGTAGGCAGAGCTTGAGGTGTCCCATTGAACTCCTTTCTGGAACTTGCAATTTGAATGCCAGAGGGTGCAAGCTACCCGACGTGATTGCATAGTCTTGGTGTTATATATCTACCCATTAACCCGACTTCTGACTTTTCCCAACCACCATTTTGCAAACTAGAGTCTTGCTCCGAGTTGATGTGCAACAGAAAACACTTCGATCCAGTGCAAGACACGCAACATGTTTGGCTTGTGTATATTAAGCTGTAAACAGTATGTCCAAAAACACCATGAGACTGACAGCCCCCGGCGCTGAGTTTGTGTTCACAGCTCGTGATATGCTCCACAGCCGCTGGCAACAGATACAATAGAACTCTTTGTTGCAAATCGGAGTGGAAAAGCCACATGCAAAGTAATCTGGAGGTCGAGTCATACCATAATCAAAAATCCACTGCAGATTAGTTGCATTGACGCCATGACGGCAGTTTCTGTATTTCTTAAAGTGCTACTGTTCATTTTGAGATCGAACCGTGTCGTCACCGTGCGGCCGAAATTGGAAACATGTGAAAGCAGGTACACTGCAATACGTCGTCTGCTATGAGCGCACATTCAGAAGCATTGATCTCGACGACGCAAGCCCGTTTCCGGCTGAGCTGAGCCCTCCTCATGAAACGCATGTTGTTCTCGTTCCTTCCTACTAAAGGGTGTGTTGTATCGTTTCATATACATGAAAATTCAGCAAAGCTATTATTATTAAGTTGGATGCTTCCATAACCTTAGTGGTGAGATTTGTATAAAACTGCTGGTCCTACATATTTTTTTTTTATCTCGCACAAACCATAGCTTTTATGAAACATTGAATGTTGATTGGAGCTGTGTTTTGATTAAAAAATTAATCCTACTGATCGCTACCCTTTAATAGACTAATCAAGTGATAAATCCGTTAAGTTGATTTTGCACTGGTCATGTTGCATAAAAGACGTTATAACTACACATTTTTTTTACTATGTCATAAATGGCATATTGCATTCCCATTTTAAACTTCACATTGTGATGCCTACAGAAATATGAACACGGGAAGCCTTTTGAAGTGAAGTAATTATAAGTTATTATTTAAACAGTGTAATCACGCTCGATGACAATCACAAGCATGCTGAAGTGGTTTACCGTGTAAGCCTGTGTCCTAAAAGAAATAAAGACGTCAGAAATTTTAAAGCAGGCATTTTTTTACTTTTTATTGTACTTTCTCCAGTGTAAAATTCAGAATAAGCAAAAAAATAAAATCACAGTTAAAGCATCGTTTGAATAATCTAAAGGTTAATTATTGAACTGCCCTTTCTTCATATGCATTAAGTGAGGGTGGAGGGTGATCGGAAAGTCTTGTGAGTGTTGCTATAGTCTGTTACGAGTCAAGAAGGTAGTAGAAGCTCCTCCCCACAAGAGTAATGCGCCTGCTTCAAACGCCTCCGCAGTCGAGAAAATAGTTTGCTGAAAACGCCCCTTCTGCTCCAGTGGATAGATATTGGCTAGAGACAGACCTTGTAGCAGGCGGCAGCTTGCGCCACCTAGCCGAGGCGAATTATCTATTTTAGGCTTCTACATTACTCGCTCTGGAAGGTTGAAGTAAAAAGGCTTTAGTGGCAACGAAAATTGTTTGTTACTAAAGGGATAAAAAAATCCCTCTCTATTACAGACCTGAGTCGGAGCAGTAGTGCAATTATATGAAAGAAGAGGTGAAAAGAAAGCGTCCTTTGCTCTGCAAATAAATATAAATTGTAATTTTTGTAATTAATGCATATATGGTTGTTGGTTTTAGCTTGATAACCTGCCTACACGACTTAGGTGCATTCCTTGTAGAAGATTATTTAGCCAGAAATTTGTAGTATTAGCCTCTTGACATTCACGGCCCTCACCGAGAGAATTGAAGCAGGGCAGGTGAACTCGCACTACTGAGAAAAGCATCTAATAACACGCACACTACTGCGTTGCTTGGTTACGCTAGTTTATTTCAATCGCGGCATATATATTAGAATAGTTTGTTTCACTTGTCCTGCGAGCAAACCAGTTTCCGGACCGCAACTGGAAGAGGCACTCTCTCCTAATCTCAACAAAGTAGAATTGTTCCGATACCGAAAACTTGCCCACACCATGGCACATATACACCACAGCACCAACTTCTCTTCATGCAAAATATAGCTCTGACCTTTCTTTATGCAAAATATTTATATTACTGCAAAAGCTAAAAGTTACATAAAAATCCATAGAACCTGCGATTTTGTAGCCAACAGTACCAGTGTTATGTCATCCAGGTTGGAATTCATTGTTTTGTTGAATTTCTATGCTGGTGAACCAATATATCTATTAAAAAAAAAAAAAAAATATTTAACATAAATAGGGCAGTTCACCAGAGACGGGCATCCGTTGTGTTGATCCATGCTTCCCGACGTTTATAATTTATTTAGGTCGGACGCTGGTAACACGATTCAATCTTTACCGAAGCACCCAACGATATGGCACCATTTTTCGCTCAAATTGTTTTCCCACCGATAGTATGCTACAAAACAAACGCAACAATCTACACCGTTTCGCGCGCGAACATGTAGAGCCTATAGGGCGGCCATAGCTGCTTTGATGATGATGGTGATAGCGTGAGAGTAGCGCCACCTCTAGGTCGATCTCGAGGCCAATAGGTGGTAAGAGGTTAGGAATCCAGGCAGAGGGAAAGGAAGCAGATGGAATGCTGAAGAGGAGAGAAGGAAACATCCCCTTCTCTTCAGCATCCCACCTCCTCCCCAGCCTTCCTTACTCTCACCCAGAGTTCTTGGCCTGTCACCAACTATAGATAGCTCTGACATTCAGGAACTGTGTACTAATTTGAGTATCTTGCATTAACACACGTCTCTTGTTTCAGGTGGGACAAACATTCATGTGGTTTCAGTGGTAAGTGAAGTAGCCCCGTCTCTTTCTCTTCAGTTGGTGCTATCGGATTCAAATGAAGTGCGGACAGCGAAGCGTGTGGCCGTCAAAACATGCTGCACCTCCTGCAGGCCTCTGTAAACTTATAAAACTGCGGTGTGGAAAGTAGGGTGCTGTGAGGGTATCCATTTTACTCCAACATGTTTGACCCTCCAACAGCACAACCCAAGCTCCAACACCGTGCCGGTAGTGCGCTGAAAGTTCCATTACAACCACTTTCATTGGCTTAGCATGAGCCACGCAAGGAAACTCGCCGCTTGCAACAGGAGCAACCTCCTTGCGCGCGTCCATGTAGCACGACCGCAGCATCATGCTCTCCCTCCTATCTTGCGCATTTTTTTTTCTTTTCTTTTTTGTTGGTTTGTTGGGGGCTTTGACGGAACTTCCAGTTGTGCTTGGCAGAGGGTTGAAGACATTGGATTAGGCCGCAAACCCTCGCAGTGCCATACCCTCCAACCCGCAGTTTTATCCGTTTCCAGAGGCCTCCAGAAGGCGCAGCATGTTTCGACGGCCACGTGCTCTGCTCTTTGCATTTCATTCAAACCCGATAGTACATTCTCTTTGACATATGTTTGACAGGGTCATTTGGGCCTCAGTTTTATTGTAGCCCCTTTTGGTTTGTGCACCTCCTCTGATTAGCTCCTGTCTGGTCACTCGTGCTAGCCACTCTGTCAATATCTAAAGCCTTGAAATCCCAGGAGCTGTTTTCTGGAAAATGGCCACATCTATCTTCATCTCACCTAGGCTGGCACAACCTTACCCGATTGTGCGGGCTTCTTCATTTAAAAGGGCAAGGTGCCCGAAACACGGCCCTTCACGTATGTGAGAAGTGGCGTAAAGCAAGTCAGAGGAATTGGCCAAAATATTTGGAGGGATTGACCTTATCTTCAAAGTCCCATAATAACTGGAGTGCAGTATTTGGGGAGCTATTGTTTAGATTTGTTGAGAAGACATTAAACAGTCATTGATATCACATGATACTGGGTCCCATGACACCAATTTAGCCAGAAAAATTGGCATCACAGTGTTGAGTCGTGCCAGATACCCCAACGTTGCTCAACATCAATTTTTCCTCTAAATGTAGAGGGGAAACGTTTAGATGGTAGGACGGATGAGCGTCCGGAATTAGGGGCTCCCGTCATAAAGCATTTCACGCTTTAAAGCGGCCTCGACCGGGTAAAGACTGTTTTCGATCGAGCTCGCTGGGACTCGACATGCAGGGACATCCTTCTGCTGGAGGTTGGCTTCCTGTGCATCTTGGTGGCCCCCCTGGGCATGTTCCAACGCACCCTGGGCCTGAGCTCTTCCTGGCGCCTCCCACACAATCCCCACGACAAGGTCAGCGTCTGGCTGCTGCGTTGGCTCCTCTTCCGCTTCATGTTCTCCTCGGGCGTGGTCAAGCTCACCAGCATGTGCCCGGCCTGGTGGGGGCTCCATGGTCAGTGGCATGCCAGTCTTCCCGGCCTCTAGGGCTTTCAGCGGGACGTTCCGAAATGGCATCTAGAAGGCCGTTCACTCGCTTGCGTTTGGTTTGCTAACGACCGAGTCCCACCAGAGCGACAAACAAAAACGATTGACGCCGACGAACCTCCAGCACGTGGAGCACGCAAGCGGAGGTACTTTTGGCAGGCCTGCGGCCTCGGGGCTAGTGGAGTGAGCACGAGGAATGGCGAACCTGCCAAAGATACTTTCTTGCGTATGGTGCTCATGCTGGAGGCTTGCTGGTGTCGGCTGTTTCAGTTTCTCGCTTTAGTGGGGCTGGGGCATTACGACCCAGTTCTTGCGACCTCTTACGAGAGGACGTGCTGGCGCCGTCTGTGAAATAGCCCCGGAACTGCATTTCTCCAGAGCAAATGTTTTGCAGTATTTGTGCAATCGCATGCACATTTTATCCATGTGAAATGGCCTTTTATAACATTGTCAACAGATGTCGAGACCAATAACAAAAGAACGAAACGTGAAAAAAAAGGAGATATATGTAAATGCTTTTCACGGCTACCCAATTACAGCGTGGGCGAAATGGTTTGAACATACTTTAAACTGACCGCATAAATCGGTTTCATAACCCATTGCTCTGGGATTTACTACACAGGTGCCTGAAGGTGGTGGAAGCTCTCTCGAAAATTGTTGAAAGATTGACTCACCTGAGTAAATCATGAAAAATCAAAAACTATGTTTTCTCCGTACTTTGCATGTACACTAAAAAATATAGTGCAGCGCTTATTCGGGCCAAATGAAGTGAAAAATAGTTAAACCAATTCAATTTTATTTCCATGTCACAAATATTTCAGTCGTAGTAAGCACCAGAATAGCCCAGAGCAACTTTCTGATGATTTTGAGGAAAAAAAGGCTTAGCAAGAATTTTTCCATCGGCAAAACCAGTTTTTATTTTCTTTCATTTGACTCCGGAGGTTTCATGTATTCATACTCTCAATTAATGAATGCGCCATCTTGAGCACCCTTGTAGTGGCATTCAACTAAACGTTAGAGCCTCGAAAGTGGTACTGAGTCAATAAACTGTCACTGTAGCGACATATACCTAGTGTTTTGCAACTCAAAACGAAGTACATTGAAAGGGTGTCACGCAAGCCCTTTCACTGTACTCCGTTTCTCTTTACGATGGACCGCAGCGGACGCTACGAGCCATTTCAACCAATTTATAGTCAGTGACAGATTAAGGAGTTCAGGGGAAACTTCTCCCACCCCTCTCCACTAGCTAGTAGGGCGAACGCTGTGCTAAAGTGGAAAGGGGTGGGAGGAGCTTTCCCTGAACCCTTAACCTGTCACCGACTACAGTAGTTCCGTGGACGTTCAGAGCATTACAACGCTCCTTTTAAATGTCACGTGACAGTCATCATTGGACTGGCTTCAGTGGCTCGTAGCATCTGCCGCGATCCATCGAAGTCATTAAATGAGCTGCGCTTGGAGCATTGGCAGCCCATTCCCGGGTTTTCTTCTGGGCGCCGCCATTGTGGTGCCTAGTACAGAGAGGGGCGCAACAGGCGGTCGTTACTCATCGGTACGATTCTGACGCTCGGCTTTCTGGGCGTTGGTACGGCGTCGGGAGGCTAGGGCGACGTCGTTTTGCCTCGTCTCGGATCGTTTTAAGGTTTCTGGAGGATGGATTAACGTTTCCTGCTCTTTCGGATGAGGCTGTTGGAAGTTTTTTATCGATACCTTTTTCCAATTATTTTTTGTTGAGGGTGTACGTGTACCACAGTTGCTTCCTTACTTTCTGTAACTTTGTTCTCATTTACTCGCAATGTTTCTTTTATTTACGTTTAGTGCTGGGCCAACCTTTGATCGCTTACTAGCCCTTTTTATTACTAAAGGGGTCCTCTCGACGGTTTTCTTTGAAAACTTTGTGGCCCCTGCCTGAATAGATATCTTACGAGCTAACAACTTTTTTGGTAGTAAGAAATGATTTTGACTTGTTTTCAGGTAACTGACAACATTGGTTTTAAGCACCCAAAGGTCATCCTGGCGATACCCCTCACTGCCCGATGATAAAAATGCAGAGGAGAAGCAAATTGGCTTAGATGGGCGAGGGGAGGTGCAACATTTTTGGTTTCTAGGCTACATGGTGCAAGCTGCAACCCATTCTAAAGGGTACAGTCATTAGCATCCATCCATCCATGGCTGAAGTGTCGTTACTCTAAAGCGTAGCTCATTTAGTAGCTCTAAATTCGTCGTGAGGTGGAACAGAGTATGACTCGATGCACGTCTGCACGTGCGCAGCGCTCAACGTCCACTTCGAGAGCCAGTGCATCCCAACTCCCGTGGCGTGGTACTTCCACCACCTGCCCGAGTGGTTCCTTCGCCTGGGGGTCGTGTTCACCTACGTCGTCGAGATTGCCGTCCCGTTCCTTTTCTTCATGCCCGTGCGCTCCCTGAGGATTTTCAGCTTCTACTGCCAGGCGAGTGCCCCGTGTGCCCGTTTTATTGACGGCGGATGAAATACACCTAGTTGACAGCAAGCAGACGTTCCTGCTGATTTCTGGCTACTCAAGTGGCTCATAAAGACGCAAGACTGCTGTTGACATGTGTCGAGGTTCCCGTTTTACGTGTTTACTCGGGACGGAGTTCGAAGTTATTATGACCTGTATGAGCATGAATGTGAAGCATGAAATCTATAGAAACGTTCTTAAGCACAAGAAGGCAGAAATGTAGACGTATGACGTATATATTAATTGGCGAGAGTGTGACTCTCTTTCGTTTTACTAGCGTTTCAAACTGCATATACTGAAAGAAAAAAAAAAATGATATTACTTTGAATTGGCTTATACAATAATGTTGTGCCTGTGTTTACTTACATGCGATATGCCGGAAATAAACTCTAAATAAATACTGAACAGAGTAAAAATTTATCTCCTATTTTTGTTTCTAAATAATTTGTCAAAATACTGCTCGGCGTACGTTTTGCAGTACTTTTAGGTGTGCTACGAAAGCCAGGAACCTTAAATATTGTCATTGCCTAATTCCAGCCTGCTTATTTTGTTACGGAATAAACTGGGGCTCTCAAACCAGAAGTGCTCTTATAATGAACATACATTTTGCTTTGCCTTTAGTAAAATTTTGTGCGTGCATTATCGTCGGTCTAGGCGTCTTTGACCACATTCACTCGGTTGGAATAGAACTCGCTACGTCGACAGATAGCAAGCCGTCTGCCGCGAAGTACCAATGTGCCAACAGAGATGGGCACGCCCGTATACCACAGGGCCTAACTACTATATTACATTTAGCCCTAAGCTAAGAACATTGTGGAAGGTCGTTGGACCTGTCATACGTCTATCTTTTGCCAGATTATTGTACGCTCTCCCATACCCATGCGCAGAAAGTGAGGTTGGGGGACAAAAGGGAGGCAGTCGATCGGTCTGGCAAATGGAGCAGTATAGGCGTGTCTCATGGATGTTGGGACACCCGTGCCGGCAACGGGCGACTTGGAAGCGTCCAACGTCCTCGCCGTCTCTTTCAGGTGCTCCTGCAGCTGCTCATTCTGGTGACTGGGAACTACAACTTCTTCAACCTGCTCACCCTGGCGTTGTGTCTCTCGCTCGTGGATGACGAATACCTGCTGAATGCCGTCGGACGTTCCACCTTTTGTGAGTGCCTCAGGCAGCAGCCCTCGAGCTCCAAAGGCTTCTTTTCCAAATCGGCGATTATATGCATGGCAAGAGAGCGGGCGGTGAACGGTACGAAGGTTAACGGCTATGTGTTGCTCAGACGAATTACGGAAGTGCACGGAACAGAAGGGCTGTTGGCTTGGGCGAAATCTGTCTCGTGTTCCTTCTCGCTTTTTGTGTGCCGCTCGCCACTTCTGGGTGAGATGTGCTGCATTCTTTCATGTTTTCTACACTCGTCTTCACGTTGAAAACCGTCGCAAAACAAGACCAGCTTCTCGCGGAGCATTGCTGATTTACTCCTCTATGTGGTGAATTAAGATATGTATGCGTGAATTTTAGATTAGCTTACCATTATTTTAATGAAGGCACACACGTTTCGAATGCTAAAAAGCATAGTTTTGTTTCCTCCGACAACCAAGTCCTGTAAGGACTACTTTGTGCAGTGCGTGAATGATGCGTAAAACTTTCTTTTTTTTTTTTGGTGTGACGATCGGGTAGATGTTTCCTGGGTTATCTGAATTGCAACAATCATTATTTGATGCCATGTTTTCATGGCTGCATTTTGTTTGTGCAGCTAAGTGAATCCTGTTTGTAAACGTTGAAGGTCCCGTTGAGTTATCCCTACACATCCTCACAGCATGAGACTGTAGCGACTCCTGGGGATGACATAAGAATGCATAAGAAAAAGTGGTGTTCTTTACCCATGCTGCCAATCGATGCACAAAATGCTCAACGCCGGATTGCAGAGCAAACATCTTTTTTTTTTGTGTGGAGCCTAAAGACTGTGCAAACCAACTCTAGATGGACAATTAAAAAGCGCAACAAGACCACGGACACGGACACAGCACTCTGTCTGTGTCTTCTTCTGTGTCCGTCGTCTTGTTGCGCTTTTTAATCATAATGAATCGCCAATTTTCCCAACTTTCTACCCTCGTCAGCTCTATACCCTAGTTCTGGGGCCCAGATCGTAAAGTTTATGTGGAGCATAGTCACTACATGCCTGTTTAGACAAACTCTTGCTCGTTGAACGGTATGGACGACGGTATACGTAATAGAAGGTGGTCAACACCTTGCGAGGAGGCATTTCCACGTCGAATTGTCTTCAGCTCCCTTTGGCCCTTGAAGGTACTGTACGCGAATTCAGTTTCTTTGCTAAATTTAGCAAGAAAATTTATGCTGCGCGACCCGACGTCACGAGTCCTGTAACAAATTCAAGTTCCCCGCTAAACTTACCAGGAAAATTGATGTCACGTGACTTTACGTCATGACACCCATACACATTTTCAGTCTTAAAATAAACAAATTAAAAAATGATTTTTGCATTTTACGTATGTATTATAGGGCTTTGGAGGTAAAAGGTTGCTGCCAATTTTTTTATTAACTGGACGTACAAGATGATAATCTTATGTTTCATGTTTGTTATCTTAACTTCTCGCCTCAATGTAGATGCAAGGCTGGCTGCTTCGAAGGTAGCCCCGCATTCGAAGCTCATATTGTGACACCTACTTTTTTTTTTTGTCCACGACGGTTAGACAGGAAAAGCCTGATGCGTACCACGAGAAGGGTCCTGGCCAAAACAGCGTCTCTCCTGACCTTGTGCTGCTTGACCTTTGCCACCGTCAAGCTGTTCCAGGTGCAGTTGTATCCCGACTGGACCTTTGGATGCAGAATAGGTGAGTTGCCGGCGAGAGGTCCCTCTGCCTTGAACCGGTTTCTGTGACAAAACTCCTCGTGTGGTATTTACGGTTTCATTTATTTGGCAACATCCGCATCCTCTTTCAGCCTTCACGCCAAAACAGTTTGAGGAGTTGCTTGCCAAGACAATGCCTGTCACCATCTGGATGGGTGCTGCTTCGCTGGCCGTTACGATTCTGCTCTCGTTGCAGAGGTCAGTGACTCCTCGCTTTCCCAAGGCCCGCCTCGGATGGGGCAGCTTTTCCTAGCATCTTATTATCGCGGTGCTGGGTATATGTGATGTGCTGGGTATACGTGGTGCTGGGTATAGTGATGCTGGGTATACTAACTCATCTTTCTGAAACCGTTGTGCTGCAAAAGCTGTCCATTGCAAACCATAACGAAGTCAAACCCTTTGTTACGTTTTTGTCGTCGCCACCATAGGAGGGGTCACGTGGAAATACCATATTTACTCGTATAATCAACACACTTTTTTCACCGAAAAATTGACACATATTTGGAGGGTATGTTTGTTATGGGGGGTTAAAATATTTTCATTTACACACTTCGGGCAAACGTCATATTAGGTGCCAATATGACACTGCAAGGTACTGCGGCACGTGTCCACTGATGAAGGCGCACCCACGGCTGGTCGGGGGCATGCCACAGTAACCATGCTTTATAAATTGCAAATGTTTTTACGACATGATATATATTGCTAGTATTTGGCGGCGCACTCACGTATATACCGCGACTATGCGTATAAGAACTCGTACGAAGTCCGACCGCCGAGGCTTGTTCGCAAGGGTCAAGTTTCATTCACAGAGACAGCTGTTACCAGGCTCTCTCAACCTACGACCACGCAGCATGCACCTTGCTGCCCCTTTCTGTTACTGATTAAATAAGCGCATTTATCCGAAGTATCTGAAAGGGCCCTTTTGGTGTGTCTTTTGCCAAAGGAAAAGCGCCCTACGAAGCTCACTCAGCAAGGAGAGCAATGCATACATTCTTAGGCCTAAGCACTTTCATGATTTCACCGTCCAAAAGTGGACTACAGACGACGGCATGTTCGTTGGCATCAATGCATCCGATAGGCAAAGAACGTCTAGGCCTGGGCAATTGCTCGATCCAAGCTTCGTCAAGTGTGCGCACTGCTCGGTTTCACAGTCGGTCACTTCCGCAACTACGAGCTTGCAGCCATTATACGATAGCGGCTTGACAGGGCTTGACCGTTTGGAAGCAAAAGAAAATTGGCTTGGTGGGCCATTTGGACGCAGTTCATAATGCGAGGGAAAGAAAAAAAGTCTGGATATTGGTACCTGTTGTGGGGGGTGCGTTCATTATGCAATTGTGTTCATTATGTGAGCAAATATGGTATTTCGTCTCTCAATGGCTGCTTCTGCTTCAAACATGTCTGAATTGTTCGAGTCGCCGGCCCAATTATATTCAGACCCGAACCTAGCAGTTTGTGTTGCAGTGTGGGGATCTTAAAGAATAACTTAATGCCAAAATTGCTGGGAAAATTGCCCCATCTGAAGTGAGCTTGCATTCCTCTATGGAACGAAACTTGGCCAGCGCAGTTTTTTTTATTGAATCGATACACTGTGCTACAAGAAGACGACGAGTGTATGGCAGAAGAGAGGCATAATGGCGGCAATGCTGCATGCAGGTCTCTGTTCGAAGAACGGGCGGTGCTGAGGAAGCTGTTCTCGACGTGCGGCACGGTGCTGTGCAGCACCGCGGCCGTCTGGCTCTTCTGCGTGTCTCTGGTGCCCTTCTCTACCCTCGACTACAACCTCCACTCCAAGCTGTGGCCCGTCGTGCGGCAGTGGCACTCCAAGGTGGAGCCCTTCCACGTCGCCAGCTCGTACGGTCTTTTCCGGAGGCAAGTGTTGGCTTCGTCGCAATGGCCGCCCGTTTCTCTCGTGGCTGGCCAAGTTTTAGTATTCAACTGGCGCTTCTCTCCATCCTTAGTGCTCCGAAGGAGCTTGCATTATATCTGAGGCCTCATGGGCCCTGAAACTGTAAATTGTGGATATGTACAGAACCTCTGTACTATATTATAGCAAATCCATTTTTTTAGAGCGCAGCTCTTAGGCGCCCGTTTCCGGCTTGAGCGGCGTTGGCGTAACTGCGCATTGCATTATGGGACATTTCCCACGATGACGTCACACGTGACGTCGCGAGGGTCACGAGTGACGTCACCTGTACCGTCATTGCGCGTTGCATTATGGGTAAATTTCCCCGTGAAATTTAGCAGGGAATTTTTCCGTTGAATTTAGCGGGAAAATTTTTCCGCTTAATTTAGCGGAAAACTTTCCCAGCTAAATTTAGCAGAAAAAATTTGCTATATTTATTGAAAAAAATTCTTTGCTAAATTTAGCTGAAAAAATGCCCTGCTTGCAAAAAAAAGCCTCACTAAATTTAGCGGAAGAATTCTCCCGTTAAATTTTGCGGAAATAATTTTCTGCTAAATTTAGCGACAAAATTCCTCACTAAATTCAGAGGGGAATTTTTTCCGCTAAATTTAGTGAAAACTTCCCGTTAAATGAGAGGGGAGCAGGAAGAGGGGCATACTCTCCTTCCATACCTTCCCCTCCTCCTCCTCCTCAAGAGCTGCACTCTAATTCGGCGTTACAGGGCATTGTAAACGTCTAATTTTTTTTTGTTTACAGAGAGATCTTTACTATAGTATCAGTGCCTCCGGTGCTTGCACTAGTATTCAGTAATATTTGCTTAACTATGTCTATATCTTTACTATAGCAGCCTTCTAGATGTAAAGAGGTGATTATAGGAGAACCGTAAAAGGGGGTTCCTCTGTAGAATGGGCACCCGCTTTAGCTGGACGGACGCTTTATTATGTGCATACAGTCATGGACGATAGAAACTGGTATGCTCCAGAGCATCCGTCTTGCTCGTAGGTACTGAAGCCCGGTAGTTGTTAAAAGGCACCTCCGTCCGTCCGATGCATCACTCAGTCCCACGCTTCCATAAGCACATTTTACGTACACTAGTGTCAAGTTACGTCTTGCGCAGTTTACGTGCTAGCGCCCAGTTCTGTTAACATGGACCTTGCCTTCGAAGCTACAAAAGAGCGTGAAGGCGTCCCGCTCGTTACGAGCGGGTCGGTGACATATCCCGGCACGCAGGATGACCGGGTTGGAGGGGCGCCCCGAACTGGTGCTGGAGGGTGGTGACCAGCCGACGGGGCCCTGGAAAGAGCTGCCTTTCCTCTACAAGCCCGGCAACGTCACCCGCTCACCACCTTTCGTCGGTGAGCCGACGCAACTCTGTATTCTCGTTTGCAGCTCGGCAGAAAGCGGCCCCAGTAACTGCCCCCTCCCCCCCACCCAAACCTTTTTAAACCACGACGTTCAAATAGTTTGCACATTTGAGGCACCACATACCTTACACACCCTGCATCCTGCAGGGTTTGTATACCACCCAAATACCGTATTTACTCGCATAATGAGCACACTTTTTTTTTCGAAAAATTGACCCATATTTGGGGGGGGGTCGATTACGTGGAGTAAAATTTTTACATTTACGCACTTTGCACAAATGTCAATTTAGGTGCCAATATGACATGGTTGGGTACTGTGGCACGTCTCCACTAACGGAAGCGCGCCCATGTCTGGTCGTGGGCGCGCCACAGTAACCATTTTTTTAAATTGCAAACCTTCTCTAGGGCGCTTTTGGCATACCTTTTGCCGAACAAAAAGCACCTACAACGCTCACTCAGCACAGAGAGCGATACAACCATTCTTAGGTTTAGCCACTTTCATGTTATCACTTATCTAAAGTGAATCACATGACAGTGTGTTCGTTGACATCAAGGCATCCGATGTACGAAGCATATCCGGAACTGGGCAATTCCTCGACCCCAGCTCCGTTAGGTGTGCGTGCCACCCGGTTTTACGGTTGATACTTTCCGGAACCACGCACTTGCAGCCATTACGAAAGCGGCTTAGCTTGACTTGGCCTGGCCGCTTGGGGCCAAAAGAATATTGGCGGGCTTGGTGGCTAGCCACCTAGCTAAGTTGGACACAGTTCAAGACTCGTGGAGCCGAAAATTAAAAATGTGTTTATTATGGGAAAAAGAAAAAAAAAAGAAGTCCAAATATTGATGCCTGTTATGGGGGGCAGTGCATTCATTATGTCTGTAAACATGCTAGATTGCACATTCAAGGTGCTACATACTTTATGTACCCTGCATTCTGTAGTGTCTGTATGCTACCCATACGCTGAAGTTAACAGACCAGTATATGTTAATGCGTCCCAATCATCGCATTTCAAGCTGGACGCATTGAAAAAAGATTTTGAACACTCGACTCAGCATAGGACAGCACTTACCGTCTGTCGCAGCATACAAGAACTGCAGGAGAGCCTACAAAAAAATTTGACCCTTTCCGGCACTATGAATGCAAAGGCAGTGGAACACTGGACGTGTTGCACGTTGTTTTGCAGTGGTGTTGTACAGATAAACTCGGTGTGCGTATTTTGTGCCTCGACGGCGCAAACATTACCTCGTGCGGCGTCTCTGAAAGAAGACCCTGCCAAATCTAGCGCTCCAGCTGCAGTGGAATGCCGGGTTTGCATCTTTTGTGGCCATACACACCTTTGACCCTTCATCTTCACATCTCCCCGTTTTCTCGGAAGCGCACGCTTGTTCTCTTCCCCTGCTGCACGCTCGCCCGCCGCATGTGCGGGCACGCCGGCTCGACAGCTCCCAGGTAACGAGGCTGTAGTGCCGGATTTTACGTCGCCCACCGGAAGCAAGTGCAGGACGCGTATTAGTCAGGAGCGTCATGTCGGCGTTCGGCAGTGTTTGGCACACCACGGCCTTAGTTGCCCCCGTGCCACTAAACTTTTAATAATCATCATCATCACCCTTCGGCTGGAGCCCAAGTGCTTTACCCATGTCTTAATTGTTTTAGCATTGAAACGTTCAGATCTCCTCGGAGTCAGCATCCTTTTTTCCGCCGCAGTCCCACACCAGCCCCGGCTCGACTGGCAGATGTGGTTTGCCGCCCTTGACCGCTACGAACGCAACCCCTGGCTACTCAGCCTGGTTCACCGCATTCTCACGGGACAAGAGCAAGGTCTGTTGCCAGGCCACGGCCGTGACTGAGCCAAGCCGCAGCCAGTTTCCGACGCCCGTTTTCTCTCTGCTGTAGTGCTTGCCCTGCTGGACCGCGAGCACTACCCGTTTGCCAAGCAGCCACCCAAATACGTCCGAGGGCTGCTGTACACCTACAGGTTCACCCAATTCAACGCCAAGAGCAGAGTGTATGTTTCGCTTTGCCACTGTCTGGCTGCTGTTACAACGATCCATAGTAACCAGGCTTTTTTTTTATGTTTGATTGAAATCTGATTTTTCAATTTTGGAGAGCGAGCGTAGTCCCGAAATCGGGTTGTCAGATCCCATTTTCTAGACTGTTAGGTAGACGAAAAATGTGAGTTGTAGTGCCAGCGGATATACTATTCGATTGTGAAAAAAGCTGTGCAGTTTTGCTATTTTTGGTAAGTCCGCTGCGGGCAATCGGAAAAGTATTTTTTACAGCGAAGCTGTTATGCGCTAGGATCTGGGAAAAAAATGGGTTCGCAGATGTTGACAGAAAACTCCCCATTGGTCGTGGCAAGTGTGAATAAATAAAAATGAAAAGGGGGGGGCAACCAGCGTGAGTCGGCCTTCCTTGGCATTATTAGATAGTGAGGTCCTGATCACTTGTTATCATCTGTAGGCATCATCCTCGAGGTCGTCCTGGACGTCGTGAAAATAACAGCTTTGCTGATCCTTCATCTTCACATGAAGTGGAAGGGCTCTACAATTTGTTTTTAATTCCAAAATGTTAAACATTTTCAATAAATATGTATTTAAATTTCACTATGTAAAATCTAACAATGAAGAACCCTGAACCAGCATGCAATCTATGAATTTAAGTGGAACGGCAGGGCACTGTGGCATTTGACTATGCTACGTCAAATTATGAGAGAGAGTTACCAGGACATTCGTGCTTAGTACGTCTTGTGCTGAGCCGCTCCTTCAATTGCTTGCCACAGTACAGTGCCTCGATAACTAACTTGTGCTCGTATCTCGACACAAGTTCTCGCAACATAGTCAAATGTGGTCGAACGACACAATGTGACTGTGCCCTTTACATCCAACATAAAATGCAAAGGCACGTGACGTTCAATTTGCAGGCCCAACGTCAACGACTGGTGGAAGAGGTCCAAACCGACAGAGTACCTGCCGCCCCTCCACAAGGAGCAACCATTCCTCAGGCAATTCTTGGAGAAGGCAGAGATTCCTATGGTCAGTTTGGTGTCGACGCATCGCGACGACACTTCGCGAAAAATCGCACGGCGTCGAAGGGTACCGGGCGTGCCTCTGCCTTTCGAGTCGTGCACAGCGCTCTCGCAGCTGAAGTTGCAGCGTAGCGTGCTCGCTGCAGTGTGATGCTCCGTTGCACGTCGTGCGGTCCGTTGAACAACCTGTATTCTCCCCGAGTGCATGTGCTTTCTAAAGGCTGGTTCGCGCATTCGTGACTGCGACAGATGTTACGACGGCTTGACTGCCAAAACACACTGGCACCAGTTATCTTGCAATCTGCATGTAACTTGACTGAAGGTTTTTGCAGTATACACGTGAAATGGTCAATTAGAACATTGCTAGAATTATTTCAAGGCCACCATCACTCGTACAACCCTAGAGTCGTGCCTTCCTCAGTGCTGCAAACAACTCTCGAGGTGGAGCGTTGTGACGGGATTTACTCGTGAAACACGGCGCGTTCCGCATGTTTAGTTTCCAACGTCTGCAATGCTCAATGACACCGCCCGCATTTTGTTTCAGGACTCGCCGAAGTTGCGGTCTAGGAATGGCTTCCTCAAGCCTATCCTTGCCAAGTCCAGGGAGCTGGCCAATGCTATGAGTCCCACAGTCTACGTCTGGTCGTTCATCACGTCTGCGATGGTCCTCAAGCTCATCGGGACGTTGCTATAAAAAAACATAATACTGGAAGGGGGAAAAAAAAAAAAATGGGAAATTCAATTCAATTCAAAGGCACTGCATAAGGAGGAATTCAGGATCGAACATAGCACAAACATGCCAGTGGCAGCTTATGTGAAAAAGTTTTAATCATGTACAAATATTTACTGAAGAATTTCAACCTTGTTTACGATCATGAGTTACAACGGAATTCTGAAATTTGTGAATTGGATAGCTTTATACCTACTACTTACGATACCAACAAATACCTAGTCATTACATCTGTAAACACTCACCGAATGTCCTTGCTCATATTACTCAAGGCTATGTCAACCGGGGATTTTTTTTTCTCTTTGTTGCTATATTTAGAGTTTCGGGAACTTGCATGTTGTTTTGTAAGCACCTGTTTTCTACGAGTCATTAAAAAAAAAATTGCAGCTAACGTTTTCGAGCATTGTCCTATTTAATGGCAGGAAGTTTTATATGTACATGGTGAACGAAAACCTCCTTTCCGGTCTGCCTCTATGCTCACTGTCATAGCCTCCTATATACTGACAAAGCCTGGCAGATCGCCCAGAGAAGCGGCCGCCGAAATGGTAAAAGTGGAGCGGCAGACGACGAACGAGAGGAGAGCGACGTTTCTAGCGCCCCACTGCGGCGAGGTGCCGAAACACCCTTCTCCCGAGCAAACAAGTGTGTTTCAAGTCTTCGCTGCTGCAAAAGCTGAGCGCTGACGTCCAGGTTCCCCGATAAATGGCTCTTTGATGCTCTGTGCTACCAGACATACCTCGGCAAACCTCACTCATGAGGGCCCTCACTCGCCCTCATCTTCACAGGTGAGGTGAGTGACTTTCTGAACCAGGAAAATTCATGAGTGCGAGGGTGAGTGAGGGCCATGAGGGCGGTAAGGGGTATGAGGGTCATGAGTGCATGAGGGTTGCGAGTGCCGTGAGGGCCACGAGTGCGTGAGTGGTGTGAGGGCCGTGAGTGGCATGAGAGGCGCGAGGGCGGCGAGTGCATGAGGTGTGTGAGGGCGGTGAGTGCATGAGGCCCCCTTCAGATCGAGCATCTTTCTCAGCAATTCTGGTGTTATTGGCGGGTTGTTCTCTAGCTTTCCCTAGATCAACACGAATTGCTGAGATCGGGTCCGGCTCGAAATAAGCAAGCAACTCTGAGCGATTCGAACGAGTTTGAAGTGGCTGCATCCAATCAGCGACGCAAAATGTGATTACTGATACCTCGTGCCGGTGATGATGACACCGAAAGACTTGGTTCTGGTTTGAAATCGATAGTTTTTTTGGAAATAAACTGTTCCAGAAAGGTGCATTAGTATTCTTAACGAGATTTAAATGCATAAAAACATGTTGCGTAATTGTCTTAATAGTGCAAGAAAAATAAAATTTTATGATGACGATGGCAAATTGCAGCAATTGGTTGCTGCGTGTGATCGCGGGCGGCCTGTGTTGCTGGTGTTGCGACGTAAAGTTTCTGGGCGAAATTGCCCCATCTGAAGCTCACCTGAGGGCCATCAGTGCGTGAGGGGTGCAAGGGCTGCAAGGGCGGTGAGTGGCGCGAGGGCTACGAGTGGCGTGAGGGCGGTGAGTGCGTGAGGTTCAGTGAGGGTGAGTGAAGGGCTGAAGGTGAGTGTAGCTGTGAGGGTGAGGGAGGGCGACCTAAAATGCCGACCTCTGCTACCAGATCCTCGCGCTCCAAATCTGCGACCGGCTCTCTATAGCTTCGTCATCTAACTGCCAGGCTTTGCGGGTAAAGAGGGGGCCATGTCACCGTACATGCACATCTCGGAGTATACAGTTAATATATTAATATTGATATATGCATCCAGCAAATAGGCTCAAACTACTGGCATTTTCACCCATAGGAAGTGCAGCATTGTTCGAGCAAATATACTGCGCAGCAGATTTATGCACACTATAGTGCTGATCACAACCAAAAGTTGTTTCGACGCTGTCCATGAACAAGTGTTGCTTCTCTTGTGAGGCTACTTTTGAGAGAAACTAGTAGTGCAAAGAATGGGACTAGTTTCTTCAATTTTCTTTTGAACCCTATCTCAAAACACAGATTGAGGCAAAGAACGCAAAGAGTCTCCACACGATGGCCACATGAAGGCACCGTAACCTACTTGTGGCAGTTCTAAAGAAACGTCACCAATGTTCACGGGCAAAATAGTATTTTTCTTTGAACAGGAATGAACAAACAGCTGCTGCTTTCACTCGCCATTACTGTGGTCCATAAGCAGTGTTCTTATAAGCTGTAAGCATGCAGTTTGTAGGGTTCAGCTCGGGCACAGGGAAGGTTTGAAATCAGTCGACAGATGCTGCGTGGAGCTTTTCGAAGGTCCTCTTGCGATGTTCGGCGGAGAAGACTGGTGCAAGCACAGCCTCTGTCGACGCAACCCGGGTTTGGAAGCGTTTTCGGTCAATGGCCATCTGCTCCCAGGGTCCCCTGCGATCCACATCGTCTGCATCATGGACTTCCATAAAGGCGTCTCCGGTTCCGAAGTTCACCTGGACCAAAATTGCACCACATTAAGAAAAGATGTAGAGCACCATATAAACTCGATTGACAGTTGCCTCAGTGACTCCAAGACAAAGTGGGTAAGTGGCTACAATCTGACGGGGGCTTATTGCAGAAAGGTGCTGTGCAGCTGAGCTTTTGGCTGCACATCAAAAGATCACCAGGTGATTGAAGTTGATTCCCGGTCCTCTGCTGGGGCACAACCAGATGCCCTCTGTTAGTTTGACACATTAAACCCCCACTATTTCTATTTTTTACACTTAATCCAGGACAAATTAACAATAGATTACTTCTAACCCCTAAGTAATCCATTTGAAATTTCCATCAAGTAGGCAAACTGTGGATGACGGTAAGCGTAAACTTTCAACACAAATTAGCAGAAAACATTTGTGATACGGCACATACGATTGCAGACAGAAGAAAATCGATAACCAACGGATGAGCACATGTGGTTGATACCCAAGCATCAAGGAGAATGCAGGGATTGGTGTTCCACGTGCCGCACGTGCTGGCCTCAACAGTAGTAACTTTTCTAAAGCAAATACTCAAAACAAATGCCATCTTGCATGTGCGTTCGTCAACGCTTTATTTTGTTATTCGAATCTTTTATACGGGGAAGGCGTGTGGCGTATGGAACACCAATCCCTGCATTCTCCTTGATGCTAGGGTAATATAGCAAATGGTCTATTGGGCAGCAGCTAGTGCTATGAGGACAAATTACCGCGTTGGTTCAAAGCGAAGGAACAGCTGATGCTTGCTGTGACACAAAAGCCCGGGTGTTGAATTCAGACCACATGAAAAAAAAGTGCTTATTGTATCATTGCTCCTTTGTCCAGTTCTAACCCTTTCATAGCTGAAACTGTTGTAGTGACCCCATGGAGTACACCGCACTTGAATTTGTTTATGTCTGTATGGCGACACTTCAGTGCGCGCGGTCAACATACGACAGAAGTCGACGAGCGCGTGCTAGGGCGGAACGTCTACAGTCATTCTTAACCTGTCCTAAGAGGAAAGCAGCCAGAAAAAGAGAGCGTGTATACTTCGTTTCACCTTATGTGCGAGCGAAGGCAAGGCTGGAAGCGCGAGCACGGAAGCTCCGTGCGTTCAGGCTTTGCTCGAGCGCGCAAGCTGGGGAGAAAAGCACAAAGCGCTGGTCTCGCGCTTCTAGCTTTGGCTTCGCTCGCAGATAAATGGAAACGAAGTATAGTTAGAAAGTGATTTCGCACCCGAGATCGTCTACGAAGCAAGGTGAACAAACAAAGAAAAAAAAAACGCCCATTGGGATTTTTTTTTTTTTTTCCGGCTTTGCTTTTGGAAAGGTAAATGAATGAATGAATGAATGAATCACCTTTGAGATTCGATGCTGGGCTTGTTCGTCGGCGTCGTACTCCCGATTCCATCTGTCGTTTGCGTCGCGTACATGCGGCGACGTCGCCGCCCCGAGTCCTACGCCGTCCACTTCGTCGGAGATCCTCGTCGGCCGAGGTCGCACGGACACCGAAAAAAGACCGTTCAACAGTGGCATCACAAAGACGTCCAAGGGGCAGTCGGACGCGCTCCTTTCTTCGCCGGCGTCCACTTCGTCCCAGTCGCTACCGGTGTCGCTGATATCGTCATTGCCGCCCAGAATAAACGCGATTGCGGAGTTAACCGAGGGTCGCGGCGACGCTAACGCTTTCTCATCAATCTCCGCGTCTGGAGGGGTGCCGACTCTTAAAATCATCTCCTGTTTTGTTGTTGGAGAGCGGGCGATGCACACGCCGTGGCCGGGAGGCGACTCGAGTGCTTCACCGGTTGGCTTCGGACTCGATTTCGGCGGTCGCCTCCGTCGACGTGACCGTTTCTTGTGGTTGGGCTGACGGTCGGTTATGGTCGGCGACGACGCGGTTGACGACGCCGGGCGGACGGCGTCGCTCACACCTCCGTCCGCCCGGGAACTTCGACCCCATCGACACATTCCGAAGGGCTGGGCGGCCGCAGGAACTTTGGACGGCCGCAGTTCTGCAGGTTCCGGCGGGGCCGCGGGTCGTCCTTGTGATAACTGTTGCTTGCGGTTGTTCGCGGCGGGGGCAGGCGTGTTCTTGGAGTCCTTGAATCCGTTCGTGCCGACCAACTTCGCCATGAAGCAGGGAAATGCTGCGGTGGTCTTCACGACTTCGTTTTGTGGCCGGTTCTTGGTCCAGGGGATGGCGCAGACGGTGCTGGCCTTTGCGCGTTCCATGTTCGCGGATGACGGCACCTGATGAGTCAGCAGCGTCATTCTCCGCGGGTCCGGGCTGATTTTGGGAGTTTTGTCGGTTGCGCCAATTCTCACTGCCACTTGCCGGGGTTAGGGTCCTTACAAAACCGACAACCGTTGGCTCGCGTATGGGTCTCGCGCATCAACCGTGCCTCGGGCGGCTGGCCAATGGACACGGGACGAGGGTTAGCGATACAACCTTCGACTCTTTCGACGATAGCGAGCGGCTCGACAGAACACTTCGTACCTTTGGTACCACACATGTTTGGGACTGCGTAACACCTCGACAACTCCTCGTAATCTTCAGACAGAGACGAAAGCAGAACGAATTCGCACAGGCAGGACATTTCTCACACACTTGTCTGCTTCGGAAAATTTCAGAGAGGAAATGGCTGACTGGCTTGGGGAATCACGGGAATTGGTGTACGTGACTCTACGTCACATCCGGTATGCAGTTTCGTTTGCGAAAAGGGGACTGACCGACAGTGAAAGCAAGTATTTACTGTCATCGCGCATTGGTGTGGTGTTTTTTATAATGAAATTTGAGAACCACGGAATGAAATAATTCTGTGTCGTATTTTATCACGCTTGTACTTTTTTTTTTTTTTTGTTGCTGATCGGCATGTCGGAATGCACGGATGAATCTATCGACGTAACTTGATATCACAGTCATTTGCATTTTTGTTTTTCTTCATATTAAGTTACTTCGGTACCGCGTCGTTTGAGATGAAGGAACGTGATGGGTGTCCTCACGCGCCTCACGCTAAACAAAGCCCCAGGTTATCAACCCGTCAAGTGCGTTTCGAAACTTCACTGACACATTGCATCAGCTGCAGCGAACAGCTGATAGAACCTTCTTTCTCGTCAGGCCAAGCAGATTCATAAAAAGGACAAACATCTGACAAATAAAAAAAAAAATTGGAACAAAAGACAAAACAAAAATTAACCTGTGGAGGTGCCGGGGTTCGAACCCGGGGCCTTTCACATGCGAAGCGAACGCTCTACCACTGAGCTACACCCCCGGTTGGAATTTTCTGAATGGACAGTCTTACAAATTCCTTTCACATATTACTTTCCTTTGTACAGGACGGCCGGAACGGCAACGCAGTTTAGCGATTTAGGCCGTTAAACCGGTTAAACAGAGGCAGCTTGGTCATAGGTTTAGGCAATCAACAGTCAACCGTATCAGCTTTCAGCCAGCCGTACAGCCGCACGTTGTGCCTCACGACCGCCAGTACGCTGACAGCCTGACAGCTTAGCGATGAGTTTACAATATGTAAACGACAAGAACTCATTCTGTGCCGAACTTGAGTCGTTAATAAGGACAGCAGCAGCCTCCGACGTTCCGTGTGAAGAAGTGGATCAGTGCCTGCGAGAAGTGTTCCACCTCAAGAGTGTTGAAACCGGGACCAACCGTCGAAATTTCGTATCGGCCGTCTGCGCTCGGATTGCAAACTTCCTAGTGTGGTGTTCAGTTTTATACATTTTGCTACGCGCACTCTACCGCTATGGACCCATCGAAAGTTTCGTCGATCGTTTGTACGACGAGTACACGTACACAGCAATGCGCGCTGCGCGCTTCCTTGCACTGCCGATCCTTAGTCGCTTTCCAGCCATCTCACGTAAGTGCCACATTTATTGTAGTCTACTTGTTCGATTACAAATAGCGGGCCGAGGACTGAACCTAATATCATTGTCATGCGGATCGAAAATTATTGAACAACGGAGGCCATGATTGTGGTCTCATTGGCTGCACTAATATGTACAGATGAGAACAAATGCGGGATCCCATTGATTACTCCCCGACAGCACAAATTGTATCAAAATACTGAATCTACACTGTGGTTCTGGAAGCAGTACTCCAGGCTATATGACGGTCCTGCAACCTGCAAAAAACATTATCCACACATTTCAGAGTACCACAACATGAAATGCTTGGTACCAAACCCGCTGTACAGTCCAATGGATGCTTCAGACTGTTGGCCATGCGAGAAGCTGAAAGCCCTGGTGGACCTCACTGGACACGCCGACGTCGCTACGGAGTATGTGTGGAGCCTTACGCCTTTTGTCATGCGAGTATGTATTAGGTTGCGCATGTGCACAACTCGTATGCAAAGTGGTTCCCCGCTCTAACCTCTTTAGGATGCTGTTAACCTGAAGGCAACACGGGGAATCCTGTACGAGATTTTACGACAGTATGAAGAGCTCTTGAACGACTCAACAAGCAAGTTTCAGTCGACGCTGGAAGAAATACAAGAGCCTCGTCACTTGGTTGGGGGGGAGCCAAGGCAGAGGTTGTTGGAGGATAAGAGTTTCCACATCACCTGGTAAGTGAAAAAAGATAATTTGTGGTTGAATATCGGATCTGAAATGGCTACAGTAATTGACTCATGCACGGGCATCTTTAATACCTTGTCTACTAAACAAGATCTTTTAGAAAAGCTTGTCTTGAAAGACAGTGGGTTTTGAAACGACTGTAGCTGCGACGGAATTCTGTCAGTATTTCTTCACAGCACAAAGCAATGCGGAGAGCAAGTTGTCTGCTTCTTGCGTAGGAGTTGCGGTGACATCAGAACGACGCCAAACTCCGATTGGCTTTGATTGAAAGGATAGTAGGTAGACCTCGATGCTAGATGCCTCGAGGTCTACCCACTAGTTTTTTCAATCAGCCAATAAGGGCTCGGCGTCCTAACATCATCACGACCCCCGCGCAAGAAGCAGACAAACTTGCAATTCTCAATGAGCGGTACGTGCGGAAACACGGTGGCACTGGCTACCATGTTTCTGCAGCTGTTTGCACACATACGGAAACTGTCGCCTGTTTCTCAGCCTTTTTGAAAATATAAGGATGGATTCCAGACATCATAGCTTTCAAACAAGGATTCCATGATCCCTCCATCATGCGAACCACAAAGTCTATGTCATCTACCGTGCCCATACAAATTGGTAAAACTGAGGTGGAAAATGAAGCAGTCGAACTGCCACTACTAGAGGCTGGCCATTGGTGTATAATAGGCGAGTATGACACCTCCAACAAGCCAAAACATTCTGTATAAGTGGTTAACATGAAACTTCTCTTCAAATATTGTAATTTCAGCTTTTTTTTTTCTTTTTTGCTCAGCTGAAACAATACAATGTGTATGTAGCCCTGCTCAACTTGCACTCGCATTGGAAATGGGGCACGTAGGGAAAAACAACAAATGGTTGAGGAAAGCACGTTTTCTTAGGTGTCCATTATCCAGAGGCTCCAGTGTTCACAAAATTTCCACAGTACAACTAGAAAAGGCACCTTTTCCCCCGAGTACTAACGTACGTGTGCTATCAACGGCGACAACAGTTGCATTAACGAAACGGGACCACACTACAGGCAAGTTTCTTCGAGCCTGGCCGCCCGCATCCTGCGGAAAACATTCAGACGGCCCACATTTGTTCCAAACAACACAGAAGTGGCCCTCCAGAGGTGCTTCCTCATCGACGGTCCTCAGGCACCAAGCTACCTTCTCGTAAGTAATGCTCTGTACATCCGAAACGTTCACCCGGTTGCATCTGCCGTCGAGCAAAAATCAGGAAGAACTGTGCTCTCGAGTCATTCTCAAATCGTTTCCAGGTAGATGCAGGTCGAAACGATTTCCTCCGAAGACAATATCACTAGGGGCACTTGGGGTAAAACCTCGTGAAGAGCTTGGAGCACTTCGTTGACGCCGTGACGCTGTGCCCTGCGCTTCAGGGCGCGGACAACAAAACGGCGGCAGCGTTCTAAGCAGCTCGTTGTGGCGTGCCGCCTGTTCAGTGCATGTGCTTCTAATTGCCATCGAATGTCTTGTCTGTCCAGCCTGAAACGGACTTCACCAACTCCTGGCTGATGCAAGTTGAGGGAAGCCGGATGGTGGTCGTCGAACCATCGGCTCTCTGTGCGGGCCGATGCAGTGCGGTGTCCATTCTTGTGAAACCCATGCATGTTTGTAAGTACCTGCGGCAGACGACGTGCATTGTGTCGGGTTTGAGGTGCGAGATGGTCTTTGGAATCAAGCAATGCTTCGAGTGCAAGTACAGTCTCCAACGATTGAAAGACCCATTCGACGATGCAGTTTCAGGCAGCTGGGCTGGATTCACTTTGGCCAACTGCATGGTGCTTGGAATGAGGAAAGAAAGAAATTTTTCTTCTATTGTTTTTCTAAAAATAAAATGGCTCTTATAAAAATGTGCTTAGTACCGCTGTGTAAACTGCCTCGTCGACTGGGCCTTTCATATTGTTCGAGACTGTATGTGTCTAGAGTCGGACGAGGTGCACCTGTAACAAACTTTATTTGCTCAGGTAATAGCTACACTCTTTATGATCAACAAAGGTGCAAGTGCTTTCCCGTAGAGTGCGTGCATCACCAATCGCTGGTCAAGAGATGCCGGCAAAAATTACAATTGTCTTGTAAAGGCTTTCTGCATTGGTATATGTCTAAAATGACCAATTTTAGCCGAGATTTCATTTTTTTCACGAGGAATTTCTAGGCCCTATCACTCACTAGGCTGGTTACGCAGATTGCAACGATTGGCTATTAGCATGCTCTGGAAATAGACCTGCAGATTGCGTTCATATACGGTGCCGCTGTTACTCAACTACATACGGTAGTCTCAACAAGTTGACACAATGTTGTCCGAGGCACGGGTAAAGTATGTGGCTGCTCTTATCGCCCAACCACTTGTGCAAATAGATCATTCATAGTTGTTACACTGCTGTACCTTTCATGATGTGCACAAATGTAGTTGTAAGCTTTCCAGCAACTTGCACAAGGTATAAGGTCCACTAACAAAGTAAAAATTAATTAGGTCCTCAAACAGTGCTGTCCTATTTTACAGATATGCGAGCTTAACCCATTCACTGCCATAATGACACTGGACCCAAGTGCCATACACTCTGAACTTCTGTTGGTAATGTACGGTAGTTGAGATTGCAAGCAGCAGTCTTTGGATGCTTGGAGGGTGTACTTCAGAAAAGTATGTGCTATGTGCTGAACTGCATTGTTGCCCTTCAGAGATTTGTCACCTAAGCACACGACTACATGTAGCACCAGTTGGGCTCGTCTCCGACACCGAAAGGACTAAATAGAACTGCTAGTTCATTTCAAAATAGGGAGGGAGCCGGTTCTACACATTTCAGAGAGACTTGAATGCCGTAATGAATACCAATACAAATCGTCTCTTTTCAGTGTACTTCAACAGCCAAATATCAAAACTTCGATCCATACCTTCAAAAGCGACGGATGCTCCAAGTATCGCCTATCTTGGTTCCTTCTACTAAAACTGCAACCAAGCATCTTCACGATCTGCCACATCAGTGTGCTCTCATACTTTCGAAAGTTTTTCTTTTAATGATTGTAATATCGGTCCTCATTTGTGTGTGTTTCAAGTTTCAGAGCAAACTCCATTTCCGCAATCCACTTCCAAATTTAAAAAAAAAATGTTTTCAAGTATGGAACATTTTGTAAACAGGATCAGAAAAATTTGCTGGTTTTTGAACTGCATGAATTTGGAGAATCGGCGCCCCATTTCAGACATTTGTCTGCGCATAATTGATTGAAACATTTCCCGTGGTTTAGAGACAGCTTGAACAGCAGTTTCAGTAAAAACTAGGATACGCGATTGTCACTTTTTGGTACGGTGCCAGTGAAAGGGGAGGCAATAATTTTTTTCCTGGATCATAACAGCCCCTAAATTGCTTACTTTCTCTAATTTTTAATACCAAGTAAAAGAAGCTTAATTAAGTGAAAGAATTACAACTTTTAGAACCCATCGTGCCCCAGATTTAACTTGTTGAACAGTGCTCGGAGACCTTGAACCTATACAAGAATCTCTTGGACATGAATCTGACAATCCAAAACACTCGTGTGTGTAGGGGGAGAGAGGGAGGCAGGCAAGGGGGGGATAATTTATTACTTTGATAGTCAATAAACATGAAGCAAAAAAGTCTGTTTTCTGTCATTATTGCAAATTTTAGCCAAAAACTCACTTGCATTGAGACAAAACCACTCATATATCTTCAAACTGGTATTTTTCTTCCAACTGGCAGCAAAAGATGTGCATGTACGTCAGATGTTTCAAAGACAGCTTACTCATCACATTATGTCTCCACATGATTTTTTTTTTTTAAACTCAAACTTTTACATGTCATAATATAAGGTGTCAAACAAAGGTGTATTTTTTGTTGACCTTTGTCTAATGCTACCGAAGTTTTGGTTGTGGCGTAGTAGTCGGGCACAGGTTTATTGCTCTACCAATATCTTAGCCATATTTTTTATGTATGAGATGAAACTGAGCCAGATAATAGAATGACTCAAGCAAAATACAAAACATATTGATTCATACTGTTTCTCGGCCCCTTGCACATCTGCATGACCATGAAACCGAACCACGGCCAATTACCTCTGTAAACTGGTCAACAACTATGTGTACACCTGTAAACTGGTCAAAAACAAAAACATGAACAGAACTTTTGTTTTTCATACACACAACTTAGAATTTCCCTTTATTGGGGTCTTCAAGTAACGCCAAATAGCACGCAATATCTACACAGATCCATATGTCTCTTCTTTCTTTTCTTTTTTTTATGTCTCCACAAAACGGAGTCTTTCTCGGTCGACAGAAACACAAGAAGAAAAGTATTGAGAGAAAAAGTCGAAGAAAGGAAAAGTGCTCTATTAAGTTCTAATTACAGATGACTAGTCTTTGCACTGTTATAAAAAAGATAAACAATCCAAAGGAAAAGAAAAAAAAAAAGGGAAATACTGTTTGTTACCCTTAGGAATGTTTCTTCCGTTTCACCTCCAGGCTCGTCGGAAAAAGAGCGCCAGTGAAACCACTAACCCAGCATTGGTTAAGGAGTCTGTCTAGTATATTTGTTAGATGCCTAGGAGGATCTAAAAAACACACACAGGCACGGCAGCCTTTGCATGCAGAACTTCACTGTACACGTATTGCACATATTTTACACACACATTCAAACCACCAGCGACAGACACGGGCAGCACAGCGCTCACCACTGGTTGGTCAGCTCATCTCCGGAAAGCAGCGGCACCCAATTGGGAGCCTTGTTTATAGAGTGTAGGTCGTCTTTGCCTTGTCCAACTAGACATTAAAACTTGAATGCCAGTTGGACAATGAATGGGAAAGGTTTCTAGCCCCTCCCCTTTTGTCATGCACCTAGATGTCTCACCAGACCAGTACTGCCAAAGTTGATATAAGAAAAGCGGCAAAGTGACATGCAGCTAAATCATCCAATTAGCCAGGTGAGAAAAAAAGGGGGATGCTAACCGAAGTGGTCATCAATTTCCAACCTCTCTGCGCTGTGCCTAGTGGCCGGGACTTTGCACACACTGCACATACAAACACATGCACATGTGAAACATGGCCACATCACAGCATACTTTGTTACGGAGCCTGCAATTCAAGCAGCATTCTCTTGGAAAGTGGGAAGGTTATGCGGCAAGACGGACAAGCAGGTTAGGCAGATTACTGTATTCCACCGTCCAGAATGCTGTGTGAGAAACAAAGCATAAGGCCTAAGGACTTTGAATGTGGCATAAATAAAAAAAAAAAAAACTCAAGAAATCCAATAAAGTGTGCGATATCTCTGCATTTATACTTTCAATGTTGGCCATTGTTTTAAAGCGAAAATGGTGGAAAAAATAAAGCTGGTGCAAGAAACAAAAATATTAATAATCAACTTTTCTTTTTACATTAGCATAACACTGTATTTTTTAGTCAATGACTTGTTTAGTCACAAACCTTGGTTAACGCCTGGATGATGAAAAAATCCGCTACTTTCGATTAAAAAAAAAAAAAAAAAAAAAAACACGACCAAAGCCAGCAAATGTTTTTGAGGCGCAACGAAATTCACGCTTCTAAGAATAAAAGGTTGATTGTTCTACAAATGAATGTTCAAAGCGTACAAAACATGGAGCAGTCAATTTGTGAAGTGGAAAGGCATGCAGCAAAATAATGCCCAGGCAGGGCCACTATTTAAAAGTTTTGCCGAAGCAAAAGTTGTCAGGCAGGCAGGATTTTAATACGTCCTTCAGATTTCCAAAAACCCACCACCAACTTTTGAACCTCCCTTCTCCCTCACATTTCCCATTTCGTTTGTGTCTTCATTCAGTGCGAAACTTTGTGGAGCCTACGGGGAGAGCTTTTCCCGTGACTGCTACGCATTTCTGAGCCTTCGTGTTTAGGGAAGAGAACACTGCATACGATCATAATGGGGCCGGACTTACAAGTTTACACCCGATGGCTTTCTCGTCGGAGTGCGACGCGGGTTTCAATGTGCTTGTCGAGTGCATTTCGAGAACAAGAGGACAAATGAAAGGACGGGGTGAAGCGAGTGAAACGTTTTGATACTAAAGAGCGAGCACACATGTATACATAGTTTTCAGAAAAGGTTCGTAGCCACACATATTTGGGTGGAGCGTACGCCAACACCCTGCAACCTTCCGAATAAAAAAAAAAAAGAAATATGTATATATTTGTGGAAAATGAAACGGAAAGACACTATCACTCCAGAGAAAAGCAGTTCAATAGGGAGGCTCACGTTCGAGCACGAGAAGACAAAAGTGTGCATAATATATATACTATGTATATATTAATGAGCCAGATCTAAAGTTCTAAATGAAAAAAAAAAAAAAAAGAAAAAAAAAAGAAAAGAAAATGCACTTTGTTGAAAATTGTGCACTTCCAACCTCCATGGCAGGGGGCAGCTCTCCCGCATTCTCTCGGCAGTACGGTGACGGTCGTCTGCCCAATTTCCCATTGCCGCTCTCCTCGAGTCCGCTCAAAAACAAAACAAACAAAAAATGAAAACCATGCGGGAGTCCCGGCGCTAAACGACACAATTCAAATGCGGCAAACAAGAGAAAACACTACCGACGGAGCGGAGCTTTGGGATTTTGGGGAAACTGAGACATCCCCGAAATAAAAAACACGGGACCGGAGGAGTGCGAGGGAAAGGAAAAAGATCCAGTCTGCATCTGCCCTCATCTCTGCAGCCGAAGGGAGAGAGGGAAGAGTCTGAGGGGGAGGGGGGCTCCTCGGCTAGAGCACTTTCTGCTTGAGCTTGCCCTTGAAGACGACTGGGAGCAGGGAGAGGAGAGCGAAGGCGGCCAGCACAGAGACAGACCACCACGACACGGCGTCCTTGGACGAGCTCAGTTGGTGCAGCGTGGTGCCCGCCTGGATGGCCACAAACGACGGCGGCGCCACCCCTGCGCAGAATGCGGCAACGCCCGTGCGTCGAGTTCACGAGCGAGGGACAGAAATCGTCACAACTCGCGTGCAAGAAGCAGACGAACTTGCACATCATATAGATCTTATTCATGTTTGTGGTGCCATCCATTGGATATATTGGCAACATGATTCTACCAACGCCAAAGATGGCGGTGCACGATCCGTGTTTTGAGATGCAAAAGGAGGCCACTCGGAATGTGATGCATCTGGATCGCAGGGACGCATCCACTTACTCGAAGCGTTCCTAGTCAATCTGAGCGTCTCTGATGCAGCACTTGCGTTCGATTCTCTCAAATTTGCCGATCTGCAGAAATCTCTTGAAAAATTCCCTCCTTTTGGGCTTTTTTCTTAGTACGAAATGTTTCCCTATGTCGCCAGGCTCCATGTCAGTTCTGACCCTTGCACCCCTACCGAACACTAACGCCGTGTACAGTGAAATCGTGAAGCTGTGCGTTTGTATAATGAACTTCAAAATTTGCAAAACAATTCTTTTTTTTTAATACTTTTTGCCTGTTTGGAGGTAAGAGATTCAACAAACGCTTAATGACTGGATACTGTAACGATAGACCCTTGGCAAATGTCAATGTGCGAGAAATTGTTTGTTTGTTTTTTTAAACCAACGATTTTGAAACTCCTTGTCCGGAATTTGGTCAAAACGCAGACAAAGAGGTTGCCATCTTTAAAGCTGGCAGCCCGGCATTTTCGACAATGTGCCGACAGCTGGCACCAAAAACGCGTAAGGTCTATCGCTGCCGCTGTCGAGATAACCCTTTGGTTACTTGAACAGTACCTTTGTTTGTAGTTACAACCCCAGAACGGTCAAGAGACGATGAAGTGTTATCAAAGGTAGGAACCTTGCACTGGAGGCAAGACACCTGGAGGATCTCCCTGCCATTCTCCTCCTTTTGGTCACATTAGTGACAGTGTTTTCAACACCTGCTACAGCCGAGACGTCACATTACACTGTAGAATCTGCGAGTGCAGCACCGGTAAGCGGAACTTGGTTGATCTCGTTTGTCTTCAGAATGGTTGTCTGATAACTGGAACATCTGCTATTCAAAGTAACCTTCCGATAAAAAGCATTCCTGTTCAAAGTGAGCCAGCACGTCAGATATCCAGTTCAAAGTGAACCGGAATATCAGATGTTCCAATTCAAAGTGAAGTGGAACGTTTGCTGACAAGTTCTGCCTCATCTTTCAAAGTTCCAGTCAGAGAGAATCTACCGTAAAAAGTTTGTTGCTGACATTGGCAAAATGGCCCGCATAGGACTTGTAACTTGTATTGCTTGCAAGCTTGCCGGCTTGAAAAGGACGCAGCACGTCCATCGCACGCTAGATTCTTTCACGGGGCCGAGCACCACTCACCGACGAAGGTTCCGAGAAAGAAAGGTGCGATGGGCACGTCGATGACGGGTGCTGCGATGTTGATGAACCAGTTGGGCAGGAAGGGGGTGATGCGGAGGAAGATCATGTAGTTGAGCAGATGAGCCCTGTGCTGGCCCACCTGTACACGGTGAGAACCCCGTCACACATCACGATGTGGCTGAGGACAAACCCTAAAAGAAACACTAAACTCTCCCAAAAAAAACATTTTTAAGCACCTGAATTAGGACACATAGTATCTCTCAAAATAAACTACCTCCCCCCTCCCCCCCAAAAAAATGTTTTGTGCTATATTTAGTTTGCATGACTCATATTGCCGCATGCGTGGCCGAGAGGGAACACTTCTCTGTACTTCCAGAAGATTTGTGTTTACTCTTACTACCTAAAATGTTGGACGGTCTAACATTCTAGGTTGAATGTTCGAGATACCGATTGTAATAGATGGGAAGGCCAACATGGCCTTGCCAAGTCAGTCTCCTGAGTGTCTGATGCTCGAACGTTCTAGGCGGAACGTTCGCGATACCGAGTGCAGTAGACAAGGAGCCCAGCGTGGCCTTGCAGACTCACGTACGACGCTGCCAGCTGTCACGCCGACACCTCGACGCTCGCTGCTGCCGCTTTCGACGCTCATTCTTTCTTTGGGGTTCCTGGCATAAGTTTGCCGATTAAACCTTTATTTTCAGTTTTACGCTCGTCATTTCTTTTCCATTCACGACAACACGAGTGATTTGCGCAATTCCGAAACATGCTTCTATTTCGGGTTCAGCGTCTCGAAATGGAAGCATGTTTTGGAATCTGTAATCTAGGAGCAGCTACATGCCACGAAAAGACAGCAAGGAATGGACGGAGCACGAGCATGGGAGCATGGGTTTTCCTCTCATCCTTACATAGGCTTCAGCACCACTACAGAATTGTTCCCAACTCAAAAGGAGTCAAATATTGCACTAAAAAATGATTTTGGGGGGGAAGGGGAAAGTCTGTTTTGTGGCATGCATGTCAAATCTAGGTACCTAAAAAAAAAAGTTTTTATATTTTAAAATTAACACAATCAAACGGCAAAACGACATCAACAGGTTGAAATGGCAGTGCCACCTTTTTTAAAGGACTGCATTAGGATCTTGGGAATGCGACGGTACATTACTTGTTCGGACCACTGGAGCGCCCGGGTCGGAAAGTACTTGAGCACCAGGCGTCTTCCCACCAGGTACGAGAAGAAGTAGCAGAACGACGCTCCCAAGGCCGAACACTGCGAGCAGACGAGCACAAATTAGACGGGGCTTCTTCACTCGCTTCGGCGTCTATCCCGACACACAGTGTTGCTGGAACGAGAATTTGAAAATACTAATTGTGTTGTGTGTTTATATAAATAACTGTAAGTTTGTCAGCCCTAATCGTCGTCTGGTGTCTCCGCTGTCATTGGGAAACTTGGCCAGTGCGGTACCACTGGAAGCCCGAGGTCTTTTTTAATGGGCACCACGCAGAATTGACTACACAACCACACATCGGTACGACGCCCATCCTGATTGAAACAGGCGGGGCTGGGGATTAACCCAAGACTTGTGGGTCCTGCAGTGCGAGCTTTCGCTTCACGTGCTCCGAGCCGAGGTGCACTAACACAATCGGTCACCAATCCCCCCCCCAGTAAACTTGCAGTAGCGCCGTGGTGGAGGCAACCGAAACATGACAAGTTTCACTCGCGAAACGCTTTGTTTGCTGACGACGGGGGGAAGACATGAACGGCATACTCACGAGGCACACCAGGAAGAGCGCCATAGGGAAAGGGAACAGGAATCCGGAGAGGATGCTCAGGAAGATGGAGCCAGGAATGGCAAACGATTGCAGGCTGTTTCGTTTCGTCAAGGAAATACCTCAATATACGACATCCTCAGCCCCTGCAAGGGCACCACTAGTGCCAATTAAACGAGCTACGCCTCAAAGTAACGATGCTTCCGCCATCCTGTTGCTTCAAATCATTGTTGCCACTTATCTCAAGCTTTATCTCGTGTCGCATGAAGCGTCTTTTCATCCTCCAGTAATGTTAACTCAGTCCGCGACAGAGCTAACTGATGTCGCCCAAGCTTCACGACACTGCATTTAAAGTTCAGGTAAACGGGCACAACTGTAGTTTGCTTGTCGGTGCATAATACCAGTAGAAAACAGCGCAAATAAACACAAGGACAAGAAGGACACAGACACGGCGCTGACGAGTGATTTCTATAACAATTTCCTGGATCGCGCATTTTCGTGCCGTGAATGCGGCCACTGGAGGTTTTATATCGGCCATCTTGGGCAAGTCTAAAATATCTGCTGGATGGAGCTTTAAAGAGGCTGAGTGGCTGCGTGCTGAAAGACCAGGTTTCTGCTCATTCGTCATCATTCACCGTAGAAATCTTTTAAAACCTTGTGTAAACGGTCGTAGCCGCCTTTGAGAGGCCGTAGAAATTTTTACAAAAGAGCAGCACCAAAGGTAAGAGGTACAACACGGTGAACGCTTCTCGCGGTCAGGCGGCGTGATCAAAGTACATGCCTTGGCAAGCCTAAGTGCTGCTTCAATGCGCCTTCGTACACTTAAATACCGATCAGGAATCGACGCTGTGTATGCGTTAACCCTTAGGGAAAGTTTTGAAGCTGTGTAGTGAATATGTGTATTGCTTCATGCATGTTGGTTGCAGAGTTCTGAATCGTCCAACTGTTCTGGCGAGTTACTATCATTGATCAGTTGTTGCTATCAGGAAATAAGAGAAATCAATGATTGCTATCATGTGCCATCAACCATGGCTATGTTCAAAATCTACTCCAATGAATCCAAATTACTCGCGTCACATGGCAACACAGATAGAGCAACGCAGTGTAGCAGCGCTGAACTGGAGGTAGGTTTTCGAACGTCGCGTAAGCAAAGTCGTTCCTGGCCCGTGAGTGCCGCAGGTTACAAATACAGCTGTCGAGGTACAGTAAAGCGCCGCTCCAGAGGCACATGCACCTCCATGCACGTTTCACTTGTGAATGTTTCCCGAAGGATTACATGGCGTCAACTCCTGATCAGTTTCCAAGCTTGCGAAGGCACAGAGACTCAGCAGGTCGTCGTGCTTAGGCATGTCCTTGTATCACGCCGCCCGACCGCGAGACCCGCATTCGACGAGTTCTGCCTTTTTCCTGTAGTGCTGCTCTTTTGTAGATTTCCACGGGTTCTCAAAGGCAGCTACGACCAATTGCAGTGTTTTCAAAAACTTCTTTGGCAAATGAGCAGAAGACACATGCAGCCACCGAGCCTCTGCGACACTTCACTCGGCAGATTTACACATGCCGAAGATGGCCGATTTGAAACTGCCAACGGCCGCACTTGCGCCAGAGTGACCAAGCGAGAATGCACGATCCAGCGAATTGTCATAAAGATCAGTGGCACCAACTCACGACACTCCTCTTCTTTTTCCTCCAAGCTTACATACGTGAAAGAAAGAAGGAACATAAAAACTAACACACAGGGGACATTTTTTTGGTAAGCTGCTCATCACCCGCAGTGTTGTCCTTTACACAAATTGGTCCAATCCTCCGATGAAGTCGAACTACATGTCGAAAATTGCGATGGGAACTGTAGTTATGCACTCGGGAAGTCACGTTTTTTAATTGTAACTATCACTAATACAGACCCTTTTCAGAACCCCATCGAGCTACATTGGAGGTCGGCATTTCTTGGGCATGAAGTCAGTAACCATATCGAAATTCTCGCCGAACACAGACTCGGCATTCATTCCTGGTACGAGCTGATACAACGTCATGCATATGCCAACCCAGCCTCCGTGTCCAATACGCGCTCAGAGTATGAGCTTAAACATAATTTGCACACCAGCTACATACTACATGGCGCAATGGGTTGTCGATACTCTAAACATAGCTTATACAGTAGCTCTAGGCATCACCAATCATGGACGCAGCGTAGAACGAAACTGAACGAAAGGATACAAAATGTAGGTGACGAAGAATCCCGATGTGACTGCAAAGAAATATCTATCCGTGTACCTGTTGAGGACGCGCCCCAACCCCTTGGCATCTTCTATGTCCCTTGGTAACTTGATATGCTGCTTTTCAGACCTAAAAAGAACGAAACGTTGATCCCATTAGGAGGTAAACGTCGTTACCCACAGTCTACGCAGTTTGCAAAACGAATGTTGCCAGAAGCAACATCCTGAAAACTCCGATTACACCAGACCGGCATTTTTTTTTTTTATAGCAAGCGTAGTTGCAATGACAAATTAAAAATGGTGCTCGGGAAGTGATTGCAACCGCAACTAGCTTTCGTGAAGGCCATGAGAAGTGAAGCTAGTTTTTGAGATGGCAGTGGAGTTTCGCAAGAAACTACTAGGTTAAGAAAGTTCAAGCAGTGGTACTTACGGTTCTAATTTTGGAAAATTCAAGTAGACTAGAAATAGGCACAGCAGTGAGGACAGGAATATCATAGCGAGGATGAATATCGCTCGACTTGTGCTCCCTCTTCCCGCTTTTAAAGGCACTGTTGGGGTTTCTGTTTGAGGGAAAGCATAAGAATGAAGACGGCAATGCAATTAAACGAGTTCAAAATGCAACCCCCGAAACAGTAATGTCAGAATGCAACATTTGCGCATGCATGCATAAGGACAATCACAAAATTTAAAAAAGATGACCACATATGAAATTACTGTTTGCCAACAGTGAGAACGAAGTCATTTTAGCGAATGTTCATTGCTTCTTCCTTTTTTGTAGAAGCTGGGTTTAGAGAAAATGGAGATCGGACTTCTTTGAGCCAGTTCTTTCGGAATAAATTCTGCAAGCCCTTGGTGGTGTGAGCCATGAGAAGCACACTATCAGTGAGCAAAGAGAAGGATTCTTATCCTAAAATTTTGTTTCAATAAAACATGTGGTACACTCGGCGAATTTTTTTAGTGCAAACAAACCATTGCCGGTTTTCTCAGTTTTTCTCATAGTATTGAAGGACTGCCATCAAAACTACTATAGTGGTGGAAAGTGCTCAATTGGGATACTAACCAAGTGGTATTCTGTAACCTGCCAGCAACCTTTCAAAGTAAAATGTGAAAAAGTGCCAAACACGTGTTTGCACTAAAAGTGTTGCCCAGTGTACATTCTTTGAAGTTTCTTTAGAACTGGTTTCAATAAACAATCTACCTGCTACTGGGGAGCAGGCCCAACTACCTTTTTATTTGACGCTCTGGCACAATGCAACATATTGTTTCTTGGGAATTTTTTTTTTTTATATGAAACAAAGTAATATACACTGAGGAAGCCAGGCCAACAATATGTTGAGCAACATCTATAAGGATGCTCCTATGCAACGCAAACCAACAATATTTCGGAATTTTGGTTGCCGTGACAAAATATATTGTCTTTAGAAAGCAAGTTAGGTAGCCTGAAAGAAGTGCTCTCGAAGCTTGCATTCTATCACGCCTTTAGAAACAGATACATGCACGAAGGTGAATATAACTATGCCGACAAAAATAATCTTTAGAACACTAAGCCCATTGTTAGGTAAAGTACATCTAAGAAGTACTTGAAGTAAAGTACAAAGTAAGTGAGTGGTTGCGTAAAGTAGGAAGTACACCAAGCACAATGTACTTGAAGAGAAGTACTATAAATACAATGTGCTTTCAAAGTAAAGTGCAAGTACTTTTTAACATTATCTCTTGTGATGCCCTTTTATGCTGCCATAGTGTTTCTTTTCTGGTATGTAATGACCCCAGGGGTAATCGGAGGGTGCATCGTTATTTTTGGAAATGGCGGCGAATATTGAATAGGAAAGAGAGCATGACAACAGATCCATAGCTTCCAAAAATAATCCTCTTATGGAGGAGTGTCCTCTCCTAATGCTTTTAATCTCCTTGCTTGTGCTGACCAAGCAAGAAGTAATGAGCGTTGCGTTCGAAATGCTGCGGGAAAGTCGCCCCCAGTACAAACGGAGTGATGTGTTGTCTGCTTGCGTTTCTGATGAGAGTAAAATATCCATTCTAGTATTTCTTCAGAGTTGAAAAAAAACATTATTTTGTGAAACAAATTTAACACAACCTAATTCGGGAAATGTACGAAAATTACCGGGAAAAATACCTTAAGTACAAGTATATACTCAGAGGATGTACTTCAAGTAAAGTACAAGTTTTCTAAACCTACCTGAAGTAATTAATACTTTAAACACAATGTAGTTAAAGTACTTCCCAACACTGGCTGAATCATGCAGTGCGCCTCTAGTGCAACGATAGAAAGAACTGCCTATCACGCTATCCTTGTCGTCGACAACCACATCTTCATTCAAGGTGTTAACAACATTCTAGAAATACACTTTTATTTTTATTTCATCATTTCGGCTGAATAAATACACCGTCTGCAGGGTTCCATCGCGCAGTTTAATCTTAAATGTGCGAAGGCTGTCACGATAGAACAAGACGCAGTAGTTGTTCCCGGCTAATAAACACGTCACCACTACGCACGTAACCCCAGCAGTATGTTCGGTTTCAAACAGGCCTAAACAATGCCGTGAACCCAACATCTGGGTAAAATTTCCCATTCAAAGGGTGAGGGAAGAAACAATTAAATAGAAAGAGGAAGTACTCGATGATGAAAGTCCCAATTGCCCCTGATGGTGATATTTAATTTGCCACTGGGATAGGCGGAACGGAAGATCACGCCACACTGAGGTCGAAAGACGGGGGCAGGTGCTACGCAGACGATGTTGTTTCACCTTGAAATACGACGTATCAAAATTCCGTATTAAAGCCGTAGCTGTCGCGACCAACAACCTTTGACATTAGTCCTGGCTTGTGAGCACGGAAGAAATTGCAACACATCTGGTAGCCTATACAGCAAGGGTTGTAGATGTCATTAGGGCCTTTACATAAACACATTCACAAAGGAGAACGGGAAAGGATATAAAACATTATTACCTTGTTTCATATTCGCGTCGCAGTCCGCTGCCATTTTTACGAGAAAGCGACAGCAGCGACAGTAAACGGTGTCCACCTAGCGGCACATCATTGGAACCTTTTAGAATAGAAAATGCCTCGAGACCAGCTGTATGCCAGCGCGGTCATGAAGCACTTGTATCTCTTGTATCCGGCTGAACACCACCCCATTCGGTACTTACGAGTACCGAATGGGGTGGTCCCGGGTTCGATACCCGGACCAGGTGGATTTCTTCGGTCGCGCATCAGTCACCTAGCTGTGTTTGGTGATTTGTGTTTGTCCTTTGTCCCTCTTGTTCCCCTTCTCCAGGGATTATTTTCGTCATTATTGTCCAGCTCGCTTGCACCTTTGTATTTTAATTGCATTATAAAGATATGACTCAACTGTTTCTAGAATTATTAGAACCTGCTTGCGCGTGCGCACGGCCTATATTTGAACCGCCAATCAGAAGAGACGTTTTCAACGGTAGACCAATGAGGCAAAGCCAAAAGCGCGGCTGTCCAAACGATTTTTGAATCGATTCGTGCTACCTCCTATAAATACGTGGACGTCTCTTGACCCATCGCCGCAACCACGAGAGCATAAAATGCTTTGCTGCAGCGCAATGCCCATTAGACAGTTTTCGTTCAATTGTAATGAATGTTTTGACACAAACGTTGCAATAAGTCGGTATGCAAAAGCGTGCCTGAGAGCTAAGAGAGACCCGCAGACATTCTGGTCTGAAGCTGCCTCCAAGCTCATCTGGATACGCAAGTGGGACAAGATCCTGGATGACAGCATACGACCGTGGATAAAATGGTAACAGCTCTTGCTGATCTCTTAAGAAAATTAATTTCTCAAACAATAAGCTCTCCCCCTGGCCCCATTTGGCCGTTTCTTAGTTTTTAGACGTATTGGCCATTGGGGGCAGAACTATGCAGATACCAGGGAAAAAGCATGTCGTCTACATTATGAAAAATGCATGTCGTCTACATTATGACAATAAGTAACATCTGTAGCATGTTTATAGAGTTGCAACTTTTACGACGTTCTTCGTGTCCCTCTGCCTCGGCTCTCGGCGACCACATTGAAATGATACTTCAATAAGGAAATACTAAAAGGGGGGGGGGGTTGTGTATCGCCAATATCCTAACCGCGTACCATTTCGTAAATGCGATCATACTGGTCTTGATTAATCACGCTGCACAGGGGTACATCGATGCCCGATAATTACTCACTTTCGTCTATTCCCCTATTCCCCTTCCCCAGCACTGAGAAACCGGTTAATGCAAACTGCATGGAGCGACCTCTCTGTCTTTCTAAATAAACCTCTTCCTCCTTCTTCGAATGTCATGTCAACGATCCTTCGCGAGGAATAAAGATCACAACAATAACAGAATAGCGATAGAAGTTCCACGTGACAAAGAAGAAGAAAAATATGTTAGGCCGGCTGGGCCAGCCGGGCTGCTCAAGATGCGGCCACGTCCGACGCATCTTGGGTGTGACGCGAGGGACCCTTAGGACGATACCTCCGGAAGCGACGGCTGGCGGCACTGTCTACGACAAGACGTACCAGCGCTCCATAGAACTGCCCGAGGTGTTTTGGCGACAGGTCGCAGAGAACTTAGTTTGGGAGCGGAAGTGGACTCGGGTTGTAGACGACGTCAAGCGGCCCTTCACAAAATGGTGAGTTGTGCGTAAATGAAAAAAAAAAAAACAAAAAAAAAACGGTTAAAGTGCAGGCGAGCTGGTGGAAGTTATACATGATGACAATACATGATGATGATACTGAGGCGATCTGGAATAAAAAAAAAAAACGTTGAACTCGGGTGATGTTCATGTAGATGACTTCTTTTCGGCATCACATAATGCAAGCCCTAGGCACTCTCAAGCTGCCTCAAATACTTTAGTGACTGCAAATATCAGATCGAGCATGGTTTAGTTTCTTTAAATTTAAAGTAACAAATCAAGCAAATGACTATTTCGCGAAAATGATCAAGAACGTCTAACATATTTAGGTGTAATATCGTAAACAAACAATTCGCCTGATGTGTACGTACGTTACCACTACCCCGGGCATCAGATAAAAATGTTAGTTAAATCGTTGCCTATCATATATATCCTATAATACAATAAAAAAAATTTTTAATTATATTCGGTGACAGGCCAAGAACGAAGTGGAAGCTCCTCCCAGGCCTTTCCACATTAGCAAAGCGAACGGGGGAGAGGAGGTCGCCTCCTCTTCGGCGACCACTCTGCTGATTACTCACTTTTTATGATGATGATACTGAGGCGATCTGGAAGCAAAAAAACGTTGAACTCGGTTGATGTTCATGTAGATGGCTTCTTTTCGGCATCACACGATGCACTTTCTTTTATATGCACTGTGGAAAGGGTGGGAGAAGCACTTCGTTCTTGACCTGTCACCGACTATAGTTATGAAGGCAAAGCACAAAGCTTTCAGAGAGCACACATAGCTATTTTTGTCACATTCTTTAAGATCCTAAATGCGCGATTATAAGTATAGAGGCTTTCAGGCAGCTGCGCATGGGCGCCGCCATAACCGACCTTCACTTTTTGTTCCCTCTTATTCCGTTCGCTCCACTTCACCATTACCACAGCGGGGCAGGTTATTCGGAGGAGGCACATATATCACATATTGCCACTTTAAGTGCTACCGTGTCCTTCTACCCAGCATAGGCCCTTGTGGGGGCTCGTCAACGCCCGCTTCAGTGGCTCGGCACCTCGGTAAGACAAGAGAAGATCGGCTATGGCGGCTCAATCTGGCGCGTGCTGAAAGCGTCTATATATTGTGCTATACTTATTTCGAATGTTCCGCCACTATCAGTGAGCAAAATTTCGTTGTCCCAAATAATTGGGCTCAATGTGCGCCAGGGCTGACGCTGATATCTGTGCCTCCTCCCTTCACTCACGTATCCGTCACTCCGACGGTGAAGATAGCCAAGATGGGTTACCAAATCAACTGCAGCTATCGTCGTGCACATACGATGGCATGCAACTAAGTTGCAAATGTAAGCGTCGGGCGACACTTTACAGAATAAGCCGAGAAACGCGTTGAAACGCGACGAGATACACGAATGCAACGCCTTCGCCAAGGCGCGGAGGGGAGAGTGGAGTGCCGAGTTGAAGCAGTTGAAGCCACCTCTGCCTTAGGGCTGCCGCGTCACGTGATTCCAAGAATGCCGCGCCCATACGACGGAAGCCAACGCGCGCGGTTTACAAACAAGCCCGCGCTTGCCTACAGATGCAGCCGCAGCCTACGCGGCTACAGAAGGTAGGGTGACTACGCGTGCCCAGAAACCAGATTCGCTCTAGGTGAAGCTTCTGCTCATGTGCCATGCCAACAGCAGCTCCACCGCAGCAACGTAACGTCAGAGCCGGAAAAAAAAATCGAGCCTTTCCACTTTGGTGAAGGAGGAAGAACAGCGAAGCTGTACTATGGGAGCTTCCGTGGCGTTGTCCCGCCTGCGCTTCTGTTCTCGGCGGCGTTTCAGGCGAGCGATCTGCTCTTTTTTCACAAGGGATTCGGAAGCGCTCGACGCAGTGGAACTCGAGGCGATAGCGGCGTTTATGCGGCCATTCGCGCTGCTGCGCGCGTCGCCACTCCTTCCGCTCCCGTTCTTCTTCTTCCGAACGAACGGCGCGCCCAGAGACCCCGGAACGGGGATGCAACGGGGGCTTGAGCACCCGCTGACATTTTTCAGGGGGTGCTGGGCAAGAACCAATGAGAAGGCCTACTGAACAATGCCTGCACTCCCCCACCCCTCCGTGCTCCCGTTGTTGTTGAGCTCCGCCAAGCCACGTACTTGGCTAGGGGCAAGCACGCGTGGCTCTGTTTTTGTTACGGCTGGTTATTCACCAAATAGCGGCACAACCTTCGGCCACGAAATTCCAGAAAAAAATTTAAGACGTAAAGCAAAAGTGTCAGTAAACCGCGGACGACGCGGCAGTTCCGAGAAAAGGGGGAGAAAACAAAAAAGAGGGGGTGGGGGGGGGGGGGGGGGGGGGGGGGGGGCTGGCGCCTGGAGCCGGCATAGCACAGTCAGGGAGATCTCGTCTCTTCCCTTGCTTGGTCATCTTCCTGGGGCCCTCCCATACTGCACTCGCGTCTTGGCCATGCGGGGGAACGCACAGCGCACTGCTTTTGTCCACACGGCCAGAACAGCCGGCTTGTTCGTTTTGCTTCTATTTTAAGCAGTGACGTTTCCCAAGAAACACAAAAATATCTTCTGGCTTTTTTTTTTTTTTTTAGATGCGAAGCATCTCTTGCTCGGGTCTATGTCCCGCGGCGTCGTAGTCCGCACTCACACTACGCATGCGCAACTCTCCTCCTTCCCTCTCTCCAACAGCTGCGCGTTACTCTCTCCGCTCTCTCTCTCTCTACCAGCTGCGTGCACTTCGCGTGCGTTCGGTTCTACTCACACCGCGCGCGCATGCGCAACTCTCCTCCTCTAGTCTCCTCTCCTTCAAGTGTGAATATAAGCAGCGGTAACGCGCTGCGCGCGTTCTGTTCACCCGCTGTTGACTCCACTTCACTCCGTTCTTCCGATGAAGTGTGATGGAAGCAACAGTCCCGTCAGTTAGTGGGTTGGCGCAAGCAAGCGTCAGCACCACCCCACAAACAGCAACGCTACGTCCACTGAAGACAAAGCTGCGCAGCGAAGGGCACGCGACGCTGAGCGCAAACGCTTGAAGCGAGCGGCAGACCCTGAACTACGGCAACGAGAAGCGGCGTCCATTCGTCAAAGTCGAGCGGCGGATGCTGAACTACGACAACGTGAAGCAGCGGCGGTTCGAGAACGTCGAGCAGCAGAACCTGAGGTTCGGGACCGTGAAGTTCAACGTAAACGTACACAGCGAGCGGCGGAACCCGACCTTCGAGAACGGGAAGCCGCGTTGGCTCGTGAACGTCGAGCAGCAGAACCTGAGGCTCGGGACCGTGAAGTTCAACAACGTTACTAACACCATTAATAACACCGTTAATAACGATCCGCGATGCTCCGCATCACCCCATGGTTCCCCTCGGGAAGATGGTGTAATTTTTTTTTTGTTTGTTTCATGCAGCTGCGCTTTTTTTTTTTTTGGCGGTCTGAGCAACACCGAGGGTCGGGCAATAGACATATTGCTATTAGCGGCGAGATGGTTTGGTGGCGGCCTCCTGTGGTTCCCCTTGTGACGTCATTACCTTGCGAACAACAAGTTCGATGGTGTTTGTAAATAGCATAGAGGAAGCCTGAAATCATTGCGCTCTCAAAGCAACACTGCCCACATCGTCGAAATTAAAGTTCTTTCATTCCTCTTATTTCCGTCGATGGTATACCCTTCCCGACATCAGTCAGCTCTCGGGCCAATCGTGGAAGGCCGACCACAGCGACGCTTTCGGTCGCGCACGATGCCAATATTACCCAAGCATCAAGGAGAATGCAGGGATTGGTGTTCCACGCGCCGCACGTGCTGGCCTCAGCAGTAGTAACTTTTCTAAAGCAAATACTCAAAACAAATGCCATCTTGCACGTGCGTTCGTCAACACTTTATTTTGTTATTGGAATCTTTTATACGGGGAAGGCGTGTGGCGTATGGAACACCAATCTCTGTATTCTCCTTGATGCTTGGGTAATATAGCAAATGGTTTATTGCTTCCGCGGGGAGAGCCGAAGCGCGAGCCGGGGAGGTGGTTTGCGCGAGAAGAAACCCATTCTTGAACGAGGGACTGCCTACAGATGTAGCAAGTTGAGGGAATAAGGTATCCCGACTCCCAAGGCAAGAGGAGGCCTTACCAGGCGAGGCGACACAGGTTGTCAAGGGAGAGACCGCACCGCAGTCTGTGTTGAAGCACTGCGTCGTCGGAGAAGTCAAAGTGTCCTGGCAGTCTCGCCTGTATTTTTGTGTCTGGTTTTCGAGACACCATTTGGTTCTTGGCGAGCCAGAGCATTCTGTTCAAGCGGGCACCCTATTATGCACCAAGACAGTTTCACCCTCTTTACAAAGACGACCATAAAAATAGGACACATGCTGAAATAAAAAATGGCATTGCCAGTGAATGTTTACCACCAAAGGATGACCGCGTCCACCGGTGGTAATCTTTTGTTGAAATTTTCAAGAATGCCTTGTTAAGCTTTTCACAAGAACGGAGCTGTGCCGAGGACATTCACAGGAATGCATCCACGATTCAAATACACCCTTGAAAATGTGAGCTCTCTACGTGCAGGCGCCCGATTTTCCAGTGCATTTTACATCGACACCGTAGATGGATGCCACTGTATCGCTACTACTATCGTATCAGATTCTGTCAACATCTGCTTCGTGACAGGAATTTTGGATGGACGCATGGACACACTCTATAGACCTTTCCAGCGGCAGTCTCGAACGAAGCGAGCGGGCAAAAAATGCTGAATCACTGAGCTGTGGACGCATGCGCAACGTCCGATATACCGCAGAGCAGATCAACAGCGGATGCTTGGAAGGCGTTCCACAGCCCAGCAGACAAAGATGGCAGCGCGCAGGAGGCGATTCCTGCAAAGGTCTATAGGTAGTGAACAGTAAAAGTTTTGTAATGGTTGTTTTTACAATTTTAATTTTTCACCCCCCTTCCCTCTTTATTTCGACCGCTAGCGCACCCCCCCCCCCCCCCCCCCCCGGTTAAATATACGTCCGGGGTATACGACCCATCATGAGTCGAAAGGGCGACGGATAAAAGCGCTATCGCGATCTCGACGTCACGGGCCACAGGACACACACGATTGGTAGGTGAGACGATGACGTTTTATTCTAGTATAGGGCGGCGCCAATCACGGTGCGTGCTCGATGGCACGAATTCAGGATGGCCGCTGACGCGGACACCGGAGAAGAAGGATTGGGGAGAGACGGCACGGAACACAATGGGCAACTCTCCTCGTCGTACGCGAGTGATCTTTATCTCCGGAGAAAACCGAGTACCAAGTCGGCAAGCCGGTTGTCTGGTTGCCGCCGTCGCTCATAGATGGCGGTAGCTGTCTGGAGTTTTGTGTCGACACGCCGCTTGACCGCGTACACGACAGTGGGGGAACTAATCCTTAACAGCGTCGCTGTAAAAAAAAAAAAAAAAAAAAAAAAAAAAAAAAAAACAGTCGCATAGTTTAATCTACAGCGGCGAGAGCTATTTTGAAGTCACTATATCCTGACTCCATGTCTCGTCTACGTTGCTTGCGGATAACTTCCCTACTTTGGTAGCCGGCTGGATTCTGCAAGTCCTCAAAGCAACATGGAGTGGAGTCATTTCTAGTTTTTGGTGACCCGGTGGCAGCGTCGCATTGACGTTGCCACCGGGTCACTAAGAATAAAGCGGTCAGATCGTTACCGCTTTCGAAAGTCGTCCAAAAGAGTTCGATTAACGATTTCAAACGAGCAAGCAATTCGTTCAAACGCTATGGAAAGACCCTTATGAGCTTCCAAGGACGCAGATTATTCCGGAGCGTGACAGAAAGTCGTTATAGTCGTCCGAATAAGTTGTCAATAGCTATAGGATATCGACGGAACTAAAGAAAGCGTTCCGCTTCCATCCGCTGTCTGCGATTGCAACGCATAAATATGATATATGATAATCGTCAATGACACCGTGACGATCGAGATTGGCTACTGAAACAGACTCAGGCCTGATGTAGACGGAAAAAAAGAAGTTAAATTCGTAATTTTTAGCAAAAAAAAGAAAAAGAAAAGTGGAGTTTTGCTTTGGAGATTTAACTATAGTTTGACAGTTCTGCAAGTGTCTACGCCTTCAAACAGCGGCCCGCATTCTCTCTTGTATGACGAGGTCTATCGATGTCACCAGTAGTCGACGCAGACTAGGGAGCCTACATCCTCGCCGACGCGCGGTACACAAGCAGGAGCAATTTTAAACTGATGGGGGAATGTGAGCAAGAGGATTCAAGCACTCTTCTGCATTTCAAAAGAGCGTGGTAGAAGCCTTGTTCCCGAATGAATTTGTTCGTTACCTTCGCAGAACGAAGGGGCGTTTTCAAGAAATCTAGTCTCAAATAAGAAAAATTGATTAAAACCTCTGTGCGGTTTATTATTATTTTTTTTTCTTATTCTATTGCATGGCTAGAAGCTCACCAGGTTACCCTTGTTTCGAGCTCTCTTTCAACCGAAAACCCGCTGCTCAGGCCCAGGGTTGTGCTCAGACTGCTTCGGAGAAGAGAAACGCTATCGGAACGAGCTACTAAAACTTCCTATTAATTGCATTATATATACAGGGTGTTTTTTTTAAGCTAACATATTTGTTTAAAAAAGCCGTGAAAGTTAAACTTATGCCGCTTGTGAAGGTGAGTTATACGGCCAGGGGGACATATTATACGGGGCTAATCGTAATGATCAGTCAGCTAATTAATTAAAAAAAATTAATTAACTTTTTAATTAATGAAAATAGACATATGGTTCCAATTAGAAACTTGCTCAGCGTCATCGAAAACCACTAAATCAGTAATTTTCAGAAATACTTTGAGCGCGTGAGAAGCGTAGTAGTGCACTAAAGTTACCACTCGTGGAGCAGGTATACAAAGCTAGCGGTTGCGATAAGGCGCCCGTGCGATTTTTTCCGTCTCTTATCTAGCCCCAGCCTTGTACATGCTCCACGAGTGGTAACTTTAGTGCACTACTACTCTTCTCACGCGCCGAAAGTCTTTCTGAAAAAGACTGATTTAGTGGTTTTCGATGACGCTGAGCAAGTTTCTAATTGGAACCATATGTCTATTTTCATTAATTAAAAAGTTAATGAACGAATTAACGTTTCGCGGCGTCGGCGTAACCGCGCTAAATTTAGCGGCAAGATTGACGTCACGTTACTTCAACACCAATTCAATTCCCCGCTAAGTTTAGAGGGGAATTCAATTGGCGTTGCGGTCATGTGACGTCAATTTTTCCACTAAATCTAGCGGAGAAGCTGAATTTGTTCATAGGTGACGTGACACCAAGTTATGGTGTCACGTCACCTAAATTTTTCCGCAAAATTTAGCGGGGAAACTGCATTGGAGGAGGAGGAGGGGCATACCCTCCCTCTGTACCCTCCCCTCCTCCACCCCAAGAGCTGCACTCTAATTTCGCATTACAAAAATTAGTAAACGTCTTTTATATTTTTTTTTTTCCCCAGTCACGAATTATTTTTCAACCAGAATTTCAAGAAATTTGAGTCAATGGTTCATTATACATCCCGAGGTAGTAATAAACAGCTCAACGTGATTTCTGAAAAAAAAAAAATTATACAGGAGTACATTTAAGATAATTTATGTGTAGGAATGCGAAAGCATTCGTACACGCCGCGCATTTGTACGATTAAGCAGCGCGCAACCCTCTCCCTTTTACCGGCGCGGGCCGCAGCGCCAGGAAGAGGGCTTCTCTGTGGGGTGGCGTTCCTTAGAACTATGACGCGTCGCAGCCAATAAAAATTTATTGCTCGTTTCGCTCTGCTGGAATTTAGGTGCCATTTTTCGTAATTACAAACAACGCTTGCTGCGCTCTATGGGACAGTTAATGTTTTCGCATTAAAAGTGCAATATGTTTTGCGCAATCTGTACTTAAAGCTTATCGCAAACCGGAACCGAAACCTCGTCAGCTGCGCTCAAACGGGACCTTTAGCAAACCGTTGCCGTGTTCCGCGGGGCGCGCGTTTAAAAGCATGCTTCAAAGGCTCCGGTAGTGCGGTGCGCCGAACACTTCAGCGGTTTGCTAAAAGTCCCTAATATTGCTCCTGTGTCGTCACCTACATTCTCTAATCACGTGGTACAAATCGTGAAGTCACGTTCCAGGCACATACGTGGGCGGGCACAGTGCAGGGGCGAAAGTGTCGTCTGCTACGATCGGCAGTCTGCTACATCCGGCGACGCCCGCACTACCAACATCAACTTTTAGGCGAAATTCGAAATATTTGGCGTGTGGTCTATTTAGGCGATACTAAAGAGAATTGCATTGCTCTCATCACATGTAAAATGAACCGGAGTTGCCCTTTAAGAAGTTTCGCATTTCATGAAGAAACATTTTTTTCAAAGATTTTTGGCTACAAACGCACACACACACACACATACACACACACACTCACACACATATATGTATATATATCTTGAACAACCAGAATCAGTAGTTTTAAGGTGAACTGATTCCCAGGACTGACGCAGGTTTCCGGGGGGCGAGATCAGCGTCTGCTACAACGCGGTAGACCGACACGTGGAAGCCGGGAAAGGCGACAAGGTGGCCCTCATCCACGACAGCCCCGTGACGCAGACGGTCACCAAGATCACTTACAAGCAACTCAAGGGACAGGTAGGGTCGGCAAAGAGCGAACGATATATGCTCCCTGCAGCCAATCAGCGCGACGGCCGTGGCAGCTCTCCACAGGAGAAGTGCATCCTGACGACACGTGGTGTTTCGCTGCGACGCTCAAATTGGCTTGTTGGGGTCGTAGCTCTTGCAGCTCGCAAAGTTATCCATAATTACGAACCAGCGCACGGGCCGACAGTCATTAAAAAATTCAAACGCTCATAATCTGTATTTAGTAAAACTTTCTCTTTGTTGACCCCATGTCTCATTTTTTCATTCTCTGGTTGTTGGGCTGCCATCTTATTCCTTGGGGTCAAAGAAGAAGTTTGACTAAACACAAGTTATGAGTTGATAGTTCAGTTCCGTATTTCTTTTGAGTGTTTGGAATTTTGAGTGACTGTCAACCTGTGCGCTGGTTCGTAATTATGCCTTACCAACTTGCCCCATCTGCAGTATCAAAAGTTATGCTACTCGGCTCTCACGTCACGCCACTGGGGCGGTGCTGCTGTGGGCACGGCGAACGCGCAGAGGCTTCACCTCACGGGATCCTTGTTTCGGGGCAAACACAAGCCAAGGAAAACATCGCTGAAAAGGACCAAGGCAAGAGGGGCAAGACAAGGCACCTTGTCTTGTCCCTCTTGACTTAATCCTATTTTTTTTTTTTTCGGAGCTCTTTGCCTTAGCTATGAACCAACTGGCCCAAATCACCAACTTAAAGGGACACTGACAGAGTATTTGCGCTCGCCAAGGTTTTTATAAATTATATACATGCCATATGAGAGTCACCCGTGTCAGACGGCGTTCTAAAGATCCTTTTCACCAAGCTCTTTTATAAAATCGGCCAATCTGCTCGCGACGTTGAGTGCGCACGTGCCCTATGGCGTGCGCTGGTTCGCCGATTTTAAAACGGAGCTAAATGAAAAGGATCTTTAGAACTCCACCTGACACTGGCCGGTTTGAGTCGCGCTCACTGTCTTATCCGTGGTCACGTGCCGCTTTGTATGGTTTAGACACAACCACCAAATATAATCAAAGTCGTGTGTCATCGAAGGCGCACACTCAATATTAAAAATAGAAAAAAATTAGACCGATTTTTTTTGGTGGGTACTAAAAACCTGCAAATACGTTTGTTAAAAAAAAGCTCCGCAGCCACGTGATTTTGGCCAACTCTCTCCTCCTCTATAATTCTTCTTCCTCCCCAGACCGGTTTCGAGCAGTTGCGTTTTTTGACTTTATTGAAAATATACGTGACGCTGTAGCAAAGCATTGATTGGGTAGTCTTCCGACACCGTAATAAATCACCTAGGCAAAAAAAGAAAGAATAATATAAGTATTTTTGGGGGTGTTGGTGTCCCTTTAGCTCTTTCCTGCACCATGGGAAAATTAGCAATTTTCCAAGGATCCGTGCAAACACCTTTTTTCCTAACTTGCGTATGGAGAAATATGACACATCCAAATCTGGCTAATTAGTTGTCCTTTCAAAAGAAACAAAGGTTGGTATAATGTAAAAAAAGATTTTTTTGTTTCATTTTTTTTTTTTTTTTTTTTAAATACAACGTACGTGCGGAAGGCGGACGTATAACCGCCGAAACTTCTACAGCTATGTCAAACGGCAAAACAAGAAAAATTCAAAATATAGACAATGTGCCCCACACCCACGGCTATTATACTTGTGAAAGTTAGTATACTCTAACTGACATGGTCTATTTTCGGTTCGTCATAGAGTTAGCCTCCATAACACGCGTTTTTCAACGAAGGAATGCTTAGAATGGTGAAACAGAGATAGTACACCTCACATCCCCAGCAGAGTGCTTTCTTTGTGTTCTACCTTGGTTTAGTAATAGCCTTGATTGCAGTTCTCTTATATTTCGCATTTTTGCACGCCGGCTCAGAACAGCATAGCCTCAGGGCAATCAAGATTCGTGTGACACGTCGCGCCATCTAGCTTAAAATATTAGCAACACTGGGAAGGTTCGTTCGCCAGCCTGCTTGCTCGTGGGGCGCTGTTCACATATCACTTCGAAGCTGTTGATTTGTGCGTTTTTCCCCTTTTACTCTTCACATTGCTATCAAATGCCGTATTCGAGCAAACATCGAAGCTGTAGGGTAGGCATTAGGGAGTTTTCGTAGACCGCGTTTCCCCCTCCGCTAAGCCCTCCGCAACGAAGCAGGCGCTACTGCGCCGGCGCGCCGATGGCCTTGACTGTAGAGTTCCGCTAGCGTAGATGGTTGCGGAGAGCGTTGCGGGACAGCGGAAACGATCTACGAAAACTCCCCATCAGGGAGTTTTCGTAGATCGTTCTTGCCGTCCCGCAAGGCCCTCCGCAACCCGCTACGATAGCGGGAACTCCACAGTCAAGGCTATCGGCCCGCAGGCGCATTAGTAGGGAGTTTTCGTAGATCGTTTTCGCCGTCCCGCAAGGCCCTCCGCAACCCGCTACGATAGCGGGAACTCCACAGTCAAGGCTATCGGCGCGCAGGCGCAGTAGCAACTTTTTCGTTGCGGAACGCCTAGCGGAGGGGGCAGCGCGGTCTACGAAAACTCCCTAGTAACTTCTTCGTTGTGGAACGCTTAGCGGAGGAGGAACGCGGTCTACGAAAACTCCCTATTGTCGTGTACCGGACTGTCGCAACCCCGAAAGCTTAGCGGAAATGAAGCTCAGCAATTTCCCGTCAATTCCGTGTGAAATAAATACGACACCGTCGAAGAACGGGGAAAAAAAATTTGTAAAATAAGCATTCCGTTCAGAATGCCTGACTTCAGGTAGATTTCTAAATGTGCCATTTGACTCGATATTTAAATGTCATGCGTTCGAAGCCCGGCATTTTCTTTGGGTCTGTTGCAATGACTCCATAGAGTCAGATCAGTTCTTTGAGATTCTCACTGCTCTCTGCTCTGCAAGCACATGTTGATCGAACAATGGTTTGTGGACGTTGGAGCTTTGTTACCAGAGTCAGCTTTTTCTCTGCTTCGTCGGCTGCAGAGCGGACTGTCGTTTGATCGCGTAGCTGCCCAAGATAGCTGCTCTATTTCGGCCCGTCTCTATGCGGTTCTAACTTGGTCCCCGTTGCGAGAAAACAGCCTACACAAGAAATAAAGAATGTCCGTACCCCACAAGGACAGGTTATCTGTGCGGTGTTTATTTTTGTTCTATGTAAAAGAGAACCGCATATATCTTGAGTTCCGCGTTTTCGGTTTTTATTTTTTCAAAATTTGACGCACTTCATTTGGTGTTTATTTTAAAATTTAATTTTCGGTTTATTTCGGTGTACAATTATGCCCTCAAAAGTTTATCGTTTTTTTTTTCGGTGATTATAAAATAAACACCAATGGACACCGAATCAGATGATCCTTGTAGCTCTGATGTTTGTGACCACTCAAAGAATAACGGCACAGAAACGTTGAAAAAGAAATGGACACTTTGTTTGGAAAATGTGTGCAACTGTAAAAGAAACAAGAAAAAAAAAACAGAAGTACAAACAAGTAAGATATGTACCTATGCTAAAAAAAACATGTAACTTCACCTTTTGTACACCAGGATGACGTGATCTTATTATAGAAAACACACATGTACTTTCCCAGGTTCTCGTTGATCCGCACTTTTAATGCGAAAGCATTAACTGGGTCTCAGGGAGCGAGCTAACGTCATCAGTCTGAAGTGCGAAAGCGGTAGATAGTTTCCTTCGGTTCCATTGGCTGGCGCGCGTCGACGGAGCTCCCAATGGCCGCTGCGCTCGTCAATTTCCACAACCGCTCACCCCATGGCGCTGCGTGTCCATAAGCATCCAAGGTCACCAGGGGAGCACACGCACCGACCGGCGACGAAAAGTACGCAGCAGACGAAAAAGGGAGCGGACGAGCGGCTTGCATATGCTTTCGGATTCACAACTCATAAGAAGTGCTTAGGTGTACTTCGATCTTTTTTCTTTCCTGATAATGACCCAGGCACAATCTTCAATTTGGCTGGGGCCTCCTCTCCCCCCTCCCCCTCACACAACATTTTGTCATAGGCGGCGGCCCCCCCCCCCCCTTCCCCCCCCCCCCCCCCCCGAAACAAAATCCTGGCTACGTGCCTGTAATGACCCTGAGCTTCAAGAATGCCCTCTCAACGTTAACTCTGGACACTGGCAGGCTGAGGAGATGAAGTGCTGCCTGAGCCAAACTGGACCGATCAACCAAATGTGACCGCCAAAAGAGACACGGTGCGACGTTTTGAAGCACAACACAACACGCAGAGCTTGCATCATATCAGGCCTCCTTACAACGAGTTTGAAAACACGCTCGTACATGGCGAAGTCGTGGGGCATTTCGGACTTCACGTTCCGGTCGAGTTTAAAACAACGTAATGGCACCTGTGTATCCCATACATTCACACACGTTTCGATAGACACTGTCGTTTGACCTTTTCGCCACGGCTCTGCTGTACGACTGGAAGGTCAAAGTAACCTTTTTCGGGTAAAGCCAAATTTTAGAAAATGAATTCGATGTACTTTTTTTATCGGTTTAAATTGAAAACGCCGAACCTACAAACTGACCTTTTTCGGTTCAACCCGAATATTCAAAAATGAATTCGGCGTGCTTTTATCGGCTTTTATTGGTTTAAACCGAAAACTCCGAACCCGACGAGAATGAGAATCAGCTCGTGACGAGCAACTGCGTACGACGAGGAACACCGTCCAAATTACAGCCCTTGCACGAAAAACACATTCCTTGGACTCCACAGTCGTCTTTAACACAACGACGAGGGGACGGGAAACAAACCCGAAAATGCTATGTCCCCAAAATATAGTCCGCTAATCATGCAGAAAAAGTTCACTTAGAAAAAAAAGAAAAAAAAAAGAAAAAAAAAAGAGAAAAAGGTAGGTGAGGGTGAGGAAGGGTGAAGGGGCGTTTTTAGCTCCGCTCTTGAGAAAGAAAGAAGCTCGACAAAGTCTTCGCTTTTGTAATTTGAAGCGGTGCAAACAACGTAAAAAAATATTTGTAGAGCCCCTCCACTTCACGTAAAGATGGAGGACCAGTGAAGCTGTTATCTTTACGACGCCTAGGACGGCTTCTTGGACGAAGTACGACGCCTAGAGGATGACGTCGACGGCCTCAAGGACTACTTTTAGGACGATCTCGAGGACGACGCCTAGAAGACGGCGTCTAGAGGACGGCGTTTAGGATGACCTCAGGGACGACATTAATGGTGAATTCCGCTCGCAGATCTCGAGCGCTCCAAAAGCGCTCCATTTGGAGCGCGCATATTCCACTCGCAGATCTGGCTCAAGTTGGTCATCTTCCGCTCGTAGATCTCTGGCAGCGCCCGCTCCACGGAGCGCCCCAAACTCCGCCGAACTTGCTCTGCGGGGTTTCACGGATCTCTCCGGAAGCTGACAGAGCGGCCCACGTGACTTCCGTCTAAATCGGCGAAATCGGCGGTGCGCCTGCGCGGCCTGTGTGCGCGGCGAGGTTGGAGAGATCGGCGGGCCGGTCGGGTCGTGGAGTCGGATCTGTTCGGGTGCGCCGGTTGTTTACTCTGGATTGTGACGGCTCGAACGCTTCTACCTCGCTTAGATCAGGGATAAAGAGTCGGGAATGCGGAGCGTGGCAAATCGTAAGCGCTGACGTCTGTGATCGTGAGAGGAAGAACAAGAAAAAGAACAACAGAAAAGCCGGAGGCAGACGCAAGGTTAGGCCTATTCATTCTGCAGCCAGTGATTGTTTACCTTTTTACGCTGCATTCCGTCGGCGTTTTCCCGTGAAATAAAGCAAGAAGTGGTTAGGCAACGACCGCGCAAGTGATGGTTTGTTACATCTGTGTTTATTGAAGTCGTACTACAAATCTGAACTCCACGCTGGCAATCCCTGTCCGTGCCCCGCCGCTTCGAGGCGGCCGAAAGGTATGTGACGGTGCCGAACGCGGACGTCTTCGTTATTTGTGACATGGGTGCCGCGGTACGTATAATTTCGCCCGGCCTGTGTCGCGTGTTACTTCTGCATCTAAGCAGTGACAGTCGTCACTGGTCGTTGGAAAGATCCGCCGGCTGAGGCGTTGGTGGGCTGGTCAAGTTCAAGCAGCGGCCATTTTGTACGGCGGAGGGAGGAGGGGTGGAAGGGGTGTGGGGGAGGTCGCTCTAAAAATGCAAGTTTATCTTCCCCTCGTCGATTCGGAGCGGGTCCCAAGGAGCGGAATTTTGCCACCCTCGCGGATTTTGGAAAGCGCTCCAGATCTACGAGTGGAATTCACCATAAGACAACCTCAAGGACGACCTCGAGGACAATTTCTAGGACGAGCTCGAGGCCGACGTCTAGGGCGACCTCAAGGACGACTTCTAGGACGACGCCTAGAGAAATTCAGCCTTTCCACTCTGGTGAAGATGGAAGACCATCGAAGCTGTACTGGCTCGAGTTTTGTGTCGACACGCCGCTTGTCCGCGGACACGATAGTGAGGGAACTAGCCCTTGACAGCTTCGCTGTAAAAAGAAAACTGCCAGCTATATCAGGCCATTCGATTTTATTGTGTTAGTTCCCGTTTTAGGTTGTCCCCACCTATCGAGGAGTGCACTTACTAAGACACCCTCCATGCTAGAACCACACAACCAAACGTTTGATAGATTCTTAAAAGAGTCGGTAGTGCAGTGCGCGACAACATAACGCTCGGAGTTGGTAATAACGTAGCTTCGCGAGGGTACGATAGCGGCACTGCCAATTTTAGCCTTCCCAGTGTTGCTTCATTTGGCCACGGTGGCGCACTCTGGAACTTCTTAGCGCCTATACTGATGCTTACCGAAAACCATCTGTTAAGCGACGCCTATATCGTTTTAAGTGTCCCCAGAGCTCTTGAGGTCTAAAAAAATGTGCCGCAGTGCAGTTGAATTATGTAAATAACGCCATTTTTTGTTACAAAGACTGATTCTCCCAGTTAGCCATGTGAGACAACTGCAACCACCTTTCCCAGGACTATTTTGACAGCCCACCAGCTTGTGAGATAGCTCAAACCACGCTGGAACCGAAACCAGAGCTATTCGGTTTCCTACGAGACCGTGGAACATAATTCTCCGCCCCAAATTTATGTCTTGATGGCGCTTGCAAACCATCAATCAACGGTGATCGATGGCTTAAGTTGGACAACCACCGGCTAATACAAGCCTGGTTTTTAAGCCTCTTGCGATGGCTTACGACCAACAGCGCAGAAATGCAGCCGGTAGTAAGTAGTCACAAGAGGCTTAATAACCGGTCTTGTCTCAGTCAGTCGTAGTAAAGCACAAGTGTGTGAACGGGCCTTTATGGGCGCGGTCAGGAAAGAGTTAAACCACAATGACCGTGCCTTTCAAGGCCAAGTCGACCGATCCGTTCCTCTTTTCATATCTCAACAGGTGTCGAAGGTTGCCAGCGTCCTCTCGAAATGGGGCATCAAGAAGGGCGACCGCGTCATCATCTACATGCCCATGATACCGGAGTCAGTGTACGGAATGTTGGCATGCGCACGCATCGGAGCCGTACACTCGCTCGTTTTCGGGGGCTTCGCAGCCAAGGAGCTCGCGGTTCGGATAAACCATGCTCAGGTAACTCGAATGGTCGTAATCTGGAATCCTCCTATCTCTGGAATCCGCCTGTCCATTTCAACTTAGATGGATGGATTGCAACGGACGCTACGAACCACCGGAGCAAATCCGTGGCTATGAGGGTGTCCCATGTCCTTCGGGTTGGGCGGAGCGACGCGGGGGGCGCGGAGTCACGTGACATGCTCCGAGCTACGAATTGGTTCCGGTAGGTCGTAGCGTGCGTCGCGGTACATCGTAGGGCGAATTCGGGTATGCAGAAGCCCGAGTGGCGGTCAACTATTTCTTAGGAGGATTCCCATCTGCTTGTCACTGCACTGGAACTGACACTGGATGTTTTTGCTCTCCTACGACCAGGCGGATGCTTGCCTGTCCGTTAACTTTGGCATCGAGGCTAAAAGACTGGTACCCTACAAGACCATCCTAGACGAGGCGATCAGCCTGTCCGAATACAAGCCGAAGAAGTGCCTCATATTCATGAGAGGAGAGGAGGACAGGGTCAGGTTGATTGATGATACTACAGTAACGCATGGCATCGACCACTGTCCCTAATCTTTGCAGGACGTTCCAATGACTGCCGGCAGAGACGAGATATGGCAGGATGTTGTCCGCGGCGCACATCCGGTAGACTGTGTCCCCATTGAGGCCATGGAGCCTCTGTATCTACTGTATACTTCCGGTACCACAGGACTGCCCAAGGTAAAGGCTAAGGTTTGCACTGATGAAAAATTATATCGTAGAAAAACAGTTCACCCATGTTGATGGAGTAGCATAGCAATCTGGTGTGGATGCATACATGTCTTTGGGACTTTTAGAGTTGGGGGGGGGGGGGGAGTGCCTATAGTAGTTCCAATCGAATAGCACTGCATCATTCATAGCCTACACAGGGTGAGGGTAAGCCATGACGTGCCAGCTCCACTTTTGGATTGGAAGCAGTATTTGCACACCCCGACTCTAGAGCCAATAACTGTTTATTGGGAAAAACCATGATCGAGACATCTAGTGATCATTTCCTAATGGCAAATACAAACAAAATTACCTCTCGTAATGAACGTCCCGAGATCCTCAACGTGGCAGAAAGTGCTTTCAGTGCTCGGAGTAGCTGTCTTTCAGCGAAATGCTTGCAGTATCAATGCTTCCATTCAAGTTCTTTCCACCATACTAATAAACAAATTTGTGGCATTTAAGAAATGAAGAATGCACATGCACAGCTTTGATCGGCGTGTTTGGGATTGCCCTTCGCGTACCATGTCCCCCCGATTGTATAACAAGTAACCTATTTGGACTTGGCATGCCAGCTGTTTAATAGGTGCCCTTTGTCATCACACTCCAACAGGCAGTCGTACGGCCTGCAGGAGGACACGCGGTCAACCTGCTCTGGACACTCGAGAACGTGTATGGCGTCAGAGACAATGACACTTGGTGGGCAGCCTCAGACCTGGGTTGGGTTGTTGGCCATTCTTACATATGCTATGCCCCTCTTCTCAAAGGTGTCACAACCGTGTTGTACGAGGTTAGTTGCCTTGCGAGCAGCTTCAGCCCAAAGACATCTCAACCGTTTTCTTACCTGTTTTAAGGGCAAACCCGTGGGCACGCCAGATGCCAGCAGCTTTTTCAGAGTGATCAAACAGCACGGTGTGTGCGGCATGTTTTCGGCACCCACAGCAATGAGAGTCATTCGGAAAGAAGTGAGTGTAAAAGGCAACATAATTATTTTTGAAAGAGGAACATGCATGGACTGCCCGAATTCTGGTAGCACCGAAATTTATGGATCTCGTATCGGTCAAATGCTTTTTAGCTGCGTGCCTCACTATTGCATTTTGCAATGCCCGCAGCCGGCGAAGGTATATTCTATTACTCGCTCTAATCAAGATTCGCCAAAGCAGCGCTTAAATAGGAATTGCACTTTACTCGGGGACATGGACAGCTAAGAAAATCGGAGAGCTCAAGGAACTCACAAAGGTAGCCTAGAGAACCCCCGAGTTCCTAAGAACTTGGTTCGAGAACCCAGGAGATAATGCCATGCCGCCCTGTTCGGGGCTCCTTTTTCGCAGGATCCCGAGGGATGCTTTGCAAAAAATTTCCCGATGAAACAGTAAGGAAATATGTATTTATACATTACGAGTGTAAGGGTCGGAGCTAAGCCACCCGCCCACGTAGGTTGCGTCAAGTGTTCTTGGCTGGAGAACGATGTGATCAAGGCACACTGAGCTGGACGGCAAAGACATTTGGCGTTCCCGCCTTGGACAACTGGTGGCAAACGGGTAAGCACACATAAAAGCAAACTGCAGGCTTCGGACAACGAGCTTAAAGTGTGTGAACGGGCCTTAACCCTTTCAAATGCCGCTCGCCATTTATCGTGAAAATTTTTTTTTTAAAGTATAGGATCCCCCTACAATTGTTACAATGACTCAATGCTCAATATATCCCCCCCCCCCCCCCCAAAAAAAAAAAAATAAATAAATAAAAGAACGAGGGTTTTAGATATACACATTTGTGTACATAGCATACGAAGCGGTTAGGTGTTGTTTCACTTTTTCAGAAACGGGTTCACCAGTGACAGCCACGTGCGTCGGTTTGGGGAACTCAATGGATGTACCCGAGGAAGCAACGGGAGTTCCAGTGCCCGGGTGGGATGGTAACGTGGCTGCCGGTATTGCCGCTCAAGTACCCGTCTGATATTGCGACGTTTCAGTTAGGGTGCTCCTAGACGACGGCTTGGAAGCAGCTCCAAACCAGCTTGGTACCGTGGCCGTCCGGTGAGAACTCTACTTAAAGCGTCCTGTCCACCAGTCGGTGGCGGTGACTCTAAGGTATCTTGCAAAGTGGGCACAGTCACATGAGATCGGTGTCCTCCAGGTTGCCCTTGCCTCCAGGAGCCTTCTCGACACTCTTCCGAGCAGACGACGCTTTTGTTGTCAAGTACTTCGAGAAATTTCCGGTAGCCTCCAATTGCAATTTTAAGAAAGGGCAGCAGATAACCAACTTCCTCCATGTTTCCTACGATAGGGCTACTACGACACAATGGACATCGGTATTCGGCACAAGAATGGGTACATCAGCATCCTCTCCAGAAATGACGATGTCATAAACGTGGCAGGGCACCGCCTTTCGACCTTCCAGATAGAAGAGGTGACTAACTGGCAGTGGCCACAAGAGGGAGGGGGCGCTACGTACGACCCAATTCAAATGCGTCGATTTTCGCTCTTGCATGCAGACCATCATGAAGCATCCGGACGTCGCAGATTGCGCGGTCGTGGGGGTTCCGGACGAGATTAAGGGAGAGGTTCCGCTTGCACTCTTTGTACTCAAGAATGGTAGGTACTGTACATTGGTCATAGGTGCATAGTGGGGAAACCTCGGGCCTGTGCAGCACTTTCGGGACGCATCATATAGATGCACATGATTTTCGGACTTGTGGGGATGATTCAATAGAGTAACCCAGGTCACATGAGCTATACTCGTTTTCACCTCGAAGACTGTAGTAAAAGAATCCTCACATTCCCTTTTTATGTAGAGAATTAAGATACAGTAATCCCTCGTTATAACGAAGTCAGCGGGACAGCAAACTAAATTTGACATAAGCAATAATTCGATAAAAAAGATTAAGCAAAAAAAAAAAAAAAAACATTGCCGGCAGCCTCGAAGGTTGACGGCAACACTGCGCTGTAGACTGGTACGAACTCCATCACGAGACAGAGAGGCAGTAAGGGGAGGGAGAGAACGAAGGGACACAAGAGATCGAACACACAAGAGGGGCTTTGGACAGCATGGTGGACGGGCTTATGCCATCTCACCCTTATTTCTAACAACGTCTTGTAAATAGACACTTTATTTGTGTAATCAACATGGTGTGAGAAGTGGGAACACTCCTGGCCGTATATTTAACCAAACAAACCTTGGTTATGAATACCCCGCGGCAGCTTTACTAATAAAAAAATAATTAAGTGGTTTTTGCCGAGAATTTCATCCCGTCATCAGTTCTCCTCGAACTGCTCCAGGCATCGCAAAAACACCGCCGCCACACCGCACCTTCTGCTCCCTGCCTGTGCCTCCGCGTCGGCGCATCGGAAGCGGAAGTGGCGCTCTGCCAGCTCTGTACGCTCTGCCCTCCGTCACCTGTTCACTTCTTTTCCCAGTTTACCGTTTCCCTCGGTCTAGAAGGGGGAGGAAATGCAAGGGTCTACATGGGCCTCCGTGAAGGCTTGCGTGCTTTCGGCACCGCGGCCTTCGTAATAAGCGTGGTCGGCCACCGATAAACTTAAAATAGTATAGTTAAAAATGCATGCATTTCAGGAGGGACAACGCTAACTTCGATAAGAGCGATAATTCGAAAAAAGTGATTTCGCTATTGAGGAGTTTCAGCGACGGTGTCGCCGCCCTGGCGGCCGGTCGCCGAAAGAGAACGAAGGGGATAGTTTCGCTGGACGTTGGCTTTGTGTATACACTCCGTGCGACGCGACCGGCGCGCCGCCGCGCGGCCGTTACCGAACACTGGCAGTGAGAGCCCCAGCGAAACGAAACCACGCCGACCACGCCGCGTACATTGGTACGCATTGAAGTCGGAGCGGTGCGGTTGCGTTGGGTTGACAGCATGAACTACTGCGTCGTTAAGTGCTCCAATAGTTATGCGTCGTATCTCATGGGGACGAAGTTTCACAGTTTTTCACCTCGCCGCTGTTTTGTGGGACAGCGACAACGATATGGACCCGTGCCGTACGACGCAAGAAATTTGGTCTCCCGATCATGTTTGCCACTGTGTCGGCACGGCTGAGATATTCTGCACTGCCTCTTTGCGCTCTGCGTTTGTTTTCGTACTAGTAACGCCTACATATCTCAGCTCGAACTGAAATGCCATCCCACACTCGCGGGTATGCAGTGCGAATTTCGTTGAAGGAATGTCTTCCAAAGAAGTTTCGTCCCCATCTTACGTGTCGATGATATTTCCGAACCAGTATGGCACGCAGTCTGTACTTCATGAAGAAAGATTCAGACGGTACAAAGAGTGACAAATATGAATCTAAGGGAAACTACAATGAAGCTTGGAAACACTGGACAATCGATGTTTGAGTTTGGAAGTTTATGTGGTGTCCTTTCTTTTTTGATCAGCCTCCTTTTGGATGGGGAGCGCCGACACACCGTGTCTTGTAGACAACAATTTTTTTTCTCTGCTTTAGAGCCACCTATCGCGAAGTTATTTGAACTGGAAGTACCGTCCACTGGTCCCTTTCGACCTGTAAAGTGTGCACCTCCCGGCCATAATGAGTGGTATTCTTTTGACAGTCTTCGACGGTCAAAACCGGCTCCCATTTGGTTACGCCACCCAAAAATATTTCCATCTGGTTAACCTATGCCACTTCTTTTAGATATAATAAGTATTTTGTAAAGTTACGGTTGTCAAAGTACGTGTGTGCCGAAAATCAGCACCTCGCACAACCAGATTACTACACAACAGCTGACCGCAAAAGTCTTTGACGGCAAAACCGTGTGTTGGCCGGCAACTTGGTTTTCTCGGCTTTGAAACCGTTTTTCGTAACGTTGTTTCAATTGAAAGTATAGTGCACTAGTCCCTTTCTACCTGTAAAGTCTCCATCTCCCACGACGAGTGGTATTCTCTTTAAAGCCCTTTTACGATCAAAACCGTTTCCCATTCAGTTACGCCGCCCAAACCAAATTTCCACCTGGTTTCCCTATGCCACCTATTTTTGGTATTATAACCGTTGTGTCAAGTTACGGTCATGTCCAAGAACCTATGTGTCTAAATCTGCACTTCGCACAGCCCGGTTATAACACAACATTTTGGGTCTAATATTGGATATTTCTTACAGCTTTATTCCTTTATTCGTTCGAACCATAACTTTCACACCTGCTGTCTTAATAAAACTCGGCCCACTTAGTGCACACATTTAGTGAACATCGCACTCGCCTCCAAATATCATCGCCCCAGCAGTCCTACGTTTACAGCGACGAGCAAAATCAAATTTCCCACTGAGAGCAATTATGGTGGCGGCCGTCTTTAGGAAAATTGCTAAAACCCTTTTTTCGACCGCAGCTAAAGAAATTACCCCTATAATAACGACTCAAACCCAATATATAAGAAGCGGAGAACAGCTAAATGTCCTTCTTAAATCTGCCCCAGCACTCATGCAACGTCACCCTCAACCTATCGGCTCAAAAAGCAAAAGTTCCGTCCGTGCGGGGTTCCGCCGCCACAGCTTCGCACGCGAAAAGGCGCCGCAGGCTGCTGAGCGCGCCTCACTGTCGAACGCCAGCTCCTCCGCTAGCGGCGCTACGCGCGTTTTTCAAAGCGCCCCCTATAGTTCCCGCACGGAGTGTATATGCGTTGGCCGCGAACGTAGGCTTATAAACTTCGGCAGCAAGAATATTACGCGGCTCTAGTGTTACGGTACGGGCAACAGAGGTGACGCGATCTGCTACGACTAGCTACGACCACCCGCCGCAGCGATGCAGGCGTCGAAGGAGCGCAACCTGTATACTACGCAGTCAGTCGCCGTCGCCCGACGCAGGTCGTTTGGCATTCAGGGCTTTCCGCCCCGGGTTCTTCGCTTGTACTTGGAACAGAGTATTATTTCCTGTGCTTGTGTGTGTGCTCAGTGGCTGGATATGGACCTCATAAAGCAGTTTTTCAGACCCAACAGCGACTCAAAGTTGAGGGCGGAGGGGTTTGCAGCAACGCTTTCGTTTGGTGCACGGGTGCGACGACTACACGGATAAATTTTAAGATTGCTGCAAGCAAGGTGGCCCACAGCCGCTTTATGTTGACACGATTTTGACTGTAAGTACTCCGTGCAAAGGCGAATCTATCGCGTTTCTAATCCACCTTTGTTTTTGTTGTTTTTAGCACGCAGGACCGACTGCTAAGCAAATGCTTCTGTACCGATCACGGAGTGAATGTCTTCGGCCTTACATTGCGGAATAAAAAGTCATATTCGTTCAGCGAGAAAACTTCCCTTTCGAGTGACCTTCTGACTGATAATTTTCCCGTACTTAAGTGCTTTAATCAACATGATCGATTAAGTTTGCTTCCCTAGTTAGGATATTTTTGTGCCACATGCGGCACTAATGCTTGGCATGATGTATGCCACTGGTGGTATTGTGAATTGGTTTACTTCCAAAGCTAACAGTGTGACAGGTGGGACCATTCAATTTGCTAAAAATGTGGTGATATGGGAATTTCGTTGCATAACTAGCGTTTTACGTTTAAGATTGATAAGAAACATGCTCATGTTATGATGCATGTCTACAGCATAAGCTTTGCAGATCCAGAATGGATGTGCTATAGGCTACAGCCTCAAGATTTTTAATGGACCAATTTGGTGATTACACGGCAATAAATATTGTGGTGAAAAACTGCCCACTGACTCGGTGAGTGTTGATCGTGACCACTGGTGTGCTGTTGGCAAATTAGGTAATGGCACACCTTTTCCCTGACCATCTGGCTTCAAGGAACATTGCATCGAACACAAAACCAGTTCGGTTTTGTGTTCGATATAATCATGCTTACCGAGACTTGGTATTCGGACGAAGATAGCGTACTTTGCTTACCAGCCTATAACACCAACTTTTTAAACCGTACCTGCAGGCGTGGAGGGGGAGTTGCCCTTTTAACTAAAAAGAATTTGTGCTGTGAAATACTTAGCGACTTCAGTGCTGTCACCAAAGATTATGAGATACTATGTTTGCGTAATAACCAGAATGTGTTTGCTGTTTGTTATCGACCACCCGATGGCAACGTCACGACATTTTTTGAGTTTTTTCATACTTTTCTTAGTTTTGTAAACGAGTCCAATTACAATATTATCTGCGGCGGTGATTTTAATATAAACATGCTTGTTGACAGTGCTACGAAACGCGATATGATCACTATTATGAATGAAAACTGCTGCGTGAACACCGTATCTGCTCCAACTCGGGTACGATCAGAATCTGAGACCCTTATCGATCTGTTTATAACTAATTTTGATAAACAACACAAATCTGGTGTAATAGGCTGTGATTTGAGTGACCATCTTCCTATATTTTTGTGTGTAGAAACAACTTTACGAAAAAATGCTAAAAACAATTGCGAAGTATATTTTCAACCTATAACCTTAGACAAGCTAGATGCTTTCCGTCAGTGCATTTCGAATGCCGATTGGAGTGCGGTGTACCTTAAAAATGATGCTGACGATGCTTATGACGCGTTCATGAATGAATTCAAACATATATATGATTCTCACTTCCCGTCTAAACTTTTGAAGGAATCAAAAAATGCGCGAAAACCGTGGGTAACAAAAGATCTTTTATGTCAAATTAA